GAAGGCATACTGTGATCCGGACAATAAATAACCAGCAAATTCTGCAAATGTCCTTGACAGAGAACCAACATGGACACTAAGTCTTTTTTTTTCCCCCACAGGTGGATGGTCTTGAAGAGTCCCTGCCGATGTCATGGGAAAACTCTCTTGTGCAGGGTCAGCTCCAACACAGACATGCTGTCATTGAGACACACTTTCTCAAGGTATTTATGAATGTATTTCAATGCTAAATAGAAAATCTAAACTGGCCCTGTTTTGAGAGTACTGAACAATAGGGTGCATTGTTTTTATCATGCCCCTGCCATAAGGGAACTCTGGGGGTCTGGTCCCACAGTTTGAGATCATCGTTTGCCTTGACAACATATTTTGAAGGAATAAAAATCCAAAATGTATTACATGCCACTACGTTAGAAAAAGAAGTCGACTCCAGTCGAAGGCAAAGTTTCTGTTTCAACTTCATGTATGTTTGAGGTAAATTACTTTTAAGGACTTTTTTCTTCATGTTCTCTTGGTTGCAGGTCTCCTTTGACTTCTTCAGTACAGTGAAGGTACACCTGGCTTCAAGTTATAATAACGCAGTCTGTGGTCTGTGTGGAAACATGAACGGAGACCCTTCAGACGACATGATGCTGCCCAATGGGGAGCAGGCCGCTACTGCCAACGAGTTTGGAGTGAGCCAATGGGTAGCCGATGTGGAGGGCTGCTCCAAAGAGTGTAAGAAGCTCATTCACTGTAATCATGAATGTTCTGAGCAACAACTAACTATGAGTAACACAGGGGTCAACGATCTGCAGTTGCCTGGGCGATCTTCAGTGGAGAAATGCGCTGTAAATAAAAAACAAAACATGTTGCAAAAAGCTAAAACAACTGCATAATCAGCAAATACACAAAACACAGAAGCATCTGCAATAAGCATCAAAGCAGCAAATACATGAGATGGTCTGACGTTTATTGATTTTGATCAAATGTTTCTTTGGGTTGAAAGCAAGATGTAAAAATGTATAAAGGATGATAATCCATTTCATTTGTAAAGGGAATTTGAAGACATGCATGAATAATAATGGGACTGCTGCTGTTTTTTTTCCATCCTCAGGTAAAGACTGTCCTCCAGATATCCCTCCTGGTACCAAGCCACCCGCTTACACCAAGGACTGTGACATAATAACAGCAGAGGATGGACCCCTGGCTGGATGCATAAACCTCCTTAAAGCCGAACAGTACCATGAAGACTGTGTGTATGACATGATGCTGACAGACGGCAGTCGAGATGCAGCCTGCGCCATCATTAGAGATTATGTGGAAGAATGTCTGAGTAAAGGTGGCGAGGTCAAACCATGGAGGACAAAGAAATTCTGCCGTAAGTCTTGTATTGTTTTTTGTTGTTGTTGTTGTAACCCAAGCTTATAAGTACCATAGGAAAAAATAAGGTAGCTAAGAGCAATCACACAGCTACAGCTGTGAAGATTTTTTAACCCACAGAAACAAACAGCACATTGATGCATCTATGTCTGTCTTCTCCATCTCTGGGGCTACAGGCAGTGCTGTGCAAGTTCACAATTGAAATGAGTTTCCTGCAGCTTAATCATTTTTTTTTCCAGTAAAGCTCCCTAAGCTTCAATCCCTAACCCTCAACCATTTACATTTTCAGTGCCACATACGAAGAAACATGTTAAAGAAAAGTTAAGCATAGCATTCACACAGCAAATTCAGAAATGTTGGAATGTCAAAAGCAAACAAACTGGATCCAGAAGTTCCAAAAGTTTAAATTTAGACAAATTAAAGGGGCTCTAGGACTGTAGAAGGTACTCACGGAAGCTAGATTTGGTGATACCCATTTTGGGAATAAATAATAAACACGTTCAATTAGGGCTCTTGGGAGACAGAGATGCGGAGCAGGTTCATATACAGACCTCCACTCTTTCACGATGACAAAGGTATTTTATGTATGATTAACATGTATCATACCGTGTGTTTGTATGTGTGTTGCAGCAATGAAGTGTCCTGCTGGCAGCGAGTACAGTCTCAAAGCTCCCGGCTGCCCAATCACCTGCCGCTCCCTATCTCCACCGGCTCGGTGTAAAATCCCACCCAGCGAGGGCTGTGTGTGCAAGAAAGGAAAATTGATGGGAAAGGTAATATTCTTCTTTATGCCTGTGTGACTACGTTCTAGTTCTTTAACTATTTGTAGTACTTTTCAGACAATCATTCTGTATTTATATTGTGCAAATCCACAACAAATGACTTCTTAAAGGCATGGTTGACAATTGGAGAAGCAGTTGAAAAAAACTGAGCCGTTGAGGCAGATTTGAAAAAAGGGTCCCACCCTCCACACACAAACCTCTACCCTCTGTGCTCCACAATAACTCCCCCCTGAACCTGTATCACCCTCCCCACAATGTACCCCTTCTGGCAGAGGAAGAAGCCGGCAGGCAGAAGATCCTATGTTCGTAGGATTCACAATGTCGGATTGCTAGTGACTAGCAGCAGTAAATGCCAGCTCTGCTAGCAAGAACCGTCTGCAGCTGCCTGGACAGCTACCGTGTTGACATTGCAGAGACTAATAAGAGTTATTTATGTAACATGTGCCACGTTAAAAGGCAAAAATTACCTGTTCAACAAAAACTCTGCTGTCTCAGCGTCTGTTTTCAGGCCCAAATCCTGGCAGAGCTTTCTCCACTGCTCGAAGGATGACCCAATGTTAGAGTAAGATTCCTTGCTTGGTCACATTACCTATTCGTCTCTGCCCTTTCTTCTGTGGGCGTGCGTTTTCTTAGCACTTTTGGCGGTGGGGCAAGCAGAAGTGTATTTTTTCCGTCTTTCTCATCACAGCTCCTGTAGCTTAGCTGCTACGCTACTTTTAGCCGCTCAGCACTCTGAGTAGGGAGAGTGGGAGGAGATGGATCAGAACTACAGGGGAGGGGTGTGTCAAATACTGATTGGATGGAGTGGCGGAGCAGGAGATTTACCAATAGGAGCTGTCAGGTACAGATGGCTCCCACTGGTCAATGTTTTTGCAGTCCTGCACCTGCTAGGGTGAGGATTTTTTCCATTCTTTTCTCTCTTTACTTTGTGGAGATTGCACTATAGGACCATGATCGCCATATAAACGAGGTTCATAATAATTAACAATCCCTCCAATCGCCAACCATGCCTTTAAGACCCTAACCAAAAAGAATTTTTCTAGACCATACTCTTTGAGTAATTTTATCTAAACATGCATTGAGTACAATAGGTGAATGTGGCCTCTGAATCTTGGGCTGATTTTCAAAGATGTCAGGAAAAATGAATCATAGGACAAGGGTTTTGAAGTTGCTTAAGTAGGTTGTTCCACACTGAAGTAAAACAGGCTATAATGGCAGCCATGTAATTTTTATGGGAAATTTTCCAAAGCAAGTTGCATTGACAAAGAAAATTCTTGTTTTAGCCCCTCGCAGACTCAGAAGGCTGTTCTAAAGTTCTGATTACTTAAGAAAATGTTAGGCACTGTAAATCCTTTTTTTTTTTACACAGAGTTCACTTTAGAAAAAAAATCTGCACTCCAATTTTACATATTTTAAGGTTATACATGGCTGATAGATACAGAAATTTTGTTCAGCTTTCAACAGTGAAACAGGCTACAGTGACTGAAGTATTTAATAGGAAATTTCCCTGATTCACACATATCCACCTAAGATTTTGTTTTTTTAAATGACAGGATTAAATTCTTATTAGATATTAATTTCATTGTTGTTGGAAAGATTTGGTTTGCTGCTTGTTAAAACAAAAGTTGCCATATCACAATCCTTAAAGACACCTGACTTTTACTGACAGGGGTATAACTTTGAGAAGAATCGCTTAGCTGCACGGTCTGGGACATTGTGATTTTACCCTGACAGTTGTGCTTTTTCTTTGGCAGAAAGGCTGTGTGAAACTGGCTAAATGTGGCTGTACAGTGAAAGGTCAGTACTTTGAGCCTCATGAGGGACACTATATAAACAACAAATGTAAGACCTTCTGCAAGTGCCACAAGGGGGCTATGGTGTGCAAGTACAAACCCTGCAAGGCAACGGAGAAATGTATGGTCTTAAAAGGAGTGAGAGGCTGCTACAAGGAAGGGGACAGTAACAGCAATTCATCAGGAGGACAATCTGGGGAAAGTAACAGCAATTCATCAGGGGGACAATCTGGTAATAGTGACAGCAATCAGTCAGGAGGACAATCTGGTAATAGTGATAGCAATGAGTCGGGAGGACAATCAGGTAATAGTGACAGCAATCAGTCAGGAGGGCAATCTGGTGGCTGTACAATGGAAGGTCAGTACTATGAGCCTAATGAGGGACACTATTTAAACAACACATGTAAGACCTTCTGCAAGTGCTACAAGGGGGCTATGGTGTGCGAGTACAAACCCTGCAAGGCAACAGAGAAATGTATGGTCGTAAAAGGAGTGAGAGGCTGCTACAAGGAAGGGGACAGTAACAGCAATCAGTCAGGAGGACAATCTGGTAATAGTGACAGCAATCAGTCAGGAGGAAAATCTGGTAATAGTGATAGCAATGAGTCAGGAGGACAATCTGGTAACAGTACCAGCAATTCATCAGGGGGACAATCTGGTAAAAGTGACAGCAATCAGTCAGGAGGACAATCTGGTAATAGTGACAGCAATCAGTCAGGAGGACAATCTGGTAATAGTGACAGCAATCAGTCAGGAGGAAAATCTGGTAATAGTGATAGCAATGAGTCAGGAGGAAAATCTGGTAACAGTACCAGCAATTCATCAGGGGGACAATCTGGTAAAAGTGACAGCAATCAGTCAGGAGGAAAATCTGGTAATAGTGACAGCAATCAGTCAGGAGGAACAATCTGGTAACAGTACCAGCAATTCATCAGGAGGAAAATCTGGTAATAGTGACAGCAATCAGTCAGGAGGACAATCTGGTAATAGTGATAGCAATGAGTCGGGAGGACAATCAGGTAATAGTGACAGCAATCAGTCAGGAGGGCAATCTGGTGGCTGTACAATGGAAGGTCAGTACTATGAGCCTAATGAGGGACACTATTTAAACAACACATGTAAGACCTTCTGCAAGTGCTACAAGGGGGCTATGGTGTGCGAGTACAAACCCTGCAAGGCAACAGAGAAATGTATGGTCGTAAAAGGAGTGAGAGGCTGCTACAGGAGGAAGGGGACAGTAACAGCAATCAGTCAGGAGGACAATCTGGTAATAGTGACAGCAATCAGTCAGGAGGAAAATCTGGTAATAGTGATAGCAATGAGTCAGGAGGACAATCTGGTAACAGTACCAGCAATTCATCAGGGGGACAATCTGGTAAAAGTGACAGCAATCAGTCAGGAGGACAATCTGGTAATAGTGACAGCAATCAGTCAGGAGGACAATCTGGTAATAGTGATCAGCAATCAGATCATGAGAGGACAATCAGGTAATAGTGCAATCAGTCAGGAGCAATCAGTCAATGAGTCGGGAGGACAATCAGGTAATAGTGACAGCAATCAGTCAGGAGGGCAATCTGGTGGCTGTACAATGGAAGGTCAGTACTATGAGCCTAATGAGGGACACTATTTAAACAACACATGTAAGACCTTCTGCAAGTGCTACAAGGGGGCTATGGTGTGCGAGTACAAACCCTGCAAGGCAACAGAGAAATGTATGGTCGTAAAAGGAGTGAGAGGCTGCTACGAGGAAGGGGACAGTAACAGCAATCAGTCAGGAGGACAATCTGGTAATAGTGACAGCAATCAGTCAGGAGGAAAATCTGGTAATAGTGATAGCAATGAGTCAGGAGGACAATCTGGTAACAGTACCAGCAATCAGTCAGGAGGACAATCTGGTAATAGTGACAGCAATCAGTCAGGAGGAAAATCTGGTAACAGTGACAGCAATCAGTCAGGAGGACAATCAGGTAATAGTGACAGCAATCAGTCAGGAGGAAAATCTGGTAATAGTGATAGCAATGAGTCAGGAGGAAAATCTGGTAACAGTACCAGCTAGTAATAGTGACAGCAATCAGTCAGGAGGACAATCTGGTAATAGTGATAGCAATGAGTCGGGAGGACAATCAGGTAATAGTGACAGCAATCAGTCAGGAGGGCAATCTGGTGGCTGTACAATGGAAGGTCAGTACTATGAGCCTAATGAGGGACACTATTTAAACAACACATGTAAGACCTTCTGCAAGTGCTACAAGGGCTATGGTGTGCGAGTACAAACCCTGCAAGGCAACAGAGAAATGTATGGTCGTAAAAGTGAGAGTGCTACAGGAAGGGACAGTAACAGCAATCAGTACTAGTGACAGCCTAGAGGACACTATTTAAACAAACATGTAAGACCTTCTGCAAGTGACAGCAATCAGTCAGGAGGAAATCTGGTAATAGTGAGTACAATCTGCAAGGCAACAGAGAAATATGGTCGTAAAGGAGTGAGAGGCTCTACGAGGAGGGGACAGTGATAGCAATGAGTCAGGAGGACAATCTGGTAACAGTACCAGCAATTCATCAGGAGGACAATCTGGTAAAAGTGACAGCAATCAGTCAGGAGGAAAATCTGGTAATAGTGACAGCAATCAGTCAGGAGGACAATCTGGTAATAGTGATAGCAATGAGTCGGGAGGACAATCAGGTAATAGTGACAGCAATCAGTCAGGAGGGCAATCTGGTGGCTGTACAATGGAAGGTCAGTACTATGAGCCTAATGAGGGACACTATTTAAACAACACATGTAAGACCTTCTGCAAGTGCTACAAGGGGGCTATGGTGTGCGAGTACAAACCCTGCAAGGCAACAGAGAAATGTATGGTCGTAAAAGGAGTGAGAGGCTGCTACGAGGAAGGGGACAGTAACAGCAATCAGTCAGGAGGACAATCTGGTAATAGTGACAGCAATCAGTCAGGAGGAAAATCTGGTAATAGTGATAGCAATGAGTCAGGAGAACAATCTGGTAACAGTACCAGCAATTCATCAGGAGGAAAATCTGGAAATAGTAACAGCAATCAGTCAGGAGGACAATCTGGTAACAGTACCAGCAGTTCATCAGGGGGACAATCTGGTAAAAGTGACAGCAATCAGTCAGGAGGAAAATCTGGTAATAGTGATAGCAATTCATCAGGAGGACAATCTGGTAAAAGTGACAGCAATCAGTCAGGACAATCTGGGGAAAGTAACAGCAAAGAGGTAGGAGGGCAATCTGGTAACAGTACAAGCAATATGTCAGGAGGAGGACAAGATGGCATGATGAAACTAATGAATTAAGAAGTCGTATATGAACGAATCAATGGAGTAATGATGGGCGCAATAACCATCAAACCAGTAAAGATTATGACTTATGCAGCAACACTTTCTCTCATTCTTAACTATTTAATTTTGGTGTGAGATTTTTATGCATGTGTTTTTCACTGCAGTTATCATCGGTTTAAAAGTTCTTTCTTGGTGACAGTCCAAATGTTCTTGGGTATCAAAATCTTAAGTAACCTTTACTTTTGTCAGGACCTTTTCCCACAAAATATTTGATTATGTAAAACTATTGAAACAATCACGTAAGAAGATTTGGTTCTGTTTCTTTATGCCACTCTGTTTTAGCATTTTTCACTATTATTCACTAGATGCTGTCAAGTTGAGACCCTTCAAACAGCTAAAAACAGCTAAAAACAGCTTTAACCATTGTTTTGTTTTTTGTTTTTTTGTAATAAGAAGCATACTGATGAATTGCATGTTTGTCTCTTGCTGTTTTTGAATAACAAAAAACAATATTTAAAACAAATGATGATTCTGTCGTAACCCTGGGTGATCACTGTTACCAACATCCTTTAGCACCTTTCTTCCTGTGTTCACATTGATAATCAGTAACCTGTACTAACATGTTTCAGTCTGTAAAAATCAAGTACATCTTATTCTCATTAAACAAATTTCAGCAGTTTAACCATCTGTTGTGTCTGATATCTTTAAAACTTTGTCACTAACTGCCAAATCCAGAAAGGCACATTGATGTTTTTGAAGACCCAAATATCCTTTGAATGATCAGGTATTAAAAACTGACTCCTGTGTTTTTGTTAAGATAATGCTAAGAATCTCTATCCACTCGGAAACTCTGGTAAAAGAATGAAACATCAGCACACAGTTCAGCTTTATGTATTACCTTTTGTAACAGCATAAAGTCAAACAGCAACCAATCAGCATCTCAACATTATGCATTTCACAGGTAATGATAGTGTGTGGTTTAAAAATAAAATAAACAAAGCAAGAGATTGAAAACAGTGTATACCGGACATAAAGACAGCATTTACCTTGCTATTTAGCTTCAGTAGTGTGGTATAAAGAAGTTTGCTTATATCAGTCATATTAAATGAACTTAATGCAACACATTAGACATTCTCACTGAAACAAACATATCCAGCTACTTTACAATTTACTCACTTTTACAGACCCAAGCTGCCTGAATTGGTGCCTAAACAAATTGCAGTAAATTCTGAGGACCCCGGGCTGCGCAAACAGATGCCTGAACTAATTTTTTTTTTTTAAAGAAGAAGAAAAAAAAACAGTAATTGCTTAGAACACACAAAAGGGAATAAATATTCTTTGTAGTTTGGCTGAAAGTGACTGGGGGGCTTAGAGTGACACCTTGGTATTGATATATAGAGCTATAAGGTCTTTTAAATTACGGGTGTGTGATATTTGGATCAGCAGCTAACTCTGTACTATGTAGACTAGACAGAGTCTAGTCTAATTAATTTATCATAATATTACGGATGGTTCAAAGGACCCGGAATCTGGGAGAACTAGGTTGGTGGTTACTAGTAGATTAAAACAGAGTGTGTCCATCTTTCCGAAAATTTGTCAGTTTTCTCCACTGAGTTACTGGCAATTCTATGGGCATTACAATAGATAGAGGAAAATAACCCTCAAAAAAGGGTTATATGCTCTGACTCTGCTGCTGCTTTGGAGGCTTTGTAAGAGGAAGCATCAAGGGCCCGCCCAGATATGATTTGGGAAATATTGCTGTTTATTCAAGATCAAAAGATCAGGATGCAAAGTGGATTTTCTGTGGGTTCCTGGACATTCAGGAATAGAGGGAAGTAAAATTGCAAATTCTCTGGCAAAGCAAGCATAATCTGTCATGAAATGAGGCACAGAAAGGAGGACACAGTGACAAGAAACCGCATCAGTTTGTCCAACAGACAGGGTTTATTAAGGCTCAGGCAGAGGTCAGTACACAAAAGGCAGTCAGATCAGGCAGAGGTATCCAAAAACGTGAGGCAAAAAGGCAAGGTCTGAAAAAGGCAGGCAAGGTAATACAGGGGTATCAATAACTATGAATTATGCTGGAACATGACTGTGAAGTGCAACGAGCTGGTGACAAGACAGTAGCCATGTTACACGTGCAAAGTTTCTTGATCTGATTTAAAAAATGAAGGGATCTGAAAATCTGAATCCACTGTTTATATGTGCGCAACATCAAATAATCTGATCATGACATGCGCATACTTGCAACAAGCTTTATTCAGATTAGAAGCATTTGGACACGTGCAGAATTGTCAGATTTCGCGAAAACAACTGCAGAAGAAGAGTTGTATTTACGCCTGTGCTGTCAACAAACCAACAATCACTGTAGTGGCTCACTCCATCCAATGCAGGAGTTTTCCCCTCTGTTACTTGTTGTCACTAGATGGCGCCCTTGCGTACTTGTAATACTGTTCTGTCAAAGGTTGCACTGTGCGTGCAGATGTGACATCATTACGCTGTATGCGATATTTTTTTTGTAGGATAGTAGGGGAAAGTCCCGCCTCCTTCGCCTCTGATTGGCCAGAAAAGCTGGAAACGTCATCACACACTCAAGCCAAACTGAGGCTGTCAGCTCTGTGTATCGAACAGAACATTACAGAACATTAACGCACTTCTGAATCTCCTAACCCTAACCCTCGTCCTAATCCTAACCCTTATCCTAACCCTAACCCTAACCCTAACCCGACATATGATGACGTTTCACAGCCATTAGGGAGAACCAATCGGAGCCCAGCACTTCTTGCCAATCAGAGGCGAAGGAGGGCGGGACCTTCCCCTACCATCATCCAAAAAAAAATTTTTTTTAAATTGCACGCTGTATGTACACCTTGCTATGTTATAGGAGGAGCAGACACAGCACCTGCGGTTGTGTTTTATGCCAGAGTGTTAATAATGAAACCTCCTGTACTGGTCTCAATAAATAAGCCAAAGGCTAAAGAGTGAAGATCGAGTCAGGTTAGAGAGTCAAGATCAGAATACAATTTCTTTCCGATTGAGCCGAATTGGATCAGAATCTCCTGATAGACATGTTTACATGACCCATTTTTATTCTGATAGAGCATTTAGTCCGATTATTTGTGTCCATGTAAACGTAGCTAGTGAGACACTGTACACAGTTTTGACATTTTTTCAATTTAAACATGGACATACTGTTAAAAAATCTCTTAAATCTTGGGAATGCTTTTGTTTAATTTGGGGTGCACCCCCAAAAACAGGCTAGAAATGCCTTCAGCTCTTCATTCTCTCCTCACTCCGCCCAGCTGCCTTTGCATACAGGGTCCAATCAGCCAAACCCTGTGGCCAAAAGGGTTTACTAGTCAGATTTTGCATTTGTGTGCTTTCACATTGTGTTTGAATTCAGAAATCTTCCAGGGCTGTTATTTGGTGAGTAAAGCTTCAGAGCTCTTTACTCGAGTCTCTACTGAACTTCTGTTGCAAAATCATGCCGAAGAGCTTTGTTTATGACTAAACAATGTTGCTGTGTGTGTTTTTGTGTGATTTTCTTTTTGTGAGTCCCTGATAACCTCGCTTTTTTCCTGGCTTTTATCGGGTCATTAATAGAAATGCAACCACCTTATAACAGTTATCAACTCTTGATAACAAGAGCAAGGACAGATCACACATGACATTTTAACTCAATCTGCAGAAAATAGCTCTTGCACATTTTACTTCTGCTTTTTGACACTGGGCCAAAGCTGTTTGTTTAGCAGTGACTCAACTTCAAATGAGCAGTAGTGATAAAGCAACAGGGTTAGTTGAGGCTTGTATTGGTTATTTTTAAGGGTGTGTGAACTGCAAAGCTCTTGAAACAAGGAGAGCTAAAGGAGGACACAAATCAGCACTTTCGGCAGAAAACAGATTCATGTCATCTAACATAACCATCACTGACAATGTACATCTTAATGGGGATAATTACACATAAGCAGCACAAAGTTCCCTTCTCTAATGTGAACTTGACTGTAAATGATCAAATAAATTCTTATTACAGTACTATTATATAAACATACTAATGTTTATTGGCCCTGTCCTAACCTTTTTAGGAACATTTTCCAGGCATCAAATGCAAAATGAGTTAATATTAGCAAAACAACTGAAAAAAAAAAAATTAAACACTCAAGTTTATCAGCTTGAACATTTAATGTAAAGGATTTTGCACTGTATTCTGTTTTTACTCACATTTTACACAACTTTCCAACTTCACTGAAATTGGGGTTTGTATAAACTACAATAAACTAATACCTCTGTTACTTTTGAGTACAGAAGTTATGTCAGTGTAGCATGGGCGTGGCAGATGCAGGGTATGCAGGGGAGGACATGTCCCCAGCACTTCCAATACCTACCCTTTCTGTCTGCACTACCTGGCCTAGCATTCTGAGTTCGTTGGTTAATGTTAAATTATCTTTAACAAGTTGGTGCTCATATTTCTATTGCGTGTATGTACATGCTTATACGCATCCTAAAGAAAGGCACTGAGGATAGTGTGGTGTCCTGACACATGCAGTATATTCAAATGGGTCTGAAGAGGACATGAATCATGACATTTCAAAGGTTTTGAGAGTTTAGGGCTCTTAAATCAAATCATTTGACATTTCATAAAATAGCCATGTTCATGCTTTTCCCTTTGTCATCAGGTGTTTTTGATTGTTCAATGCAATTAAATAGGAGAGGATCTTCAATAAGTCATTCAATAAAAACTATCTTGCTCCCTCGCACTTTTTTTTTTTTTTTTTTTTTTTTTAAAGGTGAAGAAGATTCATACAATTATAGGTCCTCTGAAATAACAACAAAGCAGCGCCTTCAGCTGGATTTTTCTTTAGAAGGATCTGAATGGCGCTGCGCCAATCACCAACTTACAGTTTGGTCTCTGTCAAAACAAAAGCACGAAGTCTCAGAGGAAGAAAGGAAGCTCACTAAGTGTTGTTTGAGCTGTGACGACAGACCGACTCCTCCAGGTGGAGTGAAGGTGTGAGACTCAGTCTGTCGGTCTCTCAGCAGGTAGTGATGGACAAGTTTAGGAGGATCCAGAACATCGCCAACCAGCAGGACAACTTCAGGGTCGTGGCCCTACTGACTGCAGGGGGGCAGCAGCTCTTCACTTTAATGGTCTTTGAGTGTCCCTGCAACAAGGAGCTGAACTTCATGTACGGGATGGTGTCTATGCTGGTGCCCGCTCTGACCCTGCTGCTGCTCGGATACATCCTCAGTAAGAAGACCTGGAAGCTGATGACCGGTATGTGCCGGCGCAGAGAGCGGCCGTGCGCGTGGAGGAGAGTGGTTGCGGCCGGGGCCGTCCTGTTCCAGATCAGCACCACCGCGCTGGTGGCCCCGTTCACCTGGGTAGCCGTGGCTCTGCTCAACGGGAACTACGTGGAGTGCGCCGTGACCGGCACCAACTCGAGCAGCTTCCACAGACACCTGTGCGGAGAGACACCGTACACGGAGCAGTGCACGAAGGAGCTGTTCATGTTCCCCTGTGGAGAAGGCAGCGGGGTCCCAAAGGTTTACAGGGATCAGGTGATGCTCACCCTCAAGGCTCACTCACAGGTCAGTGGTCCGCGTGCACTCCTGCTTTCCTTACTTCAATTCGACTCTTAAGGTGAAAAAAAATGACTACATCTTTGAGGCCAAGAGGTAACTAAACGCACGTCTCAGAGCCAAATTAATCAGAAAACAACATCATGATTTCAAAGATAATGATAAGGTAGACACGTGTTTGATTTACAGTGATGATCAGCAATAAAAAGATTGAGCCTAAATGTTGTCCATGATACTGTTGTGATGGTTCCGGCCTCTGTTTAAAAAGCTGGATGGCAGTAATATAAATGTCACATCATAGTATGGGATGAATTGCAGAATAGGCTACAAAATGCTCTTAAAAGAAACAGTCATCTTAATTACATTACAAATTTATTTACTTTTTTTAAATTTACTTTTACTTTTTTTTAATTATATTTTTAGTAGTAGACCTGTATTGATAGGCTACTCCCCAGAGTGCCTTAAATCTATGCTTGTCAACATACCAATAAATGTTTTCTGGATATTTCTGTAATTATAGTAAATATATTACTGAGTAATTTACTTTAGGGTTTGAAAAATATACCTGGATCATGTTGCCACAGACACATTGGCTACTTGAGAAAATTATATACTATAAAACATACTCTTTCAAACCTCATAACCTTTCCAAACTCTCTGTGTGGCATATTAATTTCTCCAGCCTTGTATAACATACTTAACTAAAATCCATTTTTATTACATGTGTCTAAACATCAGTCAGTAGACCTATAATTAATACATGATTGTGTCTTGTTTCATTGGTAATGATAGAGTTGAAATGAAAGAATCTGTATTAATTAAGCATTTACTTATTTCACTATGTGCTATTCTACAATGGGTGTGCAGCAAAAGTACAACCTTATTAAAAAATAGCGCCCTGTGAATGCTCTTTTAGTATATAAGGTACAAAAAGTGTTTTATTGATGCTCTTCCAGTGGGTATAACCAACAAAATAGTGCCCTCTGGATCCCCTACTAGTATAGTAAACATGAAAGAAGCCCACTGGACGCCTTTCCAGTGAAATTTAGGTTAAAAAAAATTGGTCCTCTGAATTCCCTGTCAACAGTTAAAGATTGATGGGGCGACAGTTTATTTATTCAGCTTTGGTATATCACACAGTTGGTACTGTGATAAAACATATCCTTGCATTTGATTATTTACTTTTATAAGTTTATGAGTGACATGGAGACTACGTCATATAAGCCATGTAAAATCTTGGCTGCGTGTTCTTGCTGTCCACAGATTTTGGGTTGGTTTCTTATTGCCTCCACCATTTTATTCAACCTGCTGCTGACCTGCCTGGGTCGCTGCTTCTCTCCAATCAGTTACCTCCAGCTCAGGTTCTGGAGAGCCTACGCTGAGAAGGAGAACAGCAAGATGGATTCATACACTGTTGAACACGCCAAACAGCTCGCTGAGAGGAACGTGGCAAGCTTCTTCACTATGATGCCGCCCGAGAACATGCAAACCCCCTCCAACAGGGACTGGGAAAAGATCTCCTCCTTGTACACGTTCAGCTCCAGGAAGCAGTACTACAGCACCCTGCATCGCCACATAGAGAGCTGGCAAGAAGATAAAAGCGGGATGATGAGGATGGCGTCAGTAAAATCACTTAACTCTGCTGTTGTTAGCCCTACTGTCCTGTCTTTTGTGGATGATGGCAACATCACACTGTGAGGATTTTAACCATCAGTGAAACCTCTCTGAACATCCATCTGTCTTCATACTGAGCATTTTTTGACCTTTTTTTTTTTAGCCGAGATTTGATTTTTTTTGTCTTTTGTTTGTGTTGTTTCCTGTTGGGAATATCAGCCTTCATTTTGATTACATTCAGTTTATGATCTCTGGGTTCTGGTTAAGTTCCTGTGAGTTGTTTTGAGCTAATTGCCAAACAGACTGATTTCACAAGGAAGTGAAAGGGGAAAAAAGAGACTGTCCTGAACAACACTGACAATGCCTATGCAGTAATTTAATTCCCCTGCTACTGCTATGAAAGGGCAAGTGTCCAAAAAGATGATTGACAGAAGGCCCATAGCATTTACTCACAGTCAGCGAAACATTTTCCTTTTATAAGACTAAAGGATGAGGATTTCCCCCTCTGTTCATCAGCACCATTGCAGATAAGGTTTCTCACCCAGTGTTCTTTCAAGGGGTTTCAATAAAACAGATGGTGATGATGACGATGATATCTAATGAGCCTGCCGAAAATCATAGATTTATGATCATTTATGTTATTACTCAAACATTTTAAAATCTCCATGAAAATGTTGTTTCACTTGTTCTCCAAAATGAAGTCTTTTCAGATACTTATATGTCAATTCCACCAGCGTGAGATGTTGTTTTTTTATGTCTAAAAGTTTGTATTACTTGAGAAAGGATGAAGTGGTTTGTTAGTCTGTTTTACATCTTTCACTTTCATGACCCCTCAGGAGGTCACAGCAGGAAAGAAGGAAAGGTAATCTAAGGTAGCATAGCCTTGCAGATCCCCACCCCCTGAACAACAAGTTTAGACTCCTCCCTCGGGTAGACGTTACAGAGTGCCATGCACCATAACAACCTAATGTAAAGACTGTTTCTGCCCTCGGGCTGTTTTCCTTTCTGTCAAAGAATGTCAGAGCAAACTCTGTGCAAGCACGAACCTGTCAAACAAACACTCACTGTAACTGTATCGACGACTTTCTCATTAGTCTCTATGACCACTTCTGTTAAGATTGAAACAATATGAAATGGTGATTCTGTTAGTCACTCTTCATGTAAATATCATCACCTCATCTACATGTACCTATATGCATATTGTTATTAGAGTTTACAAGAGTCAGATTTCTTATATGTGCACATATACCATAAACTGACTCTGATTCAAATGGAAAAAAATAAAAATAAGTAAATAAAAAAAACATGCGCGATGTAGGGGAGGGCAGGTGTGCTTGTAACTCTTTTTGCCCCAGCACTTGTAACTCTGTATTTTGAGCATCACTTCTAATCTGAGTTGACAGGCGGCAAATGGAAACTCTGGGGTCTTTGGCAATATAATAGTTTTAAATTTGGAGTAGTTGTTAAAGAGTACTGTGAATGGGACTTGAATATATGCTGTTTACCACATTACAGCCCAGTATGGTACCAGAACTTATAATCAAAAAAGACAATTCAAAAGTGATGATCCAACTCAGGTACAAGTTTATGTGCTTGTGATAAAACAGTCAGCCTGCTGTAACATTCAAAGTCTGAAAGAGATGATATAACTGCAGTACCAACCAGCTCAACCAGATGAAGGTGCGTTTCTGAGTTATTATCAAGAAGCAACCTCCAGTCTTGAGAGTCTACACTTATTTCCAGTCCATAATGAAATACTACTCAAATCTGTCACAGTAAACATGGGGACATAGTCATTAGACACGTGTTGGTGGATGGTGTTTATCAGGTATAAAAGATAAATTCAGTGTGTGGTCTTGTCTTACCTGTTAATAATAAGACTGTGTAACTAAGCACCCGTCTAGGCCTGGAGCGCTACTGTTAGAAAATCTTATTTGTTCCTTTTTCTTTATTTAACAGCTGCTTTTCGCTTCTGTTAAAACAGTGTATTTGCATATTCGTTGCACATTTGCTGGTGATACAGTTTGTCATTGTTGTTGTTGTTTTTGCAGCACTTTTCTTAATATGCAGCACATTATTGCCATTTTGTTGTTTTTGACTTTTGCATGCATTCCTAGAGTTATGTAATTTTTGCATCTGCAGCGTGTTTCTCCTAATGAATATCATTTTGACTGCTGCAGATCACTGGCCCTTGTTGGCTGCCGTATATGACACCATGAGGATATGCAACAATAGCTATTAACAGTGTTTGGTTTCAAACAGATCTATAGGTTTTATCAAAAGCAAATGACACAACAGCCCCATGAAATTATAAAATAAAATAATAAAGAAAAATATTGTAGTATAATAAATTCTTTAGTTTGGCCTTCTTTCAATGAGCTGCCGGATAAGAAAGTTTGGAGTGATCGTCCTTAAGTGTTTCATAGTTTTGCTCATGATCATTTGTTGAGTGTCAGGTTATTCAAGTTACAAGTTATCATTGAACTTTTACATCAGTACATCAGATACACAGGGTGTGGCCTTCATTGCAGTCTGCTCCAGTTCACCTGACTACTGTGTTAGAAGAAAAATAATAATAATAATAAAAGTGGCAACATTTTAATCCCAGTAGGAGAGTTGGAAGAACAGCTGTCACTAAATTTTATTTACTGCAGTTTAAACACACATGGTCATTCATGACACGTTAGTTAATTAATGAGAGCAGTTACACGGCAAAGTCTTTGGGACTAAACTTGCACCACATTCATGAGGTTGGCAGAAAACTCAGGTTTGATTGGAGGAGTTTGTTAAAATTAACGATAAACTGTAAATCAACAGCACACTCCTGCTGGTCAGCAACCAGAACAAATAGACAATATCCACCATATCAGGTGTGGATATTTGCTTCCTGTGAAATGCTAATAGAAGTTATTTCATCTGATGTGGATTATTATTTCAGGCTTTACAATCAGCTGGCCCCCCCACAGCACAATGCAACGTTGAAATGACATCTATTTAAGGTATTTTTTCGACAAAGAGGTACAAATGTGGAAGTCATTTCAACGTCTACAAGAGGTCATATAATGGCGTCTAATCTTGGATCCATTTTGCACGTTGTGCCGACGTCTAGATTTGGTCTTCAGATGATGTCCAAATAATAAACGTCCAAGCGAGTACCAATACTGACTTAATCTGCACGTCTCTTCGACGTCCGATGTTTTGTGGGCCTGGTCAACTGAGGTTGCTTTTAACAGTGCTTTAGAAATAAACTTTGACTTGACCTGACAAAGTGTCTCTGCTGCGCTGTCATTTATTTAGGTGCTGCAGTTTGTGGGTTTAATATTAACTTGTGTCCTACCATGGTATTAGTATTTGCATGATGTTGAATGCCTGAGCCTAATATTAACAATGTAAAACATCTACACTTGGGTTGGAATAATAATATTCATTCAGACGTCTTTTTTTATTTTGTAATGCTACAGATTAAGTATCATGTTGCTCTTAATTTAGTCAGGAAGTTCTGTTATTCGTTGCCGGTACAGTGGTAACTTAATGTCTGCCCACATGTCTCTGCAGTTACGGTGGTCCCTAATATGGTCCAGCAGGGTGTTTCATCAGTCTTAGTACATCGAATATAAGGTCCGGTAGTCTTGTCATGACCTGTTTAGGGTGCACTCCCATGTCAAGTGCTGTCACAGTCTGGAGTTTTACCTTGGATACAAACTCACTTGTTTTATGTAGCGTATGGCTGGGCACAAGAGTAAATCTGTTCATAAAAATGTCAATGCTCTGATAAATAATAATCCTGCATGTCAGTTCTCTTTCTTTCCTGCAACCTCCTCAGGTCCTCAGGGTCCATGTCTTTGACCTTGACACTGCTGCCCTTCCTTTTCCTCTCCTCTGACCTCTTCCCATCCCCCACCACACTGGTTTCTTTATGCAGGGAGAACCCATATTTTGGTAAATGATTTATTACAAATAAATCCATCTTTCACCAAAAGATGTCTCATTTCTTTTCCATCTTCTATTTAGCTTTAGTTGAATAAGTCTAAAATCTTAAAAACCGATCTCAGCCAGCGTGTAGTGAAGAGGCTTCTCTCATTTATCCACAAACTCCAGGCTTTAAATGTGAGCAGCCATGTTTGTGCAAAATAAGGGAATATTACTGTAGCTTGTTCGTCAACATGGGTCTTCTGCTTCTCAGATCATTTCTGCAGCTTTGCTATCCTGCTTGTCCACAAATACATGTTGTTAATAAGAGGAAGGCACTTTTTCTTTTACAACAGTGCAGTTTACCACAGAGACCATCAGAGGGAGCCAAAGTTTACCAAACAGGTATCTTAAATTGTGTGTGCACGTGGGGCAAGAGTGGATGTCACTGTTGAGAGCAGCCACTTCCCATCTTAAGATATTGTGGCTGTCCACAGACTTGCTTCAAATGTTTGTTCTTAGCAGGGTTTTGGCCTTTCCTCCTCTCACCCCCAGTCCCCTCATGAGTTGTTTCGAGCATACAGTTGCTGTGCAGCCAGGATCTAAAAACAGCAAAAGCCCTACAGCAAAAGCCCCTTAACCCAATAGTGATAGAGGGTAAGTAGGTTTGGGTGGATTTGATAGCTGCATGTAGGCGAATAAGGTCAGTAAGAGTGGTCCTGGAATTTGGATGCTATCTTTATTTAGCGCAGTGGTGATTAAAAACTATCACAAAGTTGTGATCTTAGGGGAATTCATATGGTGATAAGAAATATTTTAGTCAGCTGGTCATTTTTACTCACTCAAAATCTGCCATATTTTGGTTTCTCTCTCCTGCAGCTGTTACTGTGCCAAAGACTCTGAGTCTTCACCAGGGAAGACTCGCATGCCCCAGAAAAAAAACGCTCCTGGTGTGTAAGGACTGAAAAAAATGTTGAGAGATACCGGCCGGTCTGTCTTTCTCTTCCAAGGCCTCAACATACTGAATTTTAAAGAAAACATAAAGATAATTAAAAGATTACTTGGGGAAGGTTTTAACATTTTTCATTGTTCTTACAACGAACCCAGACCCTTGTCATCTGGAGCTAGCTTATTTTACAGCTAACAGTTAAAACTTTGGCATTAACAAATTGCAAGAAAAATATCTACATAGACACACAAAAAAACGTGATTTAAGTTTGATGAGTTCAACTACAAAGCAGGCAAAGCTACCATAAAAATATCTGAAAAAAAAAAAAAAAAACTTTCTTACCTCAAAATTATTTTTTTATTTTTTTATAGTCTACCACAGGATCCTACCTGTACACATGTGGAACAAGGACTAAACTAAGCATGTGCAGAGTGAGTCAGGTGATTTGTCACTTGTTCCTGATTGGAGAAACTGGGGCTGTGTCCGAAATGGATCCCTAACCCCTATATTAGTGACTATATGGGGGTTAGTGCCATTTTTAGAGGTGTCCGAAACCTGAGTGATCAATTAAAAAATTTCCCATAGAGCATTGCAAAATGTAGTGATCATCCGATGGTCACTCACCAGTGGTGGGCATCCCGTCATGCATTGCATCTTGCCATGTAGTGTCCGAAACCTGCGGTGACTGAGTTCACTACATAGTCAACTATATAGTAAAACCCCACATGAGGGTTAGGGGTTAGGGAATGAGTGATTCATTTCAGACACAGCCTGGAAGTGTTACTACTGACCCGTGTTACAACCATCCCCAGTCTCCCCTATAACATTTGTTAACTAGAGCTGCACGCAGTTTGGTCTCTGTCAAAACAAAAGCACGAAGTCTCAGAGGAAGAAAGGAAGCTCACTAAGTGTTGTTTGAGCTGTGACGACAGACCGACTTCTCCAGGTGGAGTGAAGGTGTGAGATCAGTCTGTCGGTCTCTCAGCAGGCAGTGATGGACAAGTTTAAGAGGATCCAGAACATCGTCAACCAGCAGGACAACTTCAGGCTCGTGTCACTGCTGACTGCAGGGGGGCAGCAGCTCTTCACTTTCATGGTCTTTGAGTGTCCCTGCAACAAGGAGCTGAACTTCATGTACGGGATGGTATCGATGCTGGTGCCCGCTCTGACCCTGTTGCTGCTCGGATACATCCTCAGTAAGAAGACCTGGAAGCTGATGACGGGTATGTGCCGGCGCAGAGAGCGGCCGTGCGGGTGGAGGAGAGTGGCTGCGGCCGGGGCCGTCCTGTTCCAGATCAGCACCTGTGCGATGGCGGCCCCGTTCACCTGGGTCGCCGTGGCTCTGCTCAACGGGAACTACGTGGTGTGCGCCGTGACCGGGACCAACTCGAGCAGCTTCCACAGACACCTGTGCGGAGAGACACAGTACACGGAGCAGTGCACGAAGGAGCTGTTCATGTTCCCCTGTGGAGAAGCCAGCGGGGTCCCAAAGGTTTACAGGGATCAGGTGATGCTCACCCTCAAGGCTCACTCTCAGGTCAGTGGTCTCCGAGCTGAAGTCTAACTCAAGAAAGTTGTCATTTGCATCGTCTTTGATATCCTGATCCAGCTGTGAGAGACACCTGAATCTTAATAAATCCGATGAGGATTATGCAGCCTAGTGCACATCCACTAGGCTGAAACCTCTTCAGTGGTAGAAAAACGTGTTTTATAAATTTGACAACATACTTGAGTACAGTTGAACATTAGCAGGCCTATAATTGATCAATACTTGATCAATTAATTAATATTTTAATGCTAAAATATAAGCTTATGAGCTTTGTGGTATAATTATTTTTCTTTCTTTATTGTTTTCCACTCTTGGTGTATTCTTTAGTTTTTCAAGTGCAAGTCAATTATTGAATAATCAACTTCAAGAGTTTTAGAAATATGCACAATGTTACCTCAATAATACACCTGAAACAATTTTGTAACCTTGTAAAAATATTAGCTTCAGAGCTCTATGTTTTACATGTTCATGTAAACATATAATTCTTTGGCTTATATACATCATGACTATATATTTTATTGAAATGCATAATCATTACATGTTCTATGTCATTTAAGTAGTAACACAGTAATACATAATCATGCCAACTGCACCTTACACTGACGAAAACCTGGTCTGGAGTCTATAGTCATTGGTGCAGATCTGTACATTCCTGATTTTTTGAGGGTGCTGTTACTGTATAATAGAATATTAAAAGGCCCTCTGAATCCCATTCAAGGAGATATAATGTGAAAACAGTATTCTCAATGATTTTTCAGTCTACAGAATGTTAAAAGTGTCAAGTAAAGTCCTTTCATTTGATAAAGCGTTAAAGTAGTGCCCTCAACATGATCTTAATATATGTATATAATGTAAAAAGTGATTCCTAGATTCCCTTTCAATAGATAAAACATTATTTAAGTGCCACTTAACTGCCTTTAATGGATATAACATCAAGCTTGGGTCAACAGGATGCCCTTCCATTGGCTAATGGTAAAACTATTGACACTCTTGATGTTTTTCCATCATGCAAAACATTCTGGATGCCCCATCAGTGTATTAAACACGTTATAAGTGGCAACTGGATGCCCATCCAACAGATAATAAACTGTACGAGTGTCCTTTGGATGTCACTCCAGGAAAAAAGTTTTTAAAAAAATTTAAAAAAAAGAAAGGGAGAGAAGCCACATTTCACAACCCTGTTTAAAAATGAGCATGTGAAAAACAACTGATCAAGTTTAACTGGGCTGTAGGCTTAATGTAGAAAGGGGCATTCATTATTTATATATCATTAATTGTGCCCTTGTCTTTTGACTTTCAACAACTTAAATTTGTTTAAATTTAAGTTATGATTCTGAAACCCGGCATCTACTTGCTGTACACAATTTCCAAAATAAAAATTTTCAAGTCTAACATCATTTTTGCAGGCTGGAACCAACTCTATTGCAAATCTACCTCATGATGTCAAAATGCAAAGAAGAAATAGAAAGTAAAGAATGACATAACTCTCTTCAAAATGTTGCTAAAAGCAGATCTTCATTGTTGGTTGGATTTATGGATGGATAAATTGTTGGATACGTTTTTTTTGGTTCACGGAGAGACAGAGCACACATACTAAGAGTTCACTGAGTAAGTTTAAAACCTTGTTTACATTTCACTCAAACGCTGGGATTTCTTAACGACCTAAACAACTTTAGCTGAGTATTGGTTTCACATCTGGTTTTAAGAGCATGGATTTGGGACTGGTTTATTGTTCACCTGCATGGAGGTTTACTTTCATAAGTTAATGTGCAACATGCATGATTTGGGTGACATATGTGGTGATGAATCTTGGCTGTATGTTCCTGCTGTCTTCAGATTCTGGGTTGGTTTCTTATTGCCTCCCTCATTTTGTTCAACCTGCTGCTGACCTGCCTGGCTCGCTGTTGCTCACCAATCAGTTACCTCCAGCTCAAGTTCTGGAGAGCCTACGCTGAGGAGGAGAGCAGCAAGATGGATTCGTACACTGTTGAACACGCCAAAGAGCTCGCTGAGAGGAACGTGGAAAGCTTCTTCACTATGATGCCACCTGAGAACATCAAAACCCCCTCCAACAGGGACTGGGAAAAGATCTCCTCCTTGTACACGTTCAGCTCCAGGAAGCAGTACTACAGCACCCTGCATCGCCACGTGGAGAGCTGGCAAGAAGATGGCAGAGGAATGATGAGGATAGCATCAGTAAAGTCAACTAACTCTGCTGCTGTCAATCCTGCTGTTCTGTCTTTTGTGGATGATGGCAACATCACACTGTGAGGAGGAATTCAACCGTCAGTGAAACCTCTCTGAATATTTATCTGGGGATTTTTTATTCTTGCATACTATTGTTGGTTTCTGTTTAAAGGTGTGTAGTTAGCTTAATATTTGCACACCTGTCTGATACAATGAGTGTTTTTATTATCACTTCTATCTGATAACTGGAAATAATCAGGTAGTGGTAATAACCTCATCTCACTACTCTACATGAACTTCAGTTACAAGTTTGAAAACCCTGTTTACATGGCTCTGTCAAGATTCATGAAGGCTGAAAAAAACTTCAACTTCAGTCAAGGTTTAACTATCTGTATATGCATATCTGTGTGTGTGTGCATGTATATACATGTGACTAAAGGTCCTTACACACCGGAACGACACAAATATATGATGCAAAATTACAAAATATTCTGAGGCGAATTTTGACGCGCCTGATTATACACATCAAGCGCGATGCGATTTTGCGACTTTCCGGGGAGAAAAATTACGCGTCCCGGGTGGAAGCGAGAAGACTGACACAACACCAGACTGACTGTTTTTCAGTTCTGATTAGACACTAGTGTTGAGATGGCTGTCTGTCATGATAGCATGTACTGCGTTGGGGTCAGTACCAGATAAGCACATTAAACTATAAGCCATAAACGTATGGTAACATCCGAGACCTAACGGTGCTGTGACAGTAACGCTGTGATTGAGTTTGAGACAGTGAAATACATATGGTACGTTGTAAATGAACAGGCTAGCTTAGGAGCTAAAGTTACTTAGCACAGATCAGAGTTAAAACAAAGACGTTTAGCAAACTGTTAAAGCACACAAACCATCGTCATATGAGAAATCCGACGCTATGATTCTCCACAAGTTGTCCTTCAGGTCGTTATCTTTGTAATATTTGTGTTTTTAATCAAAAAGCACTCTGTTCTCCAACACGTACACAATCAGCCGGTCGGCCATGTTGGATATACCGGTGAATCTGATGTCACAACAACATGAAGTCTGATTGGTCAGAAGTGGACACACAGTATGTGAAACTTTAGAAAATTTGACCTTGACACAAAAAAATAAATGCTGCAATAATGCAGGACGGGAAAACGTACCTGATGTGAACACTTGTATTGACAGGATACGGGTTCGAAAAAAATATTGACATCCAAAATAATCGCACGAAAAAAAAAGGCTCTCAGTGTGAGAGGACCTTAAGTATTCCAAATACCATGTGTATGGCCATCAGCACTCCATGTCATCACCTGTGTCTAATTGATGAGCATGCAGAGACTTGGGGGTGTATGATCAGACACGAAATTACACAAACACAGTCGAGTCCATGGAAATGTTGTTTACATTCAGCCTTTGCGTGTTCTTCCAAAATAAAGTCCTTACAGGATCCAGTCTGTCAAACTCTGACACATAACAACCCTGCAGACCCCCCCGCACCTGCTGTACGCCGAAACTACCTGACACGATTATAGTTTCCACCCTCAGGTTGTTACCTTGATGAACTCCTGACTGTCACAGAGTATCAGAGCAAATACTGAGCAAGAACCTGTCAAACAATCATTTACACACCGTCTAACATTTACAGTAAAAGTCAAATGGTTAAGAGTTTACCAGAGTCAGTTTTTGTGTCCCCTAGGATCACTGACAGGACTATATGCAGTGCAGCTGAAATGCACCAAGGCCCACACCTTTTACACTATCACAACTTCTCGCACCTTCATTGTAAAGGAAAGTTTCAGAGAGATGTGAGGAATAGTTGGTTCTGCAGACAGGAAAGGACTAGTCTCCTAACTTGTGGAATGTAAGATGCATTTATATCATGAGTTGCAATCAAATGTAACTTCTAAATACCTGTCTGATGGTGTGACGTCTGCAGAAAGGGCACCACTGCCTCTCTTTATGAGATGGTTAGGGTTTTAAAAATTGAACAGCATTATTTCTGATTTTGAGAGGCTAAAGGTAGCTTAGTACCATCCAACAGTTGACATCATTAAGACAGTCTTTGACAGCAGCTAGACTTCTAGGGTCCTCGGGTTTGAGAGGAAGGTATATCTGTGTGTCCTCTGCATTACAATGAAAGAAGACGCTGTGGTGCTTTTAATGTTTGCTGTGTCTAAGGTGCATCAACTTCATCATGGCCGACCAAGATTCACTGCCCATCCTGAGAAAGCATGTTGAGGTATGTAGTTTAACATTAGTTTTATTTCGTACTCATAGTTTAAACCGAGCTGGCGGTGCTTGTTGTGACATAACTGCCATTTTCCTTGTCATCTGGGATTTCTGGTCATTGCTGTTCTTGTTCCAATTATTCTGGAGTTTGAAATCTGTAAATCCTTAGCATGCAACTTTAAATAATGTATATGATGTTTCCTAAATAAACACAATGTTACAGTGTACACCCATGTTTTCTTGACAGCACACATGCACTGTAAAAACACAATATTTTGAGTTTTTTTTCTCTAAATAGTGAACTGAAGCATCTTTAAAGGCATGTACTCCAGTACTTTAAGTTAAGTTATATTATGACTGAGCGTCTTTCACTTGTGTTGGGGTGATATTTGAACAGGAGGATCTATACTTTGACTCAAGTAACGAAGTTTAGTTTAGAAATTTTTGCAGCAAAAGTAGCAAGAAATCTCTGCAGCGTTAATTGCACCGTAGACTAGATAAGATGAGAAAAACATTGAACTTTCTTTATCCCAAAAGGGAAATTCAGTGATGTTACTGTAAGATACGTCAAACAAGAATAACATGTACAGTGTCTCAAATAATTTGGATGCATCATTTCTTCTTATTCTTCTTTCCTTCCGGCTTCTTCTTCTTCTTGCCTTTTTTGTTCTCCGATTTTCTGAAAGTGCTGAAGCCATGGCGTACCATGCAGCCCCTCCACCAGGCTTGGAGCTGCAGAAAAAAGGCTCACATGTTAAGAATCAGAATTAGGGATAATAAACACACGGTCGTGTCTTGATTCAGGACGTTCTCCTCCACATCAACGGAGGTATAAACCATGATGGTCTATGTTCTTGTAAGTGGGTGTTGTTACCTTTATCGCAGCTCTGACCTCTGCCTGCTGTAGCTCCAGTTTCTTCTGCTTCTCTCTGTCCTCAATCACCACCTGCTCCATCTCCCTGAACTGAAGATCATTCAGCATCTCATTAACGTACATTGTGATCATGTACTCTGCTTTGCATCTGGAGGTGTTCAATAAATCCTCATAGGTGCAAGAAAATAGATGCTTACCATTCTTTTTTTCTCCATCAGTCTGTCAAAATTAAATGTACTGTTGCACTGTACATTATTGACCTGCTGCTTCATTTCCTTCAGTGTCTGCTCTGTGCGCTCCTGCCACTGCAGCAACTGTTTCTGCAACCCCTGAGACCATGGTAACAAAATAAGCTGCTGCAACAATTTCTAAAGGTTAACATTGTAAGCAGTTGATTGATATTGCAATGAACAGGTGTAATGACAGCGATGACAAAAAAGACCAAGGGCTAATGTAAAAAAGGATTTCAAATTCTACCTAAAACCCTGAACAGCCCAGATAGCTAGATTTAGTAAGAAATTGATTAAAGATTAATTTCACATTAATTTCTTTTAGAAAATTATAACAAAAAAAAAAAAAACAGCAAAGCAATTTTAAAATGAACTTTTTCTGTGTCACCAAAAAAGAGCAGAATAAAGGTTCAGCAGAGCAGAGTTTTACTGGTATATACTTAAAGTGTGCGAATCTTACCACGAATAAGCTGATGACTGACTGAGCTAAAGCTGCCCCCCTATTTATAAAAGTAATTGTGTTCATGATTCTTGCTATAACTATGCAGTCGTAGGTATAGATAAAACCTCTGCTAAGAACACAGTTCTTGAATTGGGGTGTCTATTTGTGCAGACAGCATGCACTGAGAATAATCTTTAACAAATGTAAGTATTTGTGTAATTGTTGCTCCACTAACCTCATTTCGATTTTGCAGGGACATTCTTGTCTCCTCGTGAACTCTTGCCTCCCACTGTAGCTGTTTCTGGAGCAACTGAGAGGAAGAATCACAAACGATTAGTTGGACAACACTAAACTGTGAAATCTTACGGTCCCGTTTACTAATGAGGGAGCTGTGCAGTACATAGCACAACTGTCATCCCTTCTGGTTATTTATTTCTTCTGGTATTTAATTACCATTTGACATAACAATCAATACAACTAACACAGCGACTCAGCCCATGTGCAGGAACATCTTTTTAACCATGAACTGCGGGGTTTTAACATTGCTAGTGTATCTACAAGCATGTTTATGCTCACTGGCTTTTTATTGATAGGTGTTGCTAGGTGCATTATTTGCCTCAATGTCTGTGACCAAAAACTACAGTGTAGTATTTTTTCACTGATAATCTTTGTATGGGTGTGTGTGTTATGTCTTTGTTCGTTTCACAAAAACAGCCACATGCACAAGTACAGCTGCAACTCACCCCCGAGCGCTCCTCTAGCAGCTTCTCAGCCTGAATATTCTTCTTTTGTGTCTGTTCGAGCTCTACCTCAGACATTCTCACAACCATTTCCTTCTTGTGAGCAATTATTGAAGACTTCTCTTTCAACTGAAGCTTCAGTTCTTCTGCGAGCATGTTCAAATCCTGTTTTATTGGTGGGGGAAAGCGGAGGAGGTGTGGTCAGGTATCCAGAAATTAAAAAAGTACAGAGTAGCAGTGTCCCAATCCAGAGTGGCTATCTTGGTAACCAAATGCATTGCAGAGGCGAGTCAGAGACTCAACTGATTTCAGAGGCTCCTTCAGACAGGGCCAACAAATGTGTCCCACTTTCCCCAGGTCATGAAGGCTGCATCAGGTGAATTCCTAGTGGCCCAACATATCCCATATCCTTGTTATTAACTCAGCTGCTTTCTCCTCTGTCTGTTTTTTGGATTGATTTATGAGTTGTTTTTTGTTGTTGCTGTTACGACTTAAATCAATAAAAACTTGCCTTGCCTGTAACCATAGACTTTATGGCTGTTACACTGAGCTGTACAAATGTTTTAAACAACATTATTTTTAGAATGTTGGTGATGGTGTTACAGATACAGTTACATGACTCTAAGCTAGCAGTGTTGCCAAGTGACAAGAGCTGCTCAACGAAACTGTAAGGGTGCTAACATAAGCACATCGCCCTCTGAGAGGTACATAGATCATCTCAATTTGGTATGGCCTTACTGGTCCAGACAAGCCACGAAAGCAGGGTCCTTCAAAGGGTTCAGCCCCTGGATCTGGAAACAGCCATTGTGAATCACACTTATTACCTCACGTCCATGGTAAACACCCAGCTGTGTTCAATTCTGAATCTAATTGATCAAACACATTGACAGCCTTTTGACAGCGGTTTATAAAACTGCATAACTAGAGCACCAGAGACAAGCAGATTACAAGAATCCCTCTGCAGACAGTAGTTTCAGCACATTTAACCTCAGCTTGTTGACATTGAAATAAAGACTTTGGTTTCTGTAAGCATTGTAGGCAAACACTGGTAAAACATTAGCGTTTCTACTTTCTGACTGTTGACAAGGCAGGAAATAAAGCTACCTTTTTTGCAGGATATAGAAAAAATAGCAAAATAAAATTAGAATCCCCTCTCTGTCCTGATCCTTATGACCCTAAATGCCCCTTCACTGTGCATTATGCCTCAATAAGCCAGTAACATTTTATTTTATTCTGCACTAAGGCCCTCCTCACACGAGGACGGCCCCGGCACCAAAACATGTATCGCTGTTTACACATTGTATTGTACATAGGCTTAGTGCATTTACATGACAACGCAAAATCGGGTTTAAGTTGCCCATCTGGTTCTGCTCCAAAGTGGATTCCACGACAACAAGTTGTGAACGCGTAACATGCTGCGTCTCTGCATGAGCACTTGTTGCTGTTGTTGCCATAGCTGGTGTTGTTGCTGTTCTAAATGTTGGTATAAAAGTCGTAGCAATATTTGTAGTTGCTGGAACAAGAACAAAATCACCCCAGCTACAGCCACTGTTGTTGTTGCTGTATATGTGACAACCTGGGTTGGGGGGCGGGAAGAAGGATGGGTGCTATGAGGTCACCGTCTTTTCAGGACTTATCTATTTATACCAACTACGGCATGAAGACGAATACCCAGATATCCATCTGCAGACCCGTTTTCAAAAAAGATGCAGAGTCATGGACAAATACACGTCAATATCACCAGATCGATAGTTTATTTTACCGGTGTCTTACAAATTCGTACTCGTTTAAAGACCACCTTAGTTTCTCACCTTTAATTTCCCACTTCTCTGTTGGATTTCCTCTTCCTGTCTCTTTAGATTTTCTTTTCTTTGCTCCACCATTTTTCTTTCTTCCCTGTATTGAAACACACACATTACTAATACAACACAAGCATTCCACACTTTTGCTGAGCCTGTTTTTTTTTTTTAAATGATAGCATCGTGCTGTCATTATTAAAATTGGGTCAGCAAATTTAACTTCACAGTGGCATATTACCAATTGTTGAGATTGCCACTGCCAGCACTTTTCAAATCAAACACTATTAAACCTTTGTAAGTTCTTAGCTTTCGTCATTCGCTCCTCCTCCATCACCAGCTGCTGCAGAGAGGTGAAATCTTGCTTCTGCTGCAGCTCTGAATACAATCTGGAAATGTGCTGAGAAATGAACTGACTGGAGGAAGTGACAAAAAAAGTTGTTGGTATAAATGTCAATAACAATTTCTGACTGTTGTTTTGTGTGTCTGCACCACTCACCAGTCTTTTTTTAGCTCTTTCAGCCTGGCTACTTCCTAAAAAAAGCATGCACACAAAAACCCACAAGAAAAGAAATAGAGAATAAACCCAGCATTAGAAAAAAAACAGACAAATCACAGATAAGTTCTGCAGATCACTACTTTTATTTTTATCAAAAGAGTATCCAAACAAGTGCATTCACCTGTGCCGGTGCAGAGCCTCCCCTCCTGCTGATCCGTACAGTCAGAGTATGACCAAATATGTCTAATCGCTCTGAACATTCTCCAAGAACAGCAGCCAGTCTGAGACTCTGAGCCAGGGACACAGACATCCTTCAGAAAATAAAATATAAGGTAAGAAAGTTACAAGTCAGTAGCTTGTGCATTCTGATAATAATGGGTCAAAAAATAAATAAATAAAATAAAATATGGTCATTATCGAAAAGTTTTTAACAGCAACTTGAAGAATAATATTTCTTGATTCACCTTGATTTGCTAAAATGTAGTTCAATCATCCAGGATAACCAAGATTTACCAGCAGCTTTTCTTAACCAAAACTCAAGACTGCAAGTCCCAGCAGTAGAAGAGGCTCAGCATAGTTCAGGACCAGGAAGATCATTTCATAGTCATGTATTAGTCAAACAGGGAACCCACTGGCAATCCTTGTTTATCATCTGTCAGATGACATTCTTTTGGAAATGGATACCGACTGATTGGTTATTTTGCTGCAGCCAGCTGTTTACGTTCAACAACTTCAAGCCAAAACTTCCCTTTTTATGCATGTTATCATTTTGTCTATGAGGAGGTCTATGGAGCGAAGCTATGGATGTGACTCCACTAACCCACCTTACACCATGGTAGCTGGCTTATAATGACACTAAGTAAGGGCTCGAACTGTTAGAGCACACCAACCAGTGTCACCACTCACAGAAGAAAATAAAAAACCTTATCTTAATTTCACATTACCCAAAATAACTTCTATCTCTGCATCTGAAAGTTCTCTCTTACTCTTACTCTCTCATTCACCTTCTGCGCCATGCTTGCAGACAATGAAGTACCTACACTGCCTCATATCACGCTGCAGCAGCACATAGGTGTAGGAAGCTGCTGAAAGTTGCACAACCAAATAAAGCTTGTGGGCTGACAGTGCCACAAAAGGTGAAGATGTCACATGAGCTCGGATTTTGTTGAATCTAAACATGGAGCTTAATGCAAGTAAGTGTGCTAAAACCCCAATCTGTGTTTTATAAACCAGGTTTGTTAAATATAATTTAGAGGCAATTGTTATGAAGTGTTAATGATTTTTGGTGGAGTTGGAGTCACCAAAAGCATCCCCAACAATATTGCAAACGTTCACATAAAAATATGAATATTAATGCTATTTTACACATGCACTTTGTAAATCTTTGTTTTTAAAAGTGCTTGATAAATAAAGTTATTATTATTATGATGTGAATCAATTTGTTAAAAAGTCACTTGGTGACTAATATTTTTCTCAGTCTTCAGCTTGACATTGTTTTTATTGCAGACCAAGCTCCAACAGTAATGATATTTGTTATCATGAGTTGTTGAGTTACATTACATTGAGTTTTCATGTAATACAGGGGACTGATTTGTGTGAAGTAGCATTGAGATTTTGTTGTTATTGTTAAATGTACTTTTGGCGAGACTGTCCATGTTGGGGAAATAGCTGCTATATAGATTTACTTCTGTAACTGGAATACTTTTACACATACATTAAGACACATTTCATGAGTGACACCCACTTAGCTTTACAAAATTTCATCGGATTGTTCTTCTTCTGTGAGAGTGACCACAAGTGTCACCATTATGTAGCCTTATTGACAGAGGGTCTCCCATATTCAAACTACCGTAGCCTACTAACCTCCCTGTTAGCCAGGATGTCACGTTGTCTGGCGTCAGTGCTCACTAAAGTATAAGCGGGAATTTAGCTAAAGACGTAATTGTAGTGAAAACAAAAACTGTAATGGATAAAAACAGTCACTTACTTTGATTCTGTCTGTAAATCACTCTCACTTGGGTCAAAGATGGTTACTTTCAACAGAGACGACGTTTCATCCTACGGCAGTTTGTGTTTGACTGATTGCACGTCTCCAAGGTAACACAGCCAGGTATTGTATCTTCTTCTTCTGTTGATATCCCGGCGGTTTTAACGCTGCTTGGCGTCTTACTGCACTCCAAAGGAGGACCAAACTTTACCAGGTTGCACTTCGCCTTATTGAATCAGAATCAGAATCGCCTTTATTGTCATTGTACACGGTACAACGAAATTTGAGCGCCACTCCCTTTGGTGCATAGCAAAGTTATATATAAGTACTAAAAAGAAAGCCATTTTAAAACACAAGATAAGGTAAGAATAAGAAGAAACAAAAGTAAAAAGTTATATTGCTGAATATAACCCATAAACTGTATTACCTGAGATATTAAAAAATAATAATAATCAGTACGTGACTGTTTCAAGGCTGCCATATTTCACACAGCCCACTTGAATTCAACTTGTTTTATGGTTTGAGAGGTGCAAATCTTTTATTTTCCAATAATTTCAGTCAATATTGTTTAATCATACCTTTTTAAGTCTTAATATTCCTCACATTTTTATTCTCTTTGACTTTATTTTGAGCCCTGTTTTTTAAGCAATATAAATACAATTTGTCAGTGTTATTATTTGGTTCTGTGAGGAACTTCAGGTTTGTGCCAATTATGGCAGCCCCTGTGGACACAGCAGTCATTGCTTATCAATTAATCAATCAATGAGTATTTATTTATATAACACCAAATCACAACTATCTTTATCTCAAGACGCTTTCTAAAAGAGCTGGGGGGTATTCCAGAAAGCAGGTTCAACATACTCTGAGTCTATCCCTGAACTCTGAGTTGACTTACTCTGAGATGGGAGACTCTGAGTATCCGGTTCCAGAAAAGCTGATCTGAATTAGTTCAATCAACTCTGAGTATGATAACCTGGAGTTACGCGCGTGCACAACCACTATAAAAAGCCATCATCAATGGAGCCCCGATACCACGAGTCACCATGACAACAGAGCAAAAACGGTCAATTTATTTCACCCCGGTGGAGTTGGAGGTCCTTATGCTGGCCTACGGCGAGTATGAGAACATTTTTCGCCGCAAATCCAACACGGCTGCAGCAGCGAAGGAGAGAGAGACGGCATGGGAGAAAATTGCTGCGCGAGTCAATGCCTAAGTTTGAATGTACTATTCCACTGACGTAAGATATAAGATCGAAGCATAGTCTATAGTTATGAATATAAGTAGGAATGAAATCTGATTTTCATTTAAGGGGCAATCCAACGGGAGAAAAAAGAACTTGGAAGCAGCTCAAAATGAAACATAAAAACATAAATCAAAAAGGTAAGGCATATTTTGCTAGGCTGTGATTGCACCTCACTTTGGTTTTAATTTAATTATTTTGAATGGACTTAGGCTATTAGACAAAGTCAATATTAATTTAAACTAAAATATTAATTCAGCGGCTACTTCAAATAATCATTTAAACCCCAAACAAAATGTAGTTTTTCAACGTCCTCTCACTTAATTCTACACTTCGTGGATTAACACTTGATACAAACACATTTATATTTTAGACCTATTGAAGTCATTTAAAATGTGACGCTGTAGCCTACACCAGCACTGATTAAAATACTATTTTAAAATAAACATTGACTTCTGCTCAGCCAACAGAAAGAAGGCAGAGGCCCGAAAAACGGGTGGAGGGCCACCTCCACTACATCTGACCGAGGCTGAGGAGCTGGCCCTCAGCCAAAACAGGGGTCGCCCTGTGGCTGAAGGCATCCCCGGGGGAAGCTCATCCGAGCCTGTCACCCCCCAGGACACAAGTCCCTACATCAGATGCAAGTATACACTTATGTCTTTAAAAAAATAAAACTAATATATAAATATACAGTATATAGCCTACTTTTTTAATATATATCCACCCACCCAACAGTCGACAGAAACAAACCCTGTAGCTGTAAGTCTTTCATACTCAGATTCCTCAGATGGTAGTTCAAAGTATTCTGAAACAGTATATTTTCCTGCATTACAGGAGGGGAGGAGGAGGAGGAGGATGAAGAAACACTGTCTGCTGCCACAGGGAGAGATCAGAGGGGCATCCTGAAGTGTGTCTTAATATATTACTGACAAGTGCCCATTCATTTACATTCTAAAGTGGAATTTGGAGTTTGACATGTACACTGAATACACGGCCGGAGAAGGTTATTTAGATAAATTATACTGTTCAAAGAAAAGCGGTAGCGTTCGAAAAGAAATTCTTCTGGAAATGATAAAACGTCTAATCTGGGTCGGAAGATTCTCTCGCGACGTAAACCGTTGCGCATTATTCTGGCTTCGATGTCGATCGGATTTTCAAGGAATGGACAATCCATGTTCAACCGTTTCATTGTGTGGGAGGAGACATGTAGAAACCTCTGGGTCTCTTATAGTAAACCTGTCAGCGAGCAGGTTATGTTCACAGAGTAAGTTACCGCAGTAACTGACCCAGTGTTTAAGTTACCTCTCTTTCTGGAACGGATAACTCAGAGTTTCCTAACTCAGAGTAGATCAACTCAGAGTTAAGGATTTATTTCAGAGTTTGTTGAACCACCTACGTGAAACGGACCCCAGGTCTACACCAAACTCTTTCTTTGATGTATTACAAAGACCCAGCTTCAAGATGGGAAAGACTGAGTCTCATCTGTGTAAGACTCATTGTTAACCCATCTCAAACCAACATGAGTGAAGCACTTTTTAGCATATTGGGTTCTTCCCTTTAATAGGTGGAAACCTTGTGCAAACCCACTCTCGTTAGACAGCTACCCACTACCACACTACCTTCACGTGTCACCTGTGTGCCCCAAACACCAGGTAGTACAGATTTGCATTCACATTCTTATCATTTTCTAATGTTCATTCTAGTTTTATATATTTTCCTGTATTGTTATTTTTTGTGTGGAAAAGTGTGCAGTAAAGCTGCTTTGTATAGTAGTTCTCTGGAGTCTGTGTATTTTCTGTTGTGCCTCAATTTTTAGGTGTGAGGGAAATTTTCAAAGTAGTGATTTTACTGTCAAAGCATGGGGATATGGCGCCACCTTGTGGAATGTTTACAGTAAAAACAAAGGCCAAATGAAATTATAATCAATACTTTTAGAATTATTTTCATCAATCGAGTATTGGTGGGCATTGACAGTTTAGGACGAGCAGTAGTGAGCAAGTGTAGCAGAGGAGAAGACAGGAGAGAGAGGCCATTGTTAGTGAGTGAAGCTAAATGCTACAGGAGTAAACAAAGCTAACAACTAAAAGAACCATCAAAGAGATCACCAGAGGTGAGGAGAGATATAGCGCTAGGTGAAAACTAGCAAATATAAACACAGACGTGTAGACAGATAACAGATGTGTTGATTAAATGAAGAAAAATAATCTATTTCACGAGAAAGCTAACAGGACACAAACGACGTATCATCATCATCTTCTTCTTCTTCTTCTTCTTCTTCTTCTTCTTCTTCTTGTATTTCCGGCAGTTTCGACTCTACCAGGGGTATTACTGCCCTCCACTGGTTAGACTCTCATATACAGTCGTGTATCACACAAGAACTGTGAAAGTGCTGCCACTATCTAGTGGTGGTTTTCGTAGAGGCCAAAGAACGATTTACAAGAAAAGGAAATCACTGTTTCAGGGTGATTGCACCCGCATAGCCCTGTACTATGTTTGCCTGTAACAGCCTGTACAAGTCATTATTTAATCTACAGTGTCCCAATCTTTATCTGCATATTTTAACAGAATCTTTTTGGTTTCGTGATAATAAATGTCTTTTTAATTTTGGGGTAAAAAGAAAAATGTGTCTTCCCTATTCTGTTAACTATTCCTCTCCACACATTCTTCACTATTCCTCTCGACACGCTTTTTAATTTTTGCTCAATCAATCAATCTTTATTTATAAAGCACTTTTCATCCACAGAATGTAGCACAAAGTGCTGTCCATGCTGCCCATAGGGATCTTCACGTCTATTTCTCATTTCTTGAAGATTGCTTTTGTAATTAAGTCTGCTTTTTTATTTCACTGTACCCCTGCATGTCAGGAACCCAGCAAAACTCAGGACAAGCCCTTGATCTGCCCCCTCCTGAATCCATTAATGTGGCTGCAGAATCAGAGCAGACCAGTACTCTGGATAATTTAGTATCCTCTATCCGCCACAAGGCCCAAAGGATTGCCAGCAGTTCTGCAATAAAAGCAGAGCTTTAATTAAATTTTTTTTAATTAAATTCGTACCCAAGTTAGTCCACAAATACTCTAAATCCTTCAGTATCACTCTCTGGATCCAGATATTCACCTGTTAAGACTTCCAGATAGGACCTTTCGTCTTTATTGAGTAGATGTTCTACTTTAGGGCCTATCCCTTCACTTGATTTTTGATTTAGAAAGGTCAAGTTAGCATCCACCCCATTGCTCATTAGCTACAACCATCTATAATAAAAGCCAGCATACAGTGGGGAAACACTGGCCTGCAGGCTCCTCAGCACTGTGCTGCTCATCTTATATTTTGAGCTCAGAGCTCTCTGTCAGCTCATTTTATTTCCTTCATATATGACACTTTACTTTGGTCTCTATTGATCTGGATCTGCTTGGCTTGTATAAAATGTTAGCATCTACGAAACACTGCCGTATGGTCTCCCCCACAATTACAACACAAAAAAAGGGAAAAAAAATAAATAAATAAATGCATGAATAAATCCAAAATAAATAAATATATGGGGATAGGTACATGGCCATCATTATATAAAGAGAGGTTTCAAGGAAAAACATGTCACAGGAATAAGAAACTTGGTAGCCTATATTTTTTATTATTAATTGAAACCATTGTATTAAGGGGGGAATTTAGCTTTATTAGATATGTACAACAAGAGCAAATACCTACATATCCTCTGGTATAATAACTTCAACTATATACAATTAGGCTACACGTTTAATTATTTCGGTTTACTTTGTAGAACTGTTTTTCCTCTCGTTTGTTGTTTTTGCTTTTTTCGTTGGTGGAAGTTTACTTTTTATAATTATCTGTGCACTGTGTGCATGATGAGAGAGTTTATTCTTCTATATTTGCTCTGCTGAGGTTAGGTTTAGGTTTATGTTTAGGCTAAAGTTTATCTTTTCTATCTTATCTTAAGAAGGGAAATTTAGGAGGCAATCCCAAGAACTAATGTTAGCGAAGACAGAATTTTGCATGTCATAGAATGACGTTTATCACATACCAGTCTGTTTTTTTGTGTTATCATAGCAACAAACAATGTCTTTAAGGACAAGAGAGTAAACAGAATTGAGAGCCTAAAAAAAATGTGTCTTATCAAAATCTTGTAAAAACTTCCGTCACAAAGAGGTGACAGATTGTTTTTTTAACAAAAGGCACAAAACATGTGAACATCTGGGAATAAGACAACCAACTGGATATAGGGGAGAGTGGGGTAAGATGAGCCATTTTTTTCATATTTCTGATCACGACATCAAGACAATCATAGTTTTGTCTCTAACTAGTGCATCTGTATATATTTCAAGATGTTGTGCATCCCTGCAAACCAACAGAATGAGTGTAAACATAATTGTCTTGATAATATATATATTCACCCATGTGCTTCTAACCTTCACAGACTCCATGAATTGATGCCCATCTCCTAAATATTTGGTCACATGATCAATTTCTTTTACCATTTCCAAGCAACAGGGGGTGGTTCAACTTACCCCACTCTCCCACCTCTATGTTGAGCAGACTTTTAAAATGTAGCCTACCTCTTCAGCTTAGTAAAAGCCAAGCCCTCCTCTGAAAACTCTCTCTGTGCGGCTCTGGGGAGGGAGCGTCATTCAGCTGTGGGCGTGGCTTCACATGGAGCGCGCCGCACATGAGACTGTGAACGAAGAGCAGTGGGGAGCGCACAAAAAAACGAGACATGCACCTTTTCACTGACATCAGATCATACTACTACTCTGCCAGCCGACTGTCCAATCAGGTGGCCGCATGCAGGCATAGCGCTCCTGAGGCCGTCCAGTCAGCAGATAGCATGAGCTCTGCTCACCCTGTCTGCACTTGTGATTGGAGGGCTGAGCTGCTGCCGAGGACGGATTGGAAACCAGGGAGTATGAAGAAGTTTTTGTCCGCATCCCATCTCTTTGCCTGTCTTTGAGCCTTGTTCGGATGGGGGCAGCTGTTTTGATTTAAGAACACTTCAGAAACTAAATTCCCAAACCGATGATCGGTGGTTATCAGTTTCTCGGACTTTGGGGTTTCCAATAACCGGCAACTTCTAATTTCCAATCATCAGGTTTTTTTTTTGGTTTTTTTTAAATTCCTAAAAATGTGGACTTTCTTGGGAATAGCAAGCTTCACATACCTTTACAAAAAATCCAACACGTTTTTAACTTTGGCTTACAAAGAGCTGATGATAGCTGCGGTCTTATTTCTCAGTGTCGGGCTGCTGTTCCAGGTCTTCAGGTGCTTTAATGGCCAGAGGCTCTCAGGTTCGCAGGTCATCCACCTGCCTCTGAGGCTCCTGTCTCGTTTACCTGTTATCAACACTTTACTCCCCAAAACTTCAACACAGTGGAAGGAGAGAGCAGAGACCAACAGGGAGGAGGTAAAACCTTTTATGATTCGTCAGACTGATTATCCTGGGACTCTTTGTTGAGGCATAAAACATATATTGCGGGTATATTTTTTTAACTTCTTCATATGTATGTTTGCTTCATGTGTTCTGTCTTGTGTAGGACAATTTTGGGCAAGACTGTTTTTTGACCCCAAAAACAACTGTCTGTATTTGAGGAAACTTATAGGAGCATTTTTTAATACCTACTTTTAAAAGGTTGAAACGTCATACAATAACTCTGCATAAATCACCTTAAACCGGGCCAATCTCTGACTAGTAATATTTAAGAAATTCAATCTGTGGATGAGATTAAGTAATAATTTTCTAAATTTGCACAGGCAATTTTTTTAAGAGACATATTTATTATAAAGTAAGAAATGTATAATTTCAGCAAGTGTCCTCTTCAACTACAACACAGTTCTTGCATAATGAGCAACTATTGCCCTCTTTGGAAGTCCTTTTGTGTGTATGCATCCATCCATTTTATGTTCACTTTGTTTTTGTGTGAAAATCACGAAACTTCAGTTGTTTCTGGAGCCTTCCAAATAAGTTCAGGTCATCTGTAGTCGGTTATAATTTCTGTAAAACAAACAGCTGACAAATCAAGTGATATATAAATGACAGGTGACAGATTATTGGCAACTCCCAACAACAGGATGATGGTGTTTAACAACTTCCTCTGCCAATATTGCATTAGCATGTAGCATTAGCTGGATTGTCATGTTTTTTTTTCTAGTTAACACTGTGCCAACTTGGTTGTGTTATTTTTCCTTTGTTATTGTGTGACACAAAATTTTTAGCTCAGTCCGTGGCTGCATGCCAGCATTAGCTGTTTTCTGACCATGAAGCTTACAATTTCACAATGTGTTGTTTTGGTTTGCAATAGTCAGGTTTCAGTTTTTCTGGTAACACTTCATTTGAACCCACCTTTTATAATGCATTATTTGCATTACAAAGCCTAAGAAATACATCTATAAGGCTTTATAACAATTCTTATGATAACTCCAAAAACTATTTATAACAGCTTATAGCAACTAATATAGTGGGATTGGCTGTTAAGTATTGAACAGCTCTGATGCCATACTCTTGCAAATTTAATCTGCAAACTGTTTCACTTTAAAAATCATTACAGGAAGTTATGAAAGCTGCAGTCCTGCAGGCTGATTCAATCCAGGCTTTTCACTGTGTAACATATGATTGTGCATTTGCTTGATTCCAGGGTCAGAGAACAAAGAGAGGGGTTAAAGTCGAGTCGTCTGCCTCACTAAGTGCCTCAAACGGTTGCCTTTCGAAGTCCTCAGAGCCTGATGTGGTGATAGTTGGGGCTGGGGTGCTGGGCTCAGCTATGGCAGCCATCCTAGCTCGGGACGGAAGGAAGGTGACAGTGGTTGAAAGAGACCTTAGGGAGCCTGACAGGATAGTTGGGGAGCTACTGCAGCCTGGTGGATATAAAGCCCTTAAAGAACTGGGACTTGAAGGTGGGTGTTTGAGTTAGTTCACAGACATTTCTATATTTTGCTTCATTGTGAAAGTTTTTTTGGTAAAACCTCACTTCAGAAACATTACTGTAAGCTATTATGAATCCTTATAATCACTCATAAAGGTTGTTATAAAGCATGATAGATGTATTTATAACGTATAAATGTGCTTATTATGCATTATCAGAGAGGGTTCATATAAATAATAAAGACTGATGAAAGACTACCAAGAACTCTTATGATCAACAGTTCATGTGACAACTACCAAATGCAGGGGTTATTTAGGATAACAGGATTGACTATAGCCACTCTAAAAGGTGAATGTTCAGTTTGAATGAATTAATATCCAAAGATTATTTCCTCTTCCATGAACTTTAAACATTCAAAAGCAAATGTGTTCCACCATGAATGTGGGAAGTAAAACAGGAACTTTTGTTTTTGTGTTTGGCCTCAGGTTCAGTGGAGGGTCTGGATGCTCACTTGGTCAAAGGCTATGTGATCCATGACATAGAGAGCAGCACAGAGGTGGAGATCCCCTACCCTCAGGAGGAGGACAGCATCCAGTGTGGACGTGCCTTCCACCACGGACGTTTCATCATGGGCCTCAGGAGACTCGCGCTGGCTGAGCCAAAGTGCATACATGTGATATATATGTTTAAAAGTAGTCCTGACATAACAGAGTACATAAATATCTTTTTTTTTTTTTATTACAATGTGTTGCTGACATCTTTGTCTCTCAAACTGAATCTGCAGTGTCACATTCATAGAGGGCACTGTGACCAGTTTACAAGAAGAGGATGGTTGCATCACAGGGCTTCAGTACAAGGAGAAAGAAACTGGAGACATGAAGGTGAGAGGAGGAAACTCAGCTGTAACATATACTCTCCTGCCCAGTGTCCTCTTCACATACAGTAATACTTTCAGTGCAAAGTAAATGATCGACTGTTTCACCTTGTGTTCCTAAGGAAATCTATGCAGCCCTCACTGTGGTTGCTGACGGCTGTTTCTCCAAATTCAGAAAGACTCTTATCAGCGGGAAAGCAAAGACCTCTTCACATTTTGTTGGATGTCTTATGAGGGTAAGTTCCAACCAGTTCTGTAGCCTGACACTTGAAAAAACCAAAAAAACTCATCGGCATGTATTCGGATATATTTAAATTCAATTTTAAGGAAACACATAAAACATTTTCAGGGAAATTATGACTTGCATTTTTGTTGGAGTCAGTATTCTTTTTTTTCCCTATGTTTGAGTTATCCCTGAATTTTTTCAGGACTGTCCCCAGTTTAAAGCCAACCATGCTGAGCTGGTGCTGGCCTACCCGAGCCCAGTGCTCATCTACCAGATCTCCTCCTCAGACACCAGAGTCCTTGTGGACATCCGAGGGGAGATGCCTCGCAACCTCCCAGACTACATGGCAGAGAAGATTTACCCACAGATGCCAGGTAAGAGACAAATGAAGAGAGCTTGATTTTCAGATATCTCTAAGGTGTTTTTTTTCTGCTTACAAGTTCAAAATCCAAACTGATATTTAGTTCTGTGTATGGGTAAATGATAAAAGTTTGACACATAGAAAGTTATCCAGAAGATTTCTATTTGACACTGATGCAGGTAGTAATTTTCATGTGCAGCCAAGAAAGCAACAGCTGAGGGGTTTGACATTAATAGCGCCCCCTGCTGTTCAGAGTTCATCGTCTAGACACCTTCATGTCAGCGTTCTCCTCAGGTGTAAGCCCACTGTGTTCTTCATCCTTTAAACTGGGCTGCCTGTTCATTTATGTTTGTCCTCAGAGCATTTAAAGGAACCATTTATGTCGGCCCTGCAGAATGAGCGACTCAGGTCCATGCCTGCCAGCTTCCTCCCTCCATCCCCCGTCAGCAAGCCAGGTACAGAGGTGTTTTCTTTTTTTAAGGGAGAGAAACCAGGAGGAAATTAATGAACTGATGGCAAAGAGTGTGACATTTGTTTTGGGTAAAGCATTGCATGGATTTGCTCATAAGCGTAAAGTCTGGTATACACTGTGATTTGAAGCTGATTCTGACCCGGTTTTGGAGACACAGAACTGCTCAGGAAGTCAGGCTGACTTTATGCCCGGATGGAAATCATTTGTCGTGCAGTGTACAGGGAGTCATGAGTGTGGTTGATGAAGTATGTTAGATAATTTGGTTGGCTGACTGCACACTGTCGCACAAGGATGCGGCAGCACAAGGTATCAAACCAGTTGTTGAAAAAGCAAAACAAACAAACAAACAAACAAACAGACAGACAGACAGACAGACAGACAGACAGACAGACAAACAAACAGAACAAGTCCTTCAAACAACAAAAGATATTTCATGATACATCTGTTAAACATTGAATAGGTTTTCAACTTCATTTTTTTAGGCTTTTGTCCCTTTATTGTAAAAGACAGGACACTGAACCGGACATAGTGGGAAAGAGAAGATAGAGTGCGGTGAGACATGCAAGGAAAGAGCCACAGGCTGGAACCTGGGCTGTCCATGAAGGATACAGCCTCTGTATACTGGAGCATGCTTTGACCATAAAACCAGAGACAGGCCACATAAGTCCTCCAATCCTTGTGTGAGGCTAAGCTGCTGACAGCTGTAAACAATATGTGCAGCCAGACGTGGATGATGTATTGATCTTCTCACATAACTACAAGAAGTTGCATTGGTCCCATTAATCTTGCACTTTGGATACCTGTTGAAGCTGAGACAGCACAGAGCTTTGTTTGGGTAATGACTAGTCTCAAACCTGAACTCGCAGGTGAGGTTTAATCTGTCAAAACATCAGGAATAAAAAAGGGAATCAAAAGGGAAGTAAGTCATCTTCTGACTTTTCGGTCTAGCTGGAATATAACAATACACGGGTTGAGAAAAAAGACAACTGTTTGTGTATTTTAAATGGGAAACAATCAATGTTTTTCTGCAGGTGTGCTTCTGCTGGGTGATGCTTACAACATGAGGCATCCTCTTACCGGGGGAGGAATGAGTGTTGCTCTCAATGACATTCGTATCTGGAGGAATCTGCTCAACAACATCTCTGACCTGCACAACGACAGGGAGATGCTGCAGGTCAGCACGGGGCAAAACCATTTTCATTTACATTTACCCCGCTCTATTATTCCTTCCTCTGAGAGAAATATCAAAAATATGGCTTTTAATTTCACTTTTTCATCCTCGTTTTCAACAGGCAAAGAAAAAATTCCACTGGGAACGCAAGTCATCACATTCTTTTGTGGTTAATGTTTTAGCCCAGGCCCTGTATGAGCTGTTTGCAGCCACTGACGGTGAGTCAACCCCCACCTCTGCCATCTAATCCACATCACAGAGTGAGAACAATCAGTCAAAATTAAACAACGTTCTGCATTAAAGAAGTAAAATGATTAAAAACCTGCAATCTTAAACATATTTGATTCTCACCGTGCTCTTTCTGTGCTGTTCTACAGATTCTCTTCATGAACTCAGAAACGCCTGCTTCAAGTATTTCAAGCTAGGTGGAGAGTGCATTGCTGGGCCTATTGGACTACTCTCAGTGTAAGCATTGAACACTACGCTTCACAAAAGCATAGTATACAGAAAAACGTGCCAATATGATCCACTTGTATTCAAAGGGAAACAGCCTGCCATAGCAGCTGTCAGAACCTTTTAGTATTTAATGTGGTTGTATTTGTGTCTCTTTGAAGCCTGCAGACCAAAACAACTGATCAGTGCAATACAAGTAGAAGATCAGATGCCATGTCCAAGAATAGAGCAAAATGAATAAGGGCCATATTTTATCACAGAAACAGTGGGACACGGTTATTAAGTTTTATCTCACCTCATAACTAAGACAAACCTGTATTCACATATTGGACAATCACTGTGGGGCTTGACAAAAGAAAAACTCTGTGACCATCACTTTAAGGCCAAATGTCTGCTTCTGCTTTTCTCCATTGACAGTATTACAGATCTGCCAAGTCTCTCCAACCCCATGCAGCATCATAATTGTGCTTTTATCACTCTGAGCTTCACTCATCCTGTTGTTACTTCTTTATTTTTCGAGAGCTAATTTTCTGATTTGGGTATCAGGCAAATAACTAATCCTCGTCTTGGATAGATAGATGGAAAGATTGGTCAATCTATTTTTTGAATACGTTTTAGCAACTAAACAATTTTGTTTCTGTGCCCAGGTTGTCTCCCAAACCCATGACCCTTATTGGACACTTCTTTGCAGTTGCACTGTACGCAATCTACTACAACTTCAAGTGTGAGTCCTGGAGCACCAAACCTCGGGCTTTCTTCAAGAGTGGAGCCATCTTGTACCGTGCCTGCACAGTCATGTTTCCACTCATCTACTCTGAACTCCAGTACCTGGTGTACTGAGAAGAATACAGGACATCTGGACAGAAGGAGACCAAACAGGAAATATAAATGACTTGATCAGAAGTGCTCTCTGTTGTGCATTTGAATCACGGTTGCCATATTTGTACACTTTTCCTTGACCACAAATTTATTTTAATGTTTACAGTGCTTTTTTGTGATAATGATATGATACAATAAAACACACCAGGGTTTAGCAGACACATCCCACCTTATCAAAAGGGTTATAATTGGGGTGACTCTATTCTGACTACGTGGGGCAGAGTCACAGAGTCGGGTCAAGTTGAGTGTTTTTTACACGCTTCTAACTCAGTAAGTCCACGCGAAACAAACTCAAAACTTCCATACAAAACCCCGGACATTTGAAGGATCTTATGAACTCTCCCAGACAAGGCTGGACAGCCCCCCAAAAAGAGGACATGTCTGGGTAACAGAAGACATATGGTTACCCTCGTATAACTATGTGCAGGACTAACAGGGATGTGCAAAATCCTGTGGCAGCGACATTGATACTTGATGTAGATCAACTGCCCTTCCCTCCTGCCCTCACCCATCCTTCCGTTCTGTGCTGTCCTGAATCTTTCTTAAGCTAAAATATTTGTCCACAAGTTAGCTTGCAGCCTAGCAACCCCCAGAGATTCAGATTTTACTATTTGTGTCTATCAAAGCACAGCTGAAATTGACTTTAAGTGTAAATGAAACCAGACATAAGGGTTCAGATGTCTTAATTTTATCTCTAAAGGTGCTTTTCAAACAAAAACACCAAGAGCCTTTAGTTCCAGGGACCTTTAAATGGTCCCTGTTGCCCATTGTAGTCTGCGTGTTCCCACTGGGGGCTTGAAATAATAGAGGGTTGATGCTGGACATCTTTGCCCAGGTCATGGGGGACAATGTCAAAGTGAGGGAAAGTGAAAGATTTGTGTGTTGACTAAAGGATGGTGTCCTATTTGTTATCAGATACGAGTCTCAACTTGCTGCCAGGCCAACCTTATCCTGTCCAGAGGTGACCATGTCAGCATCAAGATGTTAAAATTTTACTGTACTTGACAGTGTGCCTTTAGACAGTGACTCAGAGGAAATAAAAGAATCAAATGGGTTAGAGTTGAGTTCAGAATGAAAACAAGGTAAATTTGAGTGATTTGTCTGATCTCCAACTACCTGAAGAAGTGTGTGTGTGTGTGTGTGTGTGTGTGTGTGTGTGTGTGTGTGTGTGTGTGTGTGTGTGTGTGTGTGTGTGTGTGTGTGTGTGTGTGTGTGGAGGGGTAGTTCAGTGAAAGAAATAAAGCAGCCTTCCTCTCATGTTTGTAGACCATCGGATGCCTTGCCAGGTCCAAAAAGCAGAGTCTGAACACAAAGAGGTGATCGCCTTAATTATAAGGAAGGTATGTACAGTATGTAGTTAAAGGACTTGGCCCTGCTTCTCGGCATGATCTGTTCAAGACAAAATGTTACGGTCCAGCCTTGCTAAACAAAACTGAAGCTAGCACCTAAGGTGAACTAAAAAATAAACCCTCAAAATAGATAAAAATTTAAAAAAGCTATTATAGAAACCTTTTTAATCTTATTTACAAAATTGGTTGAATGATTGACAGTCAAGTGATAATGTGAATAAAAATGTTAGGACTGATCGTGCACAGGCAACACATATTAGTGACCACTAGATGGCGATGACTCACAGCTGATAAATATAGGCCTAGTTTATCAGACTGTTTCCCATAAGCTTCAAATAGGACGAACTTGAGACTGTGCAAGTATGTTGAATCCCTGAAATGACAATAACTTAAAGGACAATTTCAAAATCAAACTTAATGTCTCAGAGTATGGCAAAATAGAGCACAGATGGCATACAAATGCTAAAGGAGTTTGGGTTTAATGGAATTTAATGGAAAAGGCTTTTGATTGGACTTTTCAGTCATCCAAACCTTTACACTCAAAAGGACATTGAGGTTTCTCTTATTTCTAATGCTACGATAACATGTGCAATTCAAATGAAGGAAAACATGTAAATTCTGTAGGGGAAGAGAGAACTTTAATCTTTATAGTGAGTTCGAGAGTTTTCCATGAGTTTGGGGCATTTAAAGAAAATGCAGATTTATAAAGTTCAGTGTGAGAACAAGTGACTTTGTAAACCAGCTAATCAGAAAAAAAAGAGTCCTGTAGGTTTCATAATTCCCACTACAATAAGTTTGTGATATAAGGAGGCAGTTCACCTTTACGGGCCTTAAAAATATGTTTATACCTGAACAGAATCAGCACCACATTACAAGATAGTGTCATCAGCATAAACGTGAGCATAACCATTCAAAGAATTGATGCCGCTAATGTGGATAGCGAAGCGCATGGGGCCTAGAATTGTGGTATGCCTTTATCAATAAAGAAAAACTTAAAATTTTGCCGGATGTATTTTGACACACTGGTGTATTTTAAATTAACAGTTCTACACTTCTTCTAGTATGCAACACCTGAACTTGAAATTATGTTTAACTACAAAGTGGCAGTTTAAAGACTCTTGATGGTCCTTTTATAATAATTCAAGTGCTTGTATAATAAATATTGATTGATTTCAAACCATTTTGGATTTTTTTCTCCCCCATATATTAAGCAGTTGTAAACTATCAGTACACCTAAAAACTCTAGGGCGACAAATTAAAATAAATACATAAAAATATTCTGTGCTCCTGAGATTGAGAAAAATTAAAAAACAAAAATGGTGCAGAGTTAAATTTGGAAATCTACTGAACAGCATTTCACTGTAAATGTTCTTTCCTTCTTTATTGCTCACCCCTAACCCAATGATCCTGGAATTAAAAGGTAAAAAGTGGACAAACAGTAACTTCTGGTTATCTTAAAGGGCACTATTCAGTCTCTTCTTCTGATCCAAAAGACTTTCAAAACTTTTGATGGAAAATAAAAAAAGACTTTAAAAAAATGAAGTACGTCAGTGAAAAACCTAAACTGTTAGGAGAAAAAAAGCCGATCGCGAATTCAGTCATTCAATCAAAGGTTACAACAATTAACTCAGCTTTATTTTTCGTTAAACATCACTGATACATTTTATTCTGGTGAAATAATTGGAAGAAATATCCATATATTTTTGTAACTCTCCACAAGTACACAAATACTGGTGTGGAAGACCAGAAAGAGGGGTAGAACGCCTCCTACGGGGTGACATATCCCCTGGCTGCCTGTCATTAGGTCACATTTCATCCCCCTTTCCTACCTTGAATTCTCTTCTTTACACACACAGAGCATTGGTGCTTACCCTCATCAATATTGGTAGCATAAAAGCTCCTACCAATAGCTAACGCCTCAATGTTCTGACCCAAAAGTACTGTACAGCTACTGCTAATAGAATATAGGAACCTGGCCTTAACACTATTACACCAGTTTAAAGTGCTAGAAGCAACCCACCAATCCACACTATATATATATATATATATATATATATATATATATATATATATATATATATACACATATATATATATATATAAAATGAAGCATTATATATAGAGCATTATATATATATATTTGTATAACGAAATATATATATTTATATTATGATGTGTGTGTGTATGTGTGTAGGACAAATCTACTATTTTAACATGAATTTACAAGGAAATATACATTATATTTTAGAAGCTGAAATATCAGCACAAATAGATCACTGTCACACTTAACAGCAATGTATATATGATTATTTATATCAATATATAATCATATATACTGATACATTGTCTTATAAGCATGTTAAACAGTTAACAATGTCTTAGGCTTTTCAACTGATACCCAGGAAAGCAATTGTGTATTAAGACGTAGAAGCTTTACAAGTTTGTCTTTTGAAAGAGTGCCAAGCGGCAGCAAAAGTGCCACAACCTGCGGGTATTTGAGGTCACAGGACAGTTATTTGCATATTCCACAAATCTATTGCAACAAGTTACTGTCTACAAACAGTAAAACCAGCACCCTGCGAGGGGAGCTGGTATTAGCTGGACTCACACATACATCCACCAAACACAACATTACAACAATGGATAATCTGGTTATAGCTATGTGCTTTCGGATGGTGTGCTATGACTGTGAACAACAGGAGGGCTACGATTCACAATACTCAATAGTTTAGCCTCAGGGGACAACCCATAAACAGTACTGTAAAAAGACCAATCCATCTGACAAACAGTTTCTCTCCTCTGTGATGTGTCATTGTGACCTGCAACTATTAAGTTTGGTATATATATATTTTTTACCTGGACTTACAGCTGTATTTTGACTCTTCCAAATCACCAGGAGGAAAGGAATGTGTTCGGTTTTTGTCCTGTTTCTTTCACTCTAACTGGGTCTTCATTTGTTAAGGCTGAGAAGCACAGTAAGTAACACCCAACCAAACAAATTAAGTTGTAGTGGGACTGTGTGCCAGGGACCTTGAGGCTCTGTTAAGTTCAGATGCACAATCTGGACTTGAAGGACAGTTCTTTCTTCTCGCAGCTGTCCCAAACCCAATCCGTCATCATCTCCACCAGCTATCAGGTGAAGATAACTCTCGTGGTCCTCACCCTCACCAGGGCCTTCGTGGTCCCATCCCTGCTTTTCTCCCCTCTCATTACTCTGTCATAACCTTATCTTGCCTTCACTTTTACTGCCTGACACACTCTCCCTACTCAGCAAAAAAGATGTGCAAGGCTGTAACAAGATACACACAAAGGACATTTTTCACAAAGAGAATAAGCTCCATAATAACTGAAGTAGTAATGCACAACAAGCATCCAAAAGCTGGCTTCTGGCCTGAGGAGCCCTGGTGATGTGCAGTTAGGTTTGGGACATTACCATTGTTCTAAAGGAAGAGGACTCCTCCATTTGCCTTTCACAGGACTTGTTTGTATTTCCCTGTGGCGAGCTGTTTTGTTATTCAAAAGCCCAGATCTCTATGTCCTGCACATAGAAATCCTCCTTTTTTGAGAGCATCGGGTTTCCAAATGTTTTACATGAGTGACTCCTGCCATGGTAAAGGTCTCCGTCCAGCCACAGGCCAAACTCTCCGCTGAAAAGAAGAAAGAGTTTTAGACAGGAGGACCACTTGTTGTCACACTGTCAACCACCCTCAAGAATAAGATCATACACCAACCAACTTTAAGTAAAAGGTCTGAACAGTTTCATCACAACTGTGGAAAATTTGGAGATACTGTGTCTGTGAAAGGTAGCATGGGCTCACCTTCCTCCACCAAAAGCTAAGGAGTCCATATCTCCTTTGATGAAGAACATGTTGTCACCTGTCCATTTGAATACCTGTTGAAGGAATGATGAGAATATATCAGAAAAAAAAGGTTTATGGTATAATCAGTGGTCTTACATTGGTGTCACGAGTCTCCGGTCTGATAGGAGAAAAACACATTGACATCAGAGGGTGGATTCAGAATCAACAAAACCAGCTACAACAGAACTCTGGGATACACCAGAACGCAGTCGAAGGGTTTCCTCTTAAGATTTTGATGTTTCTTTGTTATTGAATGGAGATGAATGCAGCCTTGATGAGAATAACAGCTTACATTCATTCACACACTGATGGCAGAGGCTGATGTGTACAGAGCCCATCAGTTTTAGCTAATTCCATTTTTACGCGAACAGGTACAGTCAGCAGGGGCAGAGTTAGGACCAAGTGTCTTCCCCAAGGATCCTAGGCATAAACCTCCACCTTCTGACTCTACCTCTGAGCCACAGCCACCCCTTGAAAAGATGACAGCCCTCTCTAGAGCTGAGGCTGCAGTATCAATCATCAGCCACTAGAGGGATCCACATGCATGAAATCTGGTCATTGGCTTACCTCAGCTGTAAATGGGAGCTGGGTCCTACGAACAGCTGTGAGAACTTCATATTAAATCTCTCTGGTAATATTAACTTTAAAGCTGTAAAGGAATCCCCCTGTGCCCGAATACAAACGTTATCAGACATTTAAAGTGCCGATGTCAATTTGTGGTTTTAGATCTAAACCTTTACTCAGGTTTGGCTTTTAGGTACTTTATCCACCACTGACACACACAGGCAATACACAGGATATCAATGTGTGGTTTTGCACTGAATCCAATTTAGCTTGCCTGAGATTCTTTGATGGTGTTAAACAACAACAACGAAAAAGCCACTAAATTAAATGTCAATCAGACGTACCCCACATTTTCATTTTTCCCTCATCAAAGTTAAAGGAAAAAAAAATCCCAAATACTGTAAACTGAGCTTGGTATATCCTAATCAAAGCACATTATGATAAAGCAGCAATTGAACCCTGGATGCACACATTTCCCAGTATCAGCTAAAGCCACATGTGATGGCTGCGTGACCATCATTACAAACTTCTGGAAGAAAGATCTGCCATCATCACGCCTTTGTGATAACAGGAAGGACTTTTTACTTCAAGCTGATAGTTGTTATATACGCATATTATGTATCAAACACTTTTGCTGTAGAAAGAACAAAATTAAGGATTTGCTGTTTTATTGCTAGGTTAAATGTATGACTTCATTACTGTTGCCAGAAGACAGATCACTTCTGCATGTCATATTTGTCTACAGTTAAACTATGCATCAACGAAACGGCATGTTTGAGCAGCGTACCTCGAACTCTGGATTGAACGTGAAGAGGAATGTCTCTCCTGTGCCATAAAAGCCGTCGCTGATTTTAAAGGGCTCCGATGCTAATGCACCAAACACCTGGAGGAACAGAAACAAAGACAAAGTGACCACAGCACACTTGATTAATGAAAATGATCAGAATTATTGATCATGAAATAAGTCTAGTACTTCATTTTCAGATTTGTTTTGGCTTGTGCAGTGCTACCAGCTGCCTGACTACACATCTGCAGCTCTGCGTTTAGAGCCATTAGAAGCTGAAAGCTTTGACTCTAAAAAACTCAGATGACCCTTGGAATGGCTAAAACAATTGGATAATTGCATCACTTTCATCTACACTTAATTTAAGTGAAATGTGAAATCTATACAGGCTGCTTTGATTTCAGCTTCTTTGTCTGTGGTTCATTTTAAAGGTTCAGACAATGAAATCAGTTGTGAATCGACAACGAGCCTCAGCTATATGCAAAGCTGTGCTAATCAAACATGATGTTGTACTCAAAGCTTACTTGGCCGTCACTGTCCTTGATAACCATGAGCACTGGGGTGTCCTGGCCCTGCATGGCTCTGTACAGCGTCTTAATGCTCATGCCATGTTTAGATGTGCCAAAAGCTAGCGTCCATGGGTATCCAATGGTCCGTGGTGGCAGATTTCTTGCAAGCTGTGGGCATAAAAAGAATGAATGGATCACCATAAAATAATGAAAAACTAAACGAAGAGAGACTACAGTCACCAGTCCAGAGTCGGAGAACTGGGACATTTCCTCCAGGTTGTAGAGCCACCAGGGCCAGGTAACAGATACAGTATCCTACAGGTTGAACTTGCTAGGGGAGGGTACGAGTAACCTTTTCATTATCTAAGTAGCATGTCACCAGGCAGTCAGCTTCTGCTACAGCCGCACTGAGTCAGGAGATGAGGTGAGGGAGCAAGGTCATTATCGTGAAGGAAATCACTACAACTAAAATGCCAAAGATGTTCATGTTAACTGAAATAAAAGTAAGAAATCCTGTAAAAACATGACAGCTGGTTAAAACTTCAGGCAATCAGAAAAAAAAAATCATTAAAAAAAATACAATAATGGAGCATAAACCTCTGTTTCTGTCTTTGACCCACAGAAACGCACATCGGAACAGAACCGGAAGTTTCATTTTGATCTGAACAGCAGGGTTTGATGATTGTTTCTTTCAAAGTATTCTTTTATTATTTTGGATTATAAATTTTGAAGAGAACTTTCAAAAGTACTCTATTAATGTCTGAAAGAACATTCAGATGAATAGAAACCCGAAGGGGCACAAAATTTAATACTGTTTTAGGACAAACAATAAATCTTTATGATCAGTTATATTACAAATGCAATTAAAACCTGAAAAAAATAAAATAAATAACAATGAAAGACTTGTACTCAGCCAAATTTGGTCTTTTTCTGGTGCAATATCTGAACTTGAACCCAAAGCTTTTGTGTACTTCATATAAGATTGGCTATGGTGCATGAGGAGCTCCAGCTGACAGGCACCAGAAGAGCAACACAGCAGAAGCCTCAGTTATAGAGAAAAAAACAAAACAGACACTGACATAAACATGAGCCAGCAGAGACAGAGGCGTCTTTATGCTGTGTTCACCCTCCAGTGATTCATCGGCCCATTTGCTCCTCGCTCACTGGTTCAGTAGATTCTCCAGTGGTGGAGCCAAAGCAGCCCTGATTTGCTGTAGACATAGCTACTTCAGGTTGAACCAGGGCTTTTCTTGGAATTTCTGTGGTGTGAGTTAGGCCTGGTACCTTAATGAATATTTATAACAGTTGTAGAAAGTTGAAGTTTGTTTGTATGAGCCGGCAACCTCTAAGAGGGTTAACCTGTACCTCAAATGTTCCTTATTGTCATTCTGTTATTTTTTCACTCATGTTTTTGTCAAATCAAAGTTTAATGTGAGGAGTAACAGGTTGAGTTGGCAATGAGTTCATTAATACCTACAACCTACAGATAGTCATTTTGAATCCAGGGAAACTGGGTGAGTTCTCAACAAAATCTGGTTTATGCATCGCAATATATCAACTTCTTCACTGGAAAACTTTATAATTCATTTAACGCTTAAAATTGACTGTAACTTCTGTATAACTTCTGTATAACATCTGTATTTGTCAACCTTTGAGGAGCACTGTGAGTAGAGAGCAGCTTTTCTGTGTCAGAAGATCTGACTCGGAGGATTTTTTTCACTTGTAGCAGAATTTAGTGTGATTTGATCTGTTCCACTAAGACAACTGATGACTGATAGTTGGTAATAAATGAGAAACTAATCAATAACAGTGTATGCACAGGTCTGTTAAACTAATAATCCTTAATTATTGGCATTACATTTTTGGTGTTAATGTTTATTAATGTGGACATTCATTTAAAAAAAATACTTCACAGAACCGTTTTAGTTTTCTTCAACAGTGTTATTTTCACATTACTTATTTTCACCGCACCGTGACAGAAGACATTACACTGATGTGGGTAGTTTGTGTTGGTCCTGAAGGACTGGTCTCTGAGAGTCATATGGGAGTAGAAAGAGCTGCTTCTTAATGAGCCAAAGATCTGGATCTGAGCTCCACTAGCAGCTTTTCCCACAGCTTGCTTACACTATGAAAAAATTCAAACCCTGCTCTTTTAGACCACAGACAACTTGAGCAGAATCATATTGTGTGGGTGACTCTGCTCTTGGTAGATTTGAAGAAGAATCCGTAGATTCTTTAAGGATATAATATGTCTGAATAACATCTTTTCCTGGACTTATGGTCAAGGTTAGTGTACCCTCTCTGCGGTAGCAGGACGGGAGGTGGATCTTCAGTCTTTTAAGAGGTTAACTTCAACTCCATTCATAATTTTTCTATTAAACTAGAATTGCTTGTCAGATTTCCTTAACTTGAATACCAGCTTCTCTACTGTGGGAAACGACCCATCTCCTTTCCAGATACTGTCTGACAGCGTCTGTAAGGCCTTTATCTCAGTCACTTTCAGTTTTGTATTAGGCAAACAAAGGCTTCACTGACTCCAGGCTGGCACTAGAGTGAGTCGCTCGATTCTGTCCCGGAGGGGCAACAGCTTCAATTTGATTGCTAAACTAAGTTACTGCTGGATGATACCCCAAATTCAAATTGTGTCCTCATTTTCCAAGGATGTTTTTGGCACTGATTTCACACATTGCCTCGTCTAAATTAGCTGATTCTCCTCTTCTATCTGGCTAAATGCTGAAATGTTCCCAAAGGAGCAAATCTGTACTTAGTTGGGGTACCAGCGCAGGTGCAAACAGTTCCTGTCAGGACATGAGTTGAGCTGAGGTGAGGTTTGTTCTGCTGATGGCTTGTTGATACCACGGTATTTCATATTTGCTGTTTCCCATTTTTTTGTAGTTAGTGAATATTCATCAAAATAGTTCATGAAAATAAAAAAAAAAATGACATCTTATTGCTTTAATCGAGGTACAAAATATGACACCTGCAAAGGATGGGTTCAAAAGTTTGACACAGTCATTTTTATGGACGTGGTCTTGAAACCAACAGCTTTGCTTATTCCTGATTTCATTATGAATTGCAACATGTTGGTCCTCTCCCCCTCTGATCTGCTGGGCAGAGACAAATCGTCATCCTCCACTCATGCAAAGACGACTGAGGGAATGATCATTATGCACTGTCAAAGTCTCCAAACATCAGTGGTGCACAGATTCTCATGTTTTATGAAGTGTTTGGTTATTTTTTGAATAAATTAATGGATGAATAATACATAGGCTTAATGTCCCTAACTGAAACCACTAAATATTTGTTGAAGAATATACTTATGTTTCTGATAAAACTTATTCACTGTACACAGGGGCTCGCAGCTCTCTTTTTCTGTGCTTTTGGCAAGTGTGTATGTACTGTATGTATTTTTACTCATTAAGGCCAGTACTGACTCTATCTACCGGTTGTTTAGAGTAAAAAAAAAAAACAGTCACAACTACATATTTCTGCTCTCACCACAGACTGGAGGTAGGAGGATACTGACCGACCATTGATGGACATCCGCACAGACAAGCAGAGCATATGGTTGGGATACAGGAGGCAGAAGAGGTGCTGTGAGGCTGGCCTGCTCACAAGTCTTAGAGGGATATTATGGCGTAAATTTAAGTCATGGTCAAACACACCGTAATACTGAGTTAGACACCCCCTGTCCCCTGGTGTTACGGTGTGTTTGACCATGACTTAAACTTACACTGGAATATCCCTTTAAGAGACCACCTCTTTCCAGGATTTGTCTAACCTGAGCCCTCATCAATTAACTAGATGGACTGAGGTTACATATTGCTGTGAACACCCACATTCAGGACTGTTGCATCCTGCTGATTACTGGGTCTTGGCGTCATCCCGTAAACAGCCACCAAGGAAGGAAAGGAGAACCGATATAATTCCCCATCTACATCTGTGGGGACTGTGTGGAGACAGTCTCCTACTACAAGCTCCTGGGCCTGCATATGGATGGTGACCTGTCCTTGGCATCTAACACTACTGCATCCAACCAGAAGAAAACCCAACAGCGCCTCCACATTATATAGAACAACTGTGATAGAACAACTTGGCTGTGAAGGGGATGGTGTCCTTCTACTACTGCTGCTGCACATTTACTTGGTATGCTAGCTACTCTGCAGCATGACAAAGGGCATCTCAGAGGGTAATTTCCACCGCTCACAACATCAGTACATGGCCTCTCCCCTCCCTTGAGAACGTTTACAGCATATACTGCTGTAGGAGAGTACACAGCCTTTTCAAGGACTCATCCCATCCCAGACACCATTGACTGTTGCCCTCTGGCAGGTGCTTTGGAGCAATTAAATCACAGACAAACTAGCTTTAAAGCAGTTTTCACACCAGAGCTACAAGATCATTTGTACATCTGAACACAAGCACAGTGCAATCAGCTCACATTATAGTATCATCCATCATATAAAAACAACTGAAGGTTGCACATTGATGTGAATGCACGAACACGGCAAGTGTAATATGTTTCTTTGTGTGCTTATATTTGTGCTTATGGAGCTTTTGACATACTAGACCGTAATGTATTTAAAACACAGCTTCAATCTCATCGTGTCACTGGTAACAAACTTAATGGGTTTGAATCCTTTTTAACAGGAAACAACACGTCAGCTGGAACAGCGCAAATTTCTAGTATAGCCAAATACAATGTGGTGTGTGGTGTGACTTGCATTTGATATCTAAAGATGCTCTTTTAATTTCATTTGCTGATAATACTTATATTATTGTAACAGATTAAGGTCAGGTCATCTCTCAACATTAAAAAAAAAAGAGTTTTTATAATGTTTAAGCCTCAAAAAGGAACTCTTTCAGATCTAATCCAGGTCAGTGTCATCACCAATGATGTACTTGAACTTCTGTGATTAGTGTCTCAGGTGTCATTATTGACGACAAGCTCAGCTGGATATACTTTATATGTATCACTATGGTATGTTACGAGAAATCTATAGTGAGTGTCTAAGCAAACTGTTAAAAAGAATGACTAAGGTCAAATTCCGGTCCGCTTAAACAAGGGACTGTTAACAAAATCAAGTTGTTTACAGACTCGGGGAGGGGATGGTGGTGGCACAGAGTGGATTTATTCACACAAGAGACCAAGTACTTCTTCAGTAATTTAGTAACTGTCTAGAATCAGCTAAATCACTTTAGAGTGTTATTACGAATATTAAATTAGTCCCTAAATTTTATAAATAGTCTAGATTACAAATCATCACCTCAGCACTGATTCACATCATTGAGATTATAGTTTTGGCCAGAACTGTGCAGCTCTACCCAGAACTTTCCTTCTGTGTAGTGACTTTGGTGACTGTAGTACAATGTAGCCCTTGTTGTTGCCAATTCAGAGAAATAAGATTACTAAAGTAAGTCTTTGTAGGCTGTCATTATAGTAAGTGAGCAGATCACACACGTCTATGTTTGGGTTCACTGTAAAAATAGAAGTATTATGGAACAAAGATATCAGTGTATACAGACTTTGAGGAACATTTTATTACTGGTTTTGGTCTTTTCAGTTGATTTGTTGAGTTTAGTATTAAACTAATATGAGAAACATGACTTCTACTTGACTTTCAAATGACTATTGAGGCACACATAGCTTAACAAACTCTTAATTGTAATGTTGCTCAATTGCATGTACAACAGGTTTCTAAAGCTGTTTCTGTCTGTACCTTCTCTATCTGATCAGCCTCCAGGAGATCACTTGGTTCTCTGAGGTTGGGTTTGAATGTTTCCTGCTCCATCTCAGTCTTGACGGCTGTGCCATGCTTGGAGTTTACCTCTTCCTTGGTGGTGATCTAGAAGAAACAATAAAAGTTAATATATACAATGACAAGGAGTAGTTTAACTCCATCAAAGCACCAATACTCAGTGGGTTCAATTACTGATGCTGCAATTAATCGTCACTTTTGCTTTTTGTATAAAATTTTGGTCACTTTTATGAGATTACCAGTGAGGCCATCTAAAGCAGTTACATCTGTAAATTAAGGACAAATATACAAGGTGAATTAACATATTAAGATTATTTCAAATAATCCTTGAAATTCCAAACAGCTTTGGCCGTTGATTGTTTTTACAACAAATATATTAAAATGAGAAAAAATAAACTGAAATCTACATTAAGTTAGCTCTTAATAGTAGCAAATGTTTAACTAACAGCAATAAATGTTTTAAAAATTGTAAAGTGGACAAAATAATGAACAGACTGTTTGCTATCTACACTTTGATAATCACACAATTTGATGATCATAGCAGAATATCTCTCTGCCTGTTTATAATGCAAGATGTCAAGGATTGATTTGGCAGAGATGCTGTCTATGAGAGGGAATCAACTAAATGTTGTGGTTCCTGAATTAATTTTACTCTACAGTTTCCTCTTTTTCGGAACAACAAGCTGCTTATTTGTTATTTATATCAGAGGCTATGGAGTGTACCACCACTGGTTGCCTGGATGCTCTCATGTTTCAGTTCTTACTCCAAAAGGGCCTGCTCACGTTGCAGATATCATTCAGTATAGCAGTCTTACTTCCAGCACAGTTTCGTTGTCCTCTATTGCTCTGATCATCTCTTGCTCAATCATCATCCTTGCATATTAACATTCAGCTTATTTATTGTTAGTTTTTAAAAAAGTGCGGGATTTCTTACAGGTGCACTCACATCTTTGTGCTCTACTCTTAGATTATACAGCCAGCACAAACAGCCAGTAAGAACCAATCAAGTTAAGACAGACAAAGTCATTTCAAACTGTCTATCCACAAAAGCCAACTGTACTCTGATGAACTGATCATTTCAGATTGAGTTTCTGTCACCTTTTGAAGAAGGTTTGTGAGCCAAAAATACCTGCTCAAGATGTCTGTATTTGATATAAATTCACAAGAACATTTGCTTTGGGATGTGTGCAACATTAGCATAAGCTAAGTCCTGCAATACAGGTTCTATAGGAGACCATTTGGTGTGGACAGCAGCTGGACTGAGCAGAGAGAGGGGGCAGACAGGGCTGGTCAAGGCACCTGGAGTCGTTTGCAGAGTGAGCGCAGATCCTCACTGTTAAGTGCATCAATCCGACGGTGGTACTCCGTCAGTGACACTACCTGGTAGTACAAAGACAGGAACAGGAGGAACATAAAACTCTGCCAGGTCTACTGCTGGCAGTGGGAAGGAAAAAATAAATTTGAGTATACAATCTGCTCTAAGTAGTGTTATCCTGGCAGATTTCACATTGTTCTTATTGGTGGTACAGCTGAGAAATTTGCTGACAAAGCTGTAACAAGACCTTCGGAAAAAGAAGATAAGATGGCATCCTGGTCTTCATTGGGTGATACTTTTCAAAACTATCGCCTGATGAAGACCAGATATTTGACTAAACCACTGCCTGATGGATATTGATACATCCAAAGGCTGTGATAATAACACACTTATAAGCGTTTGGGTTTATATTGTTCTTCTTTTTCTTGCTGCTGTTTCTTAAGTGGCCTGCCATACCTGATGTGCAAATAAGAGGGCCAAATAAGAGGTAGGAGGAATGAGCTGTTGATAGTACTCAGATATTTGGCATGTTTGTGTAATATGTTTAATATCTACACCATGAGATGCCTCAGTAAACCCGAACAAAAAGCATGTGCAGAATGGTACAAAGACAAGTACAGAGCCACCGACTTTGACCCAGGGAGGGGAACCAGCTTATACAAATGAGTAATTGGAAATGCCAAGTTAAGTGCTGGAAAACACGTCAACACGTGCCAAAAAACCCCTGAATTGTCAATAGAGTCAGCAATACTCGCAAAGTATGTAAAAAACTTCAACACCAAAAGTTCACATTATTCCAACAAGCTCGACCGCATTCTGCAAACTCCACAAGAAGCTGCTGTCTCTCTTTAACAGAGATTAAATGTTTAAGTTTATCATTACAGACAGACATTTAAAGCGCTGAATAGGATAAACAAAAGCCTGCATTCACAGAGTCAGACTGAGCTTCCCGTAACAGCTGCGAATAAAACCACAGGGATGGTTCACGACAGACTTCATTGGAAGCATACCTGTGCCCCACTATCCTGGAGGACGGCTATCAATTTCTGAACGGAAGAGAAGCTGGTTTTATACAAGCCCACTGAGGGGTCTTTGCAAGTGTCCCTGATGCCTTGTATCTGAGATGATTACTTATGGAAACGATTTAGATCGGCGTATTTAATGTTCAGTCATAAAGGCATAATACTCTTCTGAGCAGAGTCTGGTAATGTGTGATTACAGAGACTGCTGCATGATAAGACCTGCATGTTTTCATTAGTAGTTTGCAGACTCACAAGCTCCACAAGGTGCCAAAAGAAGACGACAAACGAGACAGCAGATAAGAGCACTGTTGGATTAAATAGACCCTGTTAAATAACTGTATGTCGGACAGCGTCTACTTTTCCAAACATGGGTCACTGAACTAAACCGAACTGACTAATGGGCTAGCATGCTAGTGAGCCAGGCTAGCTCCGCTTTTATCAAAACGTTTCTCAAAGATAAGAAATACTTCTCTAAACACCGCTGAGATCAAAACATAGAAACTCAAATGAAAAGCGAGTCACATACGCTGGAATACTTCGGGGTCAGTGGCTTCTCCTGGTCTTTCACCTTCCTAGAAAACATTTTCTCCGTTGCTAGGCGAGGTTAAAGCTGGAAAGTCACATCACTGATCTCCAAGTTGTCCCCTCGGAGACTCGAGATGGGCCCGACGGAGCTAAGTGAGAGGACTGACAGTTTCCTCCCGGACAGAAATAGAAACATTTCACAGGAGTATCTCCAGCATTTGTTTGGTGTGACATCATTGAATCTAGTAACAAAACAGGAAGGACAACGACGTGGCTCCTGATTGGTTAACGACAACGACGTCGTCCTGCAGGGCCGACAAGATTTAAAGACACAGTCGACTGGCTAGCAATTTTTGTTGTTGTGGGATGGTAGGGGAAGGTCCCGCCCTCCTTCGCCTCTGATTGGCTAGCAGTGATGGGCTCCGATTGGTTATTCCCTATGGCTGTGAAACCTCATCGTCTATCAGGTTGGGTTTAGGGTTAGGGTAAGGGTTAGGGTTAGGATAAGGGTTAGGATTAGGATTAGGAGATTCAGAAGTGTGATAATGTTCTGTAATGTTTTTCTTGAAGACTCTAAAAAAGGCAACTGAACTGTGTAGAGTTGAGAAGATGTTTTGCCTCTTATTCAAGAAGCTTCTGCAGTTCTAAAAATTGCTGGTGAGAGGAGCAGATATGTCATGTGGTCACATGACAGGGGTTGTTAACGACCCATTCAGGTTAATGACCCTCGAGGGGGAAAACACCTGGAGATGGGTTTCTATGACCTTCCAACTCCTCCCAGTCGTTGTTTGTCCCCTTCTCCAGTAAGATAAATATCTGCTCCTCTCACCAGCAATTTTTAGAACTGAAGAAGCTTCTTAAATAAGAGGCGATCTTCTCAATTCTACACAGTCCAGTTACATCTTTGGAGTCTTCAAGAAAACCATGACCTGGATGACTGAAGATCAACATGGATGTTCTGTAATGTTCTGTTCAATGTACAGAGCCGACAGCCCGCGTTTGGCTTGAGCGTGTGATGATGTTTCCAGCTTTTCTAGCCAATCAGAGGCGAAGAAGGCGGGACTTTACCCTACCATCCTACAAAAAAATATATATATATATCGTGACCGGCAACCTTCCGCCTACACGCAGTGACCATTCAGAGGAGACTGGACTGATCATTTTCACAGTTAAAAAAAACAAATAGTGGATTGGTGCATCTATAAATTTAACAAGGCCTTGTTTTTGGATGGTTCAGGGTCAAACAAATCAACCGGCTTTTAATTCTGCTTCATTCATTAATATCAAACAGTTATATGGATGCTATTGCTCCTTTGGTATCCATTTCTTCCAGCATTTTCTTTATCAAAAGACCACTGCACTACTTCATTCTTGTTCAATTCCTATACACAGCAGGCTATGTGGTGCAGAAACACGCATCTTGTCCTAGGTTACCTTATTCATAGGTATGCACGACTTTTGCTGCCTACACTGACCTGTTTTTAATACTGATATACACCCTAACTAATTGTAAAAAAAAACCCTTATCTCCTGTAATAGCATTTACCTGTTATTACAGTCTACTTGTTTTAGAAACAGCCATAAAACAAGACTAAACAACCTTTTCAAAATAATTTTGCAAATCAAGACCGCTACCGAAATATGCCCGCTGTCTATTACATTACTTGAAAAAACGTATGCACAGTCATGTATAAATGCATTCTACACTCACATGTTGTAGGAAATCTGCTTTTTGCTATGCTGATAAGATGTGCATCCATGCTCATCTATATTTCCTAGCTTCCACACTCTGTAAATAGGGAATAGAGACCCCTGGAGCCGTCAAGTTAACAAAAAAAAAAAAAGATGTTTGGCCCGACATCAATGCCACACGAGATCAGGAAACTCAACCCAACTAGTTTGATTCTTCACTGTTAACTTTGTTGCTGATGTTGTGCAGGACATATTGATGTTGGCCTCAGAATAAGTTCTCACATGCTGGCCAACACTTGTAACAGACACACAAAGTTGGACGAAGCTACAGTACACTGATTGAGTAGAGTAAACAATTACACAAACATGCAAAACACTTTGGTTGGAAGCTCAGCAAAGTGCACATCCAAGCAATGCCACAATTTAAATAACTTATATGTGATAGAAAGTTTACAGAACAGTCAAAATTAAGAAATATGCAGCACTATATAAAACACAGAGGCAAAATACAAACTAATGCTTGACAACTTCACAAATCACATGTATTAAAAAATAAGATCAGCACAATAGATATTCACTATGCATAGCATAATGAAAATATATATCCACACACTATTTAACATGGTGATAAACATAGAGATAAAGTAAACAATGCATAGCATTAAATACTTGTAACACAGACTATGGATTAAACATAGCAGGAAGCTATAATTAATCCATATTTCAGAAGGCTTGGGAAAACTGACTGACTGTGCTCTTAGGGAACAATTCATATCTGAAGGTCTTACCTCCCATTCCTTAACATTGAGGTCATTGACGGGCTCATCTTCAGCTGTTTCTGAAGCCTCATTCTTCTTGACAACCATAAATCCTGGTTCTTGCCCCATCCCCCTAACTCCCTCACCATACATGTCTGGGCTCCACTGCATAAAGAACACGTAAAGGTGATCTGACCTGGGTAAAAGAACAGGGAAAACAACAAGAAGAGATTTAGCTCTAAAATGGTTTAGATGTTTAAAAAAAATCATTTAATGAGGTGTCATTCATAATGAATCAAATACAAAGTGGAAATGATATTTTTTGATTTGGACCTAATTGATTTAACAGTATTTTACAAGGAAAAAAAGCCTTAAATATATCAGCTGTATCAGCTTGTATGCATGAAAATTGATCACTGTTGTTATTGGGTGCTGACTGATCAGTCTGGTAATGTGCACAAGTTTAAATAACCCTTTAAACGCTGCCTGGCTATAACCGTGTATGATTTCAGGAGGTGCGCCCTCAGTATCCCTACTCCCCTTGCTAATGCCCTTGGCTAGTAAATGGTAATGTTGCATTCCTTGTTTTCCAGAGAAAGAAATCACATTTACAAAGCAAGAGTCTACAGCTTTAAAATCCACTCACGCAAGTTTAGGAAACTGTTCACACACTTCTCAGATAATCTTAATGGATCCTAATAGAACATGTATGAAGTTTACAAATTTATAAGAGACTTTCCAACCTCTAGTCTATACCAGGTGTTTCTCTTGTCATTATTTTGGGAACCAGAAATTTAACTTATCGATTCAATATGTCTTTCCAAGGGGATGGTGAGAGGTGTAGCAGATGTACTGACCTCTCTTGTGGCACAGCAAACCAGTACTCATGTTTCTTGCCCTGCTGAGCATACTGCTGCATGGAGGCGCTGGCATTAGAAACGAACGTCTTCTTCATGGGCTTCCCAACCCTCAGACAAAGGAACTTATGAGAGCGGTGCTTCAAACTCCCAGAACCTGAAAGAGAAAAACATCAAGTGGTCTTTGTTATATCAGGCAGGTAGTTGGAAAGAGTTTTAAAGGAATCAAACGTAATTTTGGGTTCATTCCTTTTAGCTTTTGAGTGAGCCAAGGGGAGCGATATCTTCATATCTGTAAACTAAATATGCTAAAGCTAAAACCAGTGGCACGCAGCCTTGCTCAGTGGCTCCTAGAGTTTGTGGTGTGCCTTCCCAGGAGGGACATGAAGTAAGTAACTATTGCCTTGAAGTTAGAATCATTTCCATGGCAGATCCATATGTAAACTGGGCATAAACATGAGTGATGGTGTTAATTTAAAATCTGAGCAGACAGAGAAAAGCTAAAGATAACAGGAACAGAGAAACCGCTGAATCTCATGTGACAAACAAAGACGAGAGACAGCAATAAATCACAAACACATTAAGGAAATGTGACGCAACCTTTGTTGTGCTGGGGCACACAGTGAATAAAAGTCCCCAACAGAATAACCCAGAGCAAGAAACCACACAATCCCTCTGACAAAGCGAGTGTCAATTAAATTCAAATTTTGTGGGAAAAAACAAACAAACAAACATATAAAAATGTATATCTACATATATATATTTTTTGATTTGCTGTTTAGGTTTTCTCAAACTTTGACATTGCTCATATAGATCTATTTTTTTTCTTGTACCTGCAAATCTTTAAAAATTGTTTTACAGTATGTCTTTTATAAAGTTTTTTTAAGCCTGCTGTGTGACACATTGCGCAGAAATCCAAAGGTAAATGTCACAAAAAATGGTTTAATTGATAGAGATTAGATGAAATACAGCATTTTATTCATATAATTGAAATATCTGAAAGTAAGAGGAGATGAATATGTTGGATATGTTCATGATCTTGTTGCTGTCCATAAGTTTTAAATAGTCCTTTTTGTTGTCATTTGAATTTTTTTTTTGTTCGTAAATTGTTCATCCTCAAAGGGGGCATGGAAGAAATAGTTTGGGAACCATTGACCCAGGTTTTTCCTCTGTACGGGTCCAACAAATCAGTCATCGTGCTTAGCCAAGCTGGTGGAGCTCATTTTTAGGTTTACTTAACAAACATAGCAAAACCCTCTCTTTCACCAGTGCTAATAGTTTGTACATACATTATCCAACATCTAAATTCTGTATTTTCTTCTGAATTCCTGCTTTCAGTGTGTCACCTGGTTTTCAGTGAGCGTTTTGTGGCACAAACGCAACAGATGAGAGAAATAAATGGAGTTGAATACTTCAGTGGTAAATCTTTTGCACATGGTTTAATATCAGTGGACTGATCTAAGCCCCAGAAAAGTGAAGGACACTGAACCCTATTGCAATGTTGGTAACAGGCATTTAATAATAATAATTTCCCCTGTATGACATGGCTGAGGGACAAATTCAAATGACTGTCATCATATTTCTAAAGTGTCAACGCCTGCCTTTAAAGCTGCTGTTGTAACTTGGCGTGATGGGATGCCTTGTTCAGTTGAACAACCTTTGAAAGTGGTCTCTGTCTGACAAGTAATGGTGGATTTCTGTCTACACTAACTTTTATTTTCAAGATTTATTTCTGGGCTTTTCTTTTACCTGTATTGACAGACAGAGCACAGTGGCTAGAGCAGGAAACAAGGGAAGGAACGGGGAACGACACACAGGATAGGGGCCACAGAGTGGAACTAAGCCACCTATGTATGTAGGGCATGCCTAGACCATGAAGCTATCAGTGCCCCTTCACACAGTCAAGCAACTGGTTTTGATATTTTGACCACATCTTTCTTTAAAATAATACTAATTTTCTGTTCAAACATCTAATATGTTGTCTTTGCACTGTCTATAATTTACTTGAATATGTTTTAAAATCAATGGCAAGCTGCTTCATTAAACACACATATCAGTATGGGGATTATGGAATTGAGTATTAGACTTCATCAAAACTAAGCTGCTTCAAAAGGTTGTTTTGGGTTCATCCTCATTCATCCCATTTTGTTCCCTCTCTAGTTACTGAGTGATTTTGGAGTATGGGTGTTTGATAGGCTTTCAAAGGACTGGCGAAGACCTTCAAAGCCAGATGTCAGAGATCTGTGTTCAGTCAATCAAAGCCTGGCTACTTTCCCAAAACTGATAACAGAAGACAGGCCGCCATTTCTCCTCATCCCACCGCGGCCATAACCAGAACTTGGGTAGCGTGACAAAGGGCAGATTATCAGCAAACAGCAGAAGTGATCTGTGAGCTTTCAGAGAGGATAGAGGATGGCCTTGACAGTCTTTTGAAGAATATGAGGCAGCTTTGAATATCAAAGGTTTTTCAACAGCTTCATAAAATAAGGAAACTCTTTTACCATCTGTGGATCTTATTTTACCTTCCTTTTGAGTCTCCTCCTCATCCTCTTTGTCCTCCTTGCCTTTTTGCATAGTGTTTGTTTTAAAGCTGTCTGTCCCATGGCTGTTATGCCCCTGCACACTGGCTGAAACATCGGTGGGATCTGTGAGAGCTAAGTTTTGGCACCCCTTGTGATCACTGCTGTTGCTGCGGTCGTGGGCCTTGCTGGTGGTAGTTGGTGTGCTTGGTGGCTCCTCCACACTTTGCTGCTTGGAATTTGCTAAGGATGGGCTATCTTGTTCTGCGGCAGTGTCCGGTGAATTGTCTGCTCTTTTAGTTTCTGCAAGCTCCTCCGGCTGGCTGCTCGAGCTGGGGACACTGCCCCGGGCCTGGGAGCTATCACCTGTGATCTCCACCTGAGTGACAGTTTTCACAGACTCCGTTGAAGCACAAGAGGATTTGTCCACACGGAGATCCTCATTAGATGCTTGCTCCTCCTCCCGGATGGGGGATAGCTCTGGCTCAGTGAAAACATCTTCAGAGATGGAGCCCTCTGTGCTGCGAGGGGCGGCGTTCCCACTCTCATGTGACCCTGGCTCCTTCAAGCGCTGCTCTGGGTCTTTCTGCTGGGAGGGATGTCTTTCAGTTGGAAGAGGCTCCAGGTCACTAGTAAAATGACAAAAACCAATCAGACACAAGCAGCTACAGTAATAGTAAGAGAATTACAGCAAAAGTTGTGCATAGATTTTAGTGGTCTGTATTTTTGATATAAAGGGTAGGCCATTTGAAGGCTTTTAGGATGAGTGGCCGTGTGTAGCTTTTCAGTAAAAGCTTTTTTTTCCAACTTTTCTTCACAGCAGTCTTAGGAAAAGTCAACTGCATTTTAATTGATTCACATAAAAATAATACTATTTATCACTCTTCACTTGGGAAGCTGTTCACCATACCTCTGAGGGGTGGTTTCAGTTGATATACAGGTTTCAGGGGCAAGGCTCACAGAAAATAGCGAAGACAAAGTAGAAAACAAGCATGAATAATAATTCAAAACTAAAGTAAGCCTGATTGTCTTCAGTGACAAAGACACACAAGAGGTGTGTGGCTGTGCAGCCCACACCAGCACTCTGAAAGCTCTTGTCTGTTAACTTACTTGCCACAAAGACAATGAGGCTGTTTTGCAGCCATCATGTGCTTCTCAAGCAGCCAGTGTGACGTGGCTGTGAGACTAGAACTTTTCTGCAGACAATCCTGCAATAAGCCTGACAAGCTTCAGCAGTGGATCAAAAGAAACTCTTTTTCTTTCAGACAGGCAGAGCCTAATGGGAGACACTTTCAATGCATTGTGGTAAATGAACGGTAAACTCCAGCATGTTTGGATCTCAAACAACTAATCTGTTCAAAGGTGGACTGACAAGCCTTTTCTTAAGTTTTGTGAAGCTACAGTGGCAGATTTCAAGTTTGTAACAGTGTGTGACACAAGTAATATAAGCCTCTTCTACTTTAAGTTCAGCCGCTTATTCTAGACTATCAAATGTTCAAACAAAATAAAAAAAAGGAACAGGCCTTTTAATTTCACACACCTTATCAAATATAATGCTACATATGTCAGTTAAGTCTACAAGTGTGGGGGACTGAAAACACTGTTTAGTCTACTAAGCTACAAATTTCAAGGCTGCATGTTTGTGACTGCGATTTATCATGTCGGAAAAAAAAAGAGTGTTGTCCTGAACTCTTTTAAGATAGAAAATGAGAAACACCATAACACAGAACGGTAACAGAGGGCACACAAACAATGAATAATAAGTGAGAACATTTTGTCAGACAGTTAGATACAGTCCTGCACAGTTCTTGAAGTCAGGGAGCAACACTACATCCTTATGCTATTCTTTACTTGTCTGTGCTTACTTTTTTTTTTTTTTTTTTTTTTTATATCAATATGGACCATGACTAAAAAAATGGTTAAGGCATGCAAAGTCATTCTTTCCTTCAGACCATCTGCCCCCATTTTTACAGTGACATGAAAAAACAGACAAAAAAATCTGCGTTAGAAACACCAAGATCCGTGTTATGAAGCTGGTTTCACTACTGATATGTTCTGCTGTTCTCACAGCATGTGGAGAGATCATGCATTATAACAGGTTTTGCATTCAGTTGAGGTGGATGAGATTGCGCCGTTAATGCAGTATAGATGCGAGCATAAAAAAACAACATTGGATTTTATCATTCTTAATTTGTCTCAAATGTCATCTTCTCGTTTTTGGCACATGCACACTGTTAGAAAGGATGCTGGGTAGTTTTATATGTGCAGCCTTTGGAGACTATTACATTGGTTTGATGACAATATCAATTAATTTACCTTTAAAAACATGGATTAACAAAGACTATTAGGACTACATAACAAAAAACAATCTCATTTTTCTCCTCAGGACAACTTGCATGTTCATTCATTTATTCTCATTGTGGTGTAAGTGTAATACGGTTTAAAGACTAGAAATGTATGTAAGAGCAATGTAAAGTTTTGTAGATGCAGTGGGACAGACTGATATTTGTAGCTACATGTGCTTTAAACAGATACTATGGCAACAGTTTCTTACTCTGGTAGGGCCTCCCTGATCTTGAGGTCAGTGATCTCTTTGTAGACAGCTGCAGACTGTACCTCTTCCAGAGGACACATAATGCCGTACTCCTCACATCCATGGGTCAGAACCAGAGGGTCCATTCGGTGGGGGTCGAACATGATATTGTTGGGGGTCACCAGCAACACCCCACTAACAGCACCCTAAATAAACAAGGAGGAGAAGGAGGGAAGAAAGGGGTAAACTTTAAAACTGGATCAGCAAGAACATTGAAACCAAATAAAGCAACAGCTTTACAGCTTAAATATCAAACAGACATTAAGGTCTGCTGTGTGGTTAGGATCACAGCAGTTTCCTCGTGACATATAACAATAGACAAAAACAAGCGGAAGAGAGTGAAGCAGTTCACCGACACTGTTCAGCAGCTGTCCGGTACATTGATGGCACCACACAGACTTAAAACATTACTTTTTATTTTAAGAGTTCTCATGTGGTTAGCAAGGGAAAGATTTTCAGTCCATTTGTGACACTTTTTAATGTCCCAAATGGGTTTTGAATGTTTATTTAGTGCTCAAATAAACAGTCAGTGCCTTTTTCAGCCCTTTCAAAGACAAACTGAGCCCTTTAAAACACACCCTAGTTACACCTACAGTTCTTTATTATCTTTTTTGGTGAAATAAAATAAATAAATAAACACATCTGTTTGTTTAAGATCATCATTAGTCTGCGGTGTCTCGCTGACTGCTGACATACTGTGACTTTAAACACTGTTACTGGGTAAGTTTTCTCTTGGCTGACTGTGTGTGTGTGTGTGTGTGTGTATTTGTGTGTAAAATACACTCCGAGTACTCAGAGTTCAGCTCTCACTATCCCTGCTGGCTGACTGCACGTTTCTGTCAGCTGCTGACCTGCCTGTCTGACTCTCTCCCTCTCCGCACACTTCACTACTGTTAATATCCCCTCTCTGTTTCTCACTGCTGCTCATCTGTAAACCCACAGAGCTGCTGGCAGTGGGAGAGCTGACACCAGCCTTGAGCAGGTCTGCACCAGCACACTGCTGTTCAGTGTAGGGCTTCTCCCAGCACAGCACACTCCCCCTGGCTTGGTTAGGATACACTTAAACCACGTGCTCCTCTTCACTATAATAAAAACATTTCATGGTGGAGCACGTAGCAAAGGATATGTAGTCAAAATAACTCACTCTCATGTGAAAATGTACATTACATTCCTAATTGCAGTTGTTGAGAATCGTGTACAGATGCCTCCAGTGAGAGGGTACATGTTTAAGCAGAGGAGATTACCATGTCCGGACAGCTCTCTGCAGGGGAAATCATCGCTGATAAACAGCGGTGTGTAAGACATTGTGATCTAGCTGCGGGCTGCGTCAGCTGTAACACCTGAAGAAACATCCCAGACCGCGTCAGCTAATGAACCTGTTCCACTTTCTCCACAAACATGACCTCAGCACTAATCTCAGACAGCTTACTAGACAGGTCCAGCTTTCTCTGGACAGTGTTTTTGATTTTCCAGATTGCTAGCTTGGTACTTGGAGAAATGGACTTTGTAGATACATGTAACCTTGTTGGTCTGTCACTATGAAATGAAACACTAAAAAAAACACCAAATGAAATGTCTCATAGTCAGACTAACATGCTTAGATAATGCACTTAGGGGTCAATTTTCTCCTATGTGTATGCGCTACATTAGACTGAAATTGGCAGGAGTGTTCCGCACATGCTCCACTCGAGTTCACATGCCAGGTTTTGACCTGGAAGTCGACTAGCACACATACATGTATTACTGGGATGCGTAGTAAACAAAATCCCAAACAGAATAAGGAAGTAAATAAAAGTAGAGAGCAATACAGAGATGTAAAAGAGACTGTTTTCATAGTCAGATGTACAGTATATCCTGTTAGTGACTTGCTAATTCATGGGTTGACTGTTTGGTAGAAGAAGAAGAAGAAGAAGAAGAAGAAGAAGAAGAAGAAGAAGAAGAAGAAGAAGAAGAAGAAGAAGAAGAAGAAGAAGAAGAAGAAGAAGAAGAAGAAGAAGAAGAAGAAGAAGAAGAAGAAGAAGAAGAAGAAGAAGAAGAAGAAGAAGAAGAAGAAGAAGAAGAAGAAGAAGAAGAAGAAGAAGAAGAAGAAGAAGAAGAAGAAGAAGAAGAAGAAGAAGAAGAAGAAGAAGAAGAAGAAGAAGAAGAAGAAGAAGAAGAAGAAGAAGAAGAAGAAGAAGAAGAAGAAGAAGAATCGTCTGTGTGACTCATTGAATTGCAGAAAATTGTATGCTGAGAAGACCTCTCTATCTCACCCCAGATGATTGAATAGCAGTGAAGCAGCATCATACATCAGCCAAACCAAAGGAAAGGGGAGAGATCTCTGCTGTGTTTGGAGGTTATCTCATTTTTAATACTTTTTCTTTCCTCTTATCTACTATAAATGACCGGGGATGCGTTCTGTAATTGTTTTGCTGATGTTGACATCAACCTGACATTGTCACTCCTGCTAAAAAACACCTGGATTCTTAATTGAGGAAACAGTAAATATTAAGTACCTTACCTTGTCCTCAGTAATGTATTTACAGTTGATCTTGAGGAACTTCTCTGTGAGGGCCTCTTCCTCCTCGGAGGTGGACGACACCACTCTGGAGTGACGCTCGGGCGGGAACACTGGAGGGTGAAAACCTCCTGGTCTGAGCGAAGCATCTGAATCCTGGAGGTATGACAGGTGAGAGTCTTAAAATATACTCCACTTTTCAATCTAGAACTTTTATGATACTTGAAAATCATGTGTTCTTTAGTCCAGATAAGATTTAGATTATTATCATTAAAACAACAGGTACATTTTAGGGTGAGAATGTCAATAACATCAAAGATGAATTCAGATGTATTTAATCTGAAATCTGTAAAACCAGGGCTAAACTTCATCATTTTGTTTTCAGACATAGTACAGATCTATACGGATGACTCCCTAAACAGCATTAAGCCAATGACCAAATTAAAAAGTCTTATAACTATCACAGCTGAACAACACATTTTGACAAACAGCCATTTCCTTGTGGACACCCCCAGATATCCATGCCAACACCATTCAGATATTTAGAGCATATGATGTAGGGCAAAGCAATGGAGATGTAAACAGACAGCGTGATACAGAGCAAAGAAAAACACCTTTCTTGTCTCTTCATGTGCAGCTGTTCTTTCCAGTTTTTCTGAAAATAGATGCTCCAGTTTGTTTCAAATGGCCATGACAGCAGGTTCAACAGACCTTCAAGCTGCTGAAGCTGCCATCCTGCTTGTTTATGAAGACACTAAAGCGGCGCTCCTGTGCCGTCAGTATCCTTCTGTTTTGAGATAGTGGATGTTTGAAGTCATAATCATCGATATTAAACCAAACGAAGTCTGTAAATGTTTCACTTTGGGTGTATGTAATCTAGAGTACATGAAAGTTTCTTTTTTTTTAAATCAAATTGTAAGAAAAAAATGAAATTCTTAAGGACATTCAGAGTCTTTGAGCTGCACTTCTACAAGTTTTCCACTAGGAGTGTGACGTTACAAGAAGACGCCCAGTGTGGGAATATGGTCTGATGGGTCATTACAACCGAATTCAACAGGAAACTAGATTGATGCCAGTGGGAATGAATATGAGCTGGCTGATGGGGCTGGCAACACCAAGCTAACATGTAGTATCACAAACCTTATTTCAGAAGAGCTGGGACAGCCGATGACAAAAGAATTTGATGGTTTTCAAATTGTTTATACCCATTATTCAAAAAAACTGTGCAAAATGGTGCTGTCTTGATGCACATGGAAGCACTCACCAAATACACGGTTAAAGTAAACTAGTGTTTCCAAAATTACATCAACAGCAAAGAGTCAGGGGAAATAAAAATGAAACTAAAAGCCTAATAGGTGTTTCTGCTTTTACATCCACACCACAGTTACTGGGCTTCTCTACTACTTCTACTCGATTAGTGGGATTTTTTTTCCACCCATAACTGACCCACGGGGGAGGACTTGTTGGATCTGTCTGAAACCTGTCTGCGGACATAATGTAGGAGGGAGCTGACTGTTGAACTTAATGACTCAACAAATCCCTGTAGTCAGCGACACTGAATGAGAGAGGAAGCAAGCCCGAGAGAAAGGCCATGTAAAGCCACGATGGACAATTAAGACACTATGATTCAAAGAGGGACAGAAAAATGAACGGCACTGAGATGGGTGTGGGAGGAACTCCAATTGAGAGGGTTAAAAACGAGGGGGAAGTAAGAGCAATGAGCAGCTTATAGAGGGGAGTCCTGGCCCATAACAACTGTCTGCTGCCCTCCTGACACCCACCCCCACACCTCCACATGTCTGTCTCCTGGCACAGTTGACAAACAGCCTTTGGCTACTAACCCACTCCTACACAAGAAGCACAGATGCTGGCTGCCTGAAACGGCTGAGGGAGGCGGCCCAAACTGCTCTGGCCAAAACATCCACTCTTTAAGGAATTTAAAATCTATTATCAGAGCATCTGTGGCTGATGAAGTTCACTTTCAGATCGTCTCACCCTGATGGGTTAGCAACCAGTTTACTTTACATTATTGCTTACCTACAACACCTCTGACACTGACTATTTACACAAGTGCAGAACAAGCTTGGGTTAAAAAGAGTAGGTACATATGTAAAGGTGCTAAATTACGACTCTGGTTTTGAAAGGGACATGCTGAAATGATTCATGAGTTATACGAATGAGAGAGCAGTAGTTATCAATGGCTGTGCCTCAAACACTGTTGAGCTGACATCTGATGAACCTTTGTTATTTCTTAATCATGTAAATGACTTGTCAACAGCTTGTACATTTCCTCTTCCTGCTTAAACAGGATTGTTTTCAAGTCTCTCACACTGATTTCTTGGGCATGTGCGGATAAAAGTTTCAATTGGAAAAAATATATAAATTTAATTTTAAGGTTTTTTGACATATATTGTTCTATGTTGTTCCACGATTATCCCTGTATGATGCCTCCAGCTGTCAGGAACTCAGTGGTTTGTGAGACTGACAACTTTCTCACGATCTACAGAGGCTATTGCCACCCTCTTCTAAAGAAAAGGTGATCATCCTCAATTCCTCAGAGCTGTTGCTTTCTGACTTCAACAAGGTTCGTCTACCATAGTTTTGTGATCTACTGCCCAATGTCAAACGTTGCATCTAGGGCTTTAAAGTCCTCGCTGACTGATCGACTTGTTGGTCGATAGGTGCTGAGTCGACCAAAATTCTGATTGGTCGACACAATTTTTGTGTCAATTTACAGTCTATGGTTAACATACCAAGTGCTAATGGGGGTATTTTCAGAGCACTCTGTTTCACAGGTAACAGCCCATTGTTTCCACCGTTTTGGATTCGCCCAACCCATTAGAGACCGATTGGAGTCGGATAGAAAAGCGTCTGCGTTAATCAATGTCTGGTGGTATGCTAATATAGTATTTGTGTTTAATTGCCTTCTTGTGCTGATATCAGTATATTCTCACCCTCACGAGCCATGTCATCCCCCTACAATGACAGTGTCAGAGTCAGCACCCCCCCAAATAGTCGAAAATTTCAGGGATTAGTCGACCAAGAATTTCTTTGGTTGATTACTGCCCTGATCTGTATTTGTCCATTTTGCTGTCCTTTGGGCAGGTCAATGTCTGACAGGGTACATACAGCAGCGAGTAAACAATAAAACAAGTTGGTCTCTTTACTTATCTGCCGGTGATGGCATGTTGTCAAGCACTGAAAATCTGTCCATTTATTCATCCTTCATTGCAAAAACTACCTTTGGCGTACTGTCACAACAGTTTCATTTCACCAAACCACAGCACAAGCAGGGGAGCTGATGAAGATGGTACAAACTATGAATTCCTCATTTCAACACTTGGTATGCTTCATCCTTTTCAGACAAACCCGCAGAGTCATGTTACGATGGTGAATCATCCATCCTGTATCTGTCACACAGAAAAGGCTGCAAACACCCTCTTGCTGACTCCCTGACTACCTGTGCTGCTCATTACTTCTGCCACATAGAGCTATTCACAGTAGGTGATGTGCATGCTCTTTAACCCCCCCTCCCTCAGCTGTCTGGCTCATTATTAACAATACTTCACCGACATCTGCGGGTTTTGGAATACCATCAACATTTCAGTTCATTGTATTTCAAGACTGAGTTTCTAACTAGGTTTTTGTTAAACACTACTTGAACAAGTCCTCTTTAAATTATTTGGTATACTGACAAAACTGGTCAGAAAAACGCTTGAGTGGCTTTACTGGTGATATTCTACTTGAGAGAAGCACTGGGCCGATGAGGCTGCAGATGATGTGGTGTGGCTGCACACTATCTCAAGGTTTTGTCATTCTTATACATATTTCTGGTTTATCATTCCAGTATCATTAATGGCTATTTTTTGGTGAAAAGACGCATTACAATACTTTTATCGTTTTGTTAATAGCATTTATTAACCTAATAGTCATCTTATTGGCCAAATCTTGAACACATCTTATTGTACCCTTAATGTTATCTGTGTGAGACCGCTAAGTAGCTAATATCCCTCCAAATTTAGCTCAAATTACAACATTGGAGTTCTTTTTTGTTAAACAGGACTTACTGCAAGTAAGTAACAGGACTTACTGCACACTTTGGGAGAAAGAGAAGGATGATTATTCTGCAGCAGCAAACAAGGGCTGATGGACTTTTTTTTAACCTAAAGACAGTTAGAGTTACTGAATTTTGGTTTTATTTAATGTCAAATGGTTTGACTGTAGAGGTTACATTTCCCTCTTGCAAGAAATAACTTTGCAGCATAAATCGCAATCCTGGAATCCTCTAATTTTTCGCTTTGGCAAAATGTACACAAGCTCTTTGACCTCTTTACAGACTCAAACAATCCCACAAGTACCTCTACATATACCATATACAAGTACCATATAAGCTAGCCTAGCCTAGCCTAGACCAGTTCACTTTGGTGATGCCAGTGGCACTGAAATTGAGCTGGCTGATGGGTCTATCACAGAGGTATCACTGAATGTGTCTGACCAGTGTTTGTATGTCAGAGGGAAAAAGATAAAGTTTTATTAATAGCATGGCTTCTTTTAAGGTCATGGCATGGTATTTGATATGCACACACACAGCTTTGACCTTGACAGCCACAAATGTTGATATCAAAAATCATCCAAAGCTCCACCTGGTGGCCCTGGTCTTTTCCTCCAACAGGAAGCACACATTGGTTGGGATTCATCCAATGGCACAGCCTGAAACTCCAGCAGAGTCTGTGCTGCTATCACCACAGATTTAGTCACATGCCACATGGACTTATTGACTTGTCCATGTGCTAAATATGTTAAATTAAAAAGAAAAACAGTCTAAAAGACATAAATGTTCAGGATCAGGTAAAATGCTTTTGCTTTTTCAAGGACAAACTGCCCACACAGATGACCAGAGTGAGTGTGCAAGTGAGGCAGACACTGCCGAAAAGTATGAGCGCAAGACTGCCAGGAAGTCAGCCTGCCAGCCCCCCATGATGGCATATACACGGACACATCCACAGTAATCCAGACAGCAAAGCCAAGATCTGCGCCTGCAAGATGTGTTTGTTTTTGCTGCCAATACCATAGGGCTTGAAGGCAGAATGAGAGCATGACGATTCTTTAGAGCAGCTTCATCTGGCCTTTAGTTTGGTCAAACAATCGCTGACCAACAGGCATGAATAGCTTGTTGCTTAAATAACACCTCAAGGAAGGTACAGAGGGCAATGGTATGGAGAACTGAGAGAGAGTGTTTAAAGGTACTTATTATATAATTTAGTAGTACTTTTCCAAAGAAATGGGATTTATTGGGCAGATGTTCATATTAGTTTATATTGAATGTAATATGACAGACTTACAAAAACTCTTTTGTATCTTTGAAGCTGCGGGTTTTCACTATGGAGGCTACCATGTTTTTCTACAGAAGCTCAGACAAACTAGCAGGAACCAAATGTGTTTTGTCCTTTAACTAACTACAACACTCAGAGTTAACCAACAATTAGCCTCATAATGCTGTTTGAAAGGGGGCTACCACACGTCTCAGCTTTCTGCTCAGTTCTTTCAGAGTCCTGACACTTGACACTAACAATGTGGAGACAAAACATGAGAGACACTTTAAGTAACCAGGCACTACACCATCCTCATTTTGGTACCAACAGCCAGCTGCTCATCATAAACTGAAACTACAACTTTATCACTACTTAATTCTCAGAATGAACACTTTATTATTTTAATTCTATGACTTTACTATAACTTTTTGGGACAATATGCCTCTAATCTCAGAACATTAGGATTTGATTTCCATATGAGTATATTAGGGGTGGGAATCACTAGTGGCCCAACGATACTATATTATCATGGTACTTGGGCCACGATATGATATTATTGCAATTTTATTACTGCGATACAACATATTGCCATTTTTACAATTTTTTAAAATTGTTTAGCTAATTTAGCATTTGGCTTTCCTTTATGTTTGTCTTATTTACGCTGTATTTTATTTTCATGTGGAACATCTTGCAAATTTGTATATATATTGTATATATATATATATGTTGTACTAACTTTCTCCTGCTCTATGATGTTTCCTCTGCCAACCTCACTGGACAAACAATTGATTTTATTTTTCCATCATCATAGATTTGACTACATATTAGCAATTTATTAAAAAAATTAATACTTTAGACGATACGATATATCACCAGACAAAATATTGCGATACGATGCTGTATTGATCTTTTTCTCCCACCTCTCCACCTCTAGACTATATACTTGTAGTGTAACCTTATTATGCCTTTATTCCCTTAAGAAAATGACTTTGAAAATGTAATCTTTTGAGGTGGCCTAAATACTCAGCTGTATGTAAGAAACACTAGCTTTGTTAGCATTCCTTCACGAAGTCAGCAAAAGTCACTAAAACAATAAAAAAATCTCATGATTAATATCTAAGAACTGAGCCATAAACTACAGTTTAGATAAAATAACTAAAAACATTACCACCTTATCACTTAAAACAGATGATTTACTTAAATCTGTCGTGGATGATACTGTCTTTAGGAAAGGTCTTCTGGTCCTTGACGGTCATCGTTACCTCAGTGACAGCAGAGGTTTGTGAAGAAGCGTTACAATCTACAATCTTACTGCGTGTATATATATAATATATATAATATATGTAATATCCTCATTCTACTGACTGTACCTTGAAATACACATTACTGTAGCAGCGCACATAACTGTGTCAATGCTTTACAGTTTAGGCTGATAAAAACACGAGAATTTAGTTTTAATGAAAGTCAAATAAGAAAGAAAGAAAAAATATTGGCCTTTTGAGCGTCTGTGCTGAGAAGATGAAATAGACTGTGAAGAAAAAAAATATAAATTAGTTGAGGTTATGTGCCTTCTTCCCATTCCATGCACACTTCCTCTCCTCGAAGTTATTGCTGTCTGATTGGTTGTTAAGAGAGCAGGCGACTCTGTACATTAGTTGCTAGTATCAAAAACAGAATCACCCTAAAAGCTTAAATCCTATGCTGTCACAGCCTCTCTCTGATCCGTGCTGAGAGTTGCAGTTCATAAGCTTCTGTTCTCTCTGGTCTGACCCAAATAGATAACTTCAAAATTAAAAAGGAGTCTTTCTTTTGACAACCATTGGCAAATTAATAAAAAGGGATGAGAGCAAACAAAAGAGTGTCTCAAATCAAGTGCAGCAGCAGTGGTGACAGTGATGGAAATGGATATGGCAATTTACATGTTCTCTCAAAATTGGAGGCATCAAGACGCAAGTTTTCATACGAACAATGATATTTCCAAAGGGAACGCTGGGTTCTGTGATTGACTGGCAGAAATACTTCATACACAGGAGAAAAAAATACCTACATGATGACAGGTGCTACAGCTGCAAAAACAGGAGGTGTAGGGCTTACAGACCTGAAGTCTCCTCTGACCCAAATCTCCCTCTAAACTCTACCTCTGTGTTTTTAATGTACAATAGAGAGGCTGAGATGGACAAGCAGGATGAATACAACAAATCTGGCCTCATATGAACCAGGTACAAACCACAATACTATTTTAGGTTTGATTATCCTTACCTTCATGACTTGACTGGGTTTGTATTCACCCAAATAAAATGAATATATGACAACTTCAACAAAACACTTACACACATAATTACAGACTGACGACAATGCAATAAAACCTTACATTTCAATCTCTTTTATACCACCCTTATCCAAACAGTTAGTAAAATGTTAATAAAATAGATCTTGATGACCAACTAAATATTAAAACACACACTTTCAAAAGCTGAGACAATGACAGGGAAAACAAAACACTGAAAAGGTTGAGTTATCCCTACAAATCAGGCTTACTTGCAAGAGGTAAGCAACGTAACACCACTCTCTGAGTGACGGCATGAGCAATAGTTCAAGAACTTCAGAATAATGTTGCTTTATGTGAAATTGAAAAAAAAAGGGAAAAAGACCAACACCAATGGGGTTACCCTTATCACCTGAAACTAATATTTACACAAATAATCCATGTATCACTTAGTTAGGAACTAATTGGTTCACAACCCTCAGGGTAGTATACTTCTTTTTTGAATTCAAAAAAAGTGATGTAAAGGCAGCATCTTCCTGTTGCCAAAAGGTGGCGTAGTGTTTGTTATAAAACATTTACAAATATGGATCTGTTCAGGCTAGGAGCTTTCATTGAGGACCGGGAATATTGCGCAGATATGATGATGTCAGGCTCAACCACAGCAGTTAGAAATTGAATGTCGAGACATCATTTTAATATTAAACTCAGTCATGTTGTACTTACCACGCCCTCTGATGAAAACTGAGCTTTTTGCACTCATCAATATCAACATATCAAGGATATTGTGCCCAAAAAAGGACGCAGATAAAATCCACAGAGATTAAGAAAATAGACTGATCACATGATTTTTTTCTACTGCCACCAGGAGGCGCTATAACTACGATGATATACTATCATGTTAATGTGCTCAAGTCTTCACCGCCACAGTGAATGGAGACTCCGAGTCAGATTGGAGCATGCATGTTTTTCTTATTCAGGTCTTTTCTAAGGTAAGAATCAAGTGGATCAGATATACACCCTTTGCCATCTTTTTTAAGGTATCTCAACTTCCTGTTAATATTTCACCACAATATGTAAGACTTTCTTTTAGATTCTGGGAAGCTCTATGTGTGTAGAAAAATATTCTTTCTGATCAAAATTTTTACAAAATGTGACATAGAGGCAAAGTTTCATGGGTTTTTGAGCATGTTTAGAACCTGAAACGTCCAGGCTAACATGTAAAATACTTATAGAAATTATGCTAGGAAGTACAGTTAGGTCCTTGCACCTCCTCTGTTCTCCAATTTGTATTAAAAGTGAATATACATTGTGTCTGAATGTGTCTTAAATGCATGGTATCAAAATATTATCTTTATGAAGTTATTAAATTACAAAATTAAATATAATACCTGTAAATGCAGATTTTGAGTGTTAGATTATGTATCAGTGCACTTTGTGTGTTTAACATACCGTCACCTTCTCCAAATCAGCATCTGAGGAGGTGGGAGACAAGGGGCTGATGGGACTGAGTGAAGGAGAGCTTCCAGCGCTGGAGATGTACTCAGGATCAGGAACATACAGAACCTGCGAAGACAATCCACCAGTGCATTTGAACAAGCGCAAACATATTTAACAGCAGCAAGAAAGGAAGAAAGGAAGAAGAGCATGCCTCTTTTTTCTCTCACACACACATCCATGGATAAAAACCACAGGTATAATGATAAAAAAATATAGCTGTTGATTAAGAATTAAAACTTTGATGTCGACTAAAAATCTATGTCAAGTGGAAGGGAAAAAAAAATGTTCTAGGGTTATCATGCCATAGAAAACTGTGTTAAGTTACTAGGTTGAAACTGCAGCCCCTTCAGTGCAGAGCCGAACAGCTCATGCCCAAGTCAGCTGATAGCCTGGAGTTGGTGAAATGTTTGCTGGCGTCGCCAAATACAACACTGAAGTGACAGACATAAACCCCTTACACACTGTCAGACAATATCTGGATGAGGAGACGGTTACATTTTCACTGTGGAGAAACCGTCATTCCAATCAAAAGTCGGTACTTCAGACATTTGACAAGGAAATCGAGTTTTACTGAAACCAAACAAATGGAAGTTAACTCTAAAACTCAACATTCAACAATCCACCTCCCTCGCTGCAGCAACAGAGAGAGTTAAAGACCACATTACATCGGTAAATATTCGTGGATTGCACCCACGACTTGAAGAACAAGTTTGAAAATGGAAAATGAATCTATTGAAATCTTCATACTTAAAGACCGCAGCTGTCTTGTGATTGAACTCCTGCTTCAGCCACAAGGGCAGATATCAACAAAAAGGAGTGCTTTAAAAGAGCTTTTGGTTCAATGGTTCAAATGAGTCTAAAGAGAGGAAGGAAGAAGCTAAGAATTACCAGAAAATCTCTTCACTCAAAAGGTTTATTTTGACTGCGTGTTCTGATCTGAGAAAATCATCACCGAGGCTGCTGCAGAACAGAAACAAAGTGACACAGCTGTGTTATTAGTGCAGAAAGTTCATACCTGTCCTGGCACCACTGCTCTGGAGAAAAGCTTGTTTAGCTGAACCAGTTCGTTGGGTGTGGTGTCAAACTTGAGCGCGATGCTGTTTAATGTGTCCCGCGATTCCACCTAAATGACAAAAAAAAAAAACATAAAGTCATGTTGCAGCATAGGATTTTTCACAAAGCAGTTCAGGACGGATCACCTGAAAAGAGACACTGAAGCTTAAAACTGAGAACAGTGAATGATACCATCACTCCATCTTGCCAATTTAGGACCAGCTGTATTTCTGAGAATTAAAATGTATAAAATCAACAAATACACATATATGACAAGGTGCAAGAACCAAAGATTTTCAGTTGTGGTAGTAGATTGTAGGTTGTGTTGTATTTGGGTCCTGTAAAATAAACTAACTTAACAGACTAAATTCAAAGTTCAGTTAAATGTCAGATACTATGATGCAATAAAGTCTATCATCTTGTCTCATCTTACACTAAACTTACATTTCCTCCTTGTGCCCTTCTTTCCTCCTCTTTAGCTCGATTTAGTCGTTGATAACCTTCTGCTTCAACTCAAACAGACTTGAACTGTATGTTAACTTAATATTGGGCAGTATTTGTCTAAAATGGCACTACCTCTGGCCCTTACAGGTATTTTCCGAGAAGCCACTGAAAAAAATCTATCCACTGTTCTTACTGATAAAAGAATGCTTTTGAAAAGAGCTGGTATAGACCCTACTATATTTCAACAATACTTTACAATAGCAGCAGGAGATACTTCCTTTTCACAGACAGAAATCTAAAGCCAAATTAAAATCACTGGTGCCATGGCTAGATGGACCCAAAAATGAGGACAGAACAAAGACAAACCTGACAGGAAAAGCAATGACAGATATTGAAAATGTCACCCTTTATTGGGACTCATTTTCCCACAATGGTGCAACGCCTGTGAGCTAGTCCAGGCAGGCAACTCCAGCTGCACTGATTTAACACCTCACACGTGTCATTCTCACAACGGTCCTAATTTTACGGTCTATTTGAGCGGGCACATTCGCAGGTTGCCCCCCTGTAATTGCCACTGCTGCCCTCACCATCTGTTACGGTATCAGTATCAACCTGCAGAATCCCTGTTCACATGACACTGCCGGCTCTCCCTGCCTGCTTCCTACTCCATCCACTGTCTAAACCTATGAAAATAAAAGCATAAAGCGGAAAAAAACACACACACACACTATTCATACCCACTGGCACAGCCACAAGGGGCAGTTTGGGGTTGAGTGTCTTGCTCAAGGACTCTCTCAGCATGGCATGTGGACAGTGGGACCTGGAATTGAACCCTTAACCTCCCAGATGAGAGACTTTTACTGAGCCGCTGCTCTCCCTGAGTGTCCTCTCATGTAGTTTGTATGTGCACATTAAAGAGTGTGTCTGGATCTGTGTGTGTGTCCATGAACTGGTCAATTAAACTGGAGACAATACGTGTTATCTGTTTGTCAAAACATTATCAAGTCTGGTGGTTGTGGGTGCAAAAGATCTTCTGAACCTTTCTTTCCTACTTGTCCCCTTTGGTCCACTAAGGTGTCATGAAGTTGGTGATCCATGTTCTTTAGAATAGACTCCACCTTCCTTAGTGTACATCTCTCCACCACATCCTCCAGTGAGTCCAACGTGAATCCAACCACAGAGCCAGCTCTGTTAATCAGTCCGTTCAAACTGCAGGGAATCCAGTTTGCCTTTGACCTCAGGCCTCAGACAGTGTAGAATCAGCCGCTCCTGAGTTTTTCATGATGTGTATAGTAAGAACCACTGGTCTGTTGTCAATTAGTACAGCCGGACATTTTATTTTTGGTACAGATCAAACCTCAGGTCCTGACACACTGTAGAGCTCACTTGGCTCATAAACACACTGAGCTAAAAGAAAACTCCTCATTTTACACAAAGGATTCCCAAAAATTAGAGCATAAATTAAATCACTTCAATAACAACAAACATAAGCAAGTACTGGGACAAAAATATAATTACAGCATTACCATAAGGAACAGAAGGGCAACTTTGAAATTGTAGGTTCACAAGTAATGGGAGTAAATATTAAAAGCCCAATGGTCTGCCCCTCTCCTTGTAACAGAAAGGGTCCCAACCTCTATCATCTGTTAGTAGCACACTTGTGCCACATTTTAGCCGGGAGTTTCATCATCTCTCACAATAGCTCTGAGTCAGACCGATGGCATTTTCCCCACAAGTCTGTCTTAGTGCTTTTTTTTATACTACAGTAGGGACGTCTGCAGGAAATTGATTCTGAGCTCCTGTTGTAGACACAGTTTACAAACACAGGAAAAGCCCTCCTGCACTCGTCCCCCTCACAGTCTCTACTGTGGACTTGTTCCAGTTCCTGGGATCCACTATCTCCAGAGACCCGAAGTGGACCATCCACAACGATGGATGGAGCAGAGGTTGTACTTCCTGCAAGAACTCAGGAAGTTGGACCTACCTCAGGAGCTGCTGATCCACTTCTAAACTGCCATCATACAGTCTGTTCTCTGCACATACAGCATATCACTGTTTGGTTTGGATCCGCCACCAGGCAGGACAGGAACAGACTATTAGTTCACTGACTCAGGAGACAAATAAGCCAGCAGGGCACCAGCCTACATAAAATACAATCTGGTCCTAGAGCCTTTGTAACTGACACACAATAAAACAATAAACACTTGCAGGAGTATCATTTACTGAAGCTGAGGGAGATGATAGCATTTAGCCAAGACAGGGGCCAAGGTCTAATTTAGAAACTGACTTTTGAAGATTTATGTTTTGATAAAGAATCCAAATCTACAGATAGCACCTCACATGATGTCTTTTCCACTACCCCCTGTAGAAATCATGGGTTTAAATCACGTACTTCAATTACTTTAATTAAAGGCAGCTGCAAATGGGGGAGACTAGAAGAATTGAGAGTTTCTGTTGACTTTCTCACATCCTTATATCTTCAGGTAAATACTAAGAATCTTTGCTACGGACAGGGAAACTTCAAATCTCTTAGCTTTGCTGGACAGGCTAGATGAAAAGACTGGGGGTCTCAACAGTCGCAGCGACAGACCTTTACAGGTCATCCAGTGATGGGGAAAGGAGTGCTAATCTGAAGCCCCCTCCTGAAAGTCCTTTGGGTAGATTAGAACCTGATTCACTCAACTCAAAGTTCTGAATGGGATATACTAGACCCCTTCAAAAATAGAGTTAAGGAGTTAAAGGAAAACTTGGCATGGTTGAGATGTGGGGAGACCTCAGGCACCCAACCCATTTGTTATGGTCCTGCCCTGAGGTCCAGAGGTGGTGGACAGCCATTCATGCAAATAGTGCATTGACTGTGGGTCAGCGCATTCCCTATCTGCCAAGTCTATACATCAAGAGAGACCCTATGCCCTTAAGGGGGATCCCTGAACCCCAGACAAGCTGGATTCACAGCTATCATGCTGGGGCTGAATGCTGCTTGTCAGGGAATGAAAAACGGTAAATCTCCCTCCATCCAGCTTTTGGTTCACCTGAATAAATGTAGGTACAGCCTCTGAAGAGCTGGCATACAGAATGATAGATACTCTCAATCAAACTCATTTCGATTGGTGATTCAGGCTCACAGCCCTCCTGCAGTTTGAAATTAGGTAGCATGCAAGAAAGTCCAACCCAGTTCTCCAGTCAGTCAAGCCCTTTATTGTGGTCAGCTGTGGCAAACGCAGAACTGAGATCCAGTAGCAGGAAGACTGAAATTCGACCAGTGTCAGTGTTTAAGTAGATGTCATTAATCACCTTAACCAGAGCAGCTTCAGCGCTGCTGTCAGGTTGAAAAACCTGACTGGAGAAAAAGAAGAAGTTCACAATCTGGATCAGATCTGATGCCATGATTGGAAGGGGAGTTGACGTGATGTTTATAATCCTCGAGGGGTTAATGGTTGAGAAAATAAACTGCTTCTCTCATTTTCAGGATTTTTTTCTTTATTTTTGTGCAGCATGAGACAGATTCATCACATGATCTCAGTGGAGTAAAGTTCAGGTCCACCAGCACAGAGGGGTTAGTTAGCATATATAGGAGACTTGCATTATTATAGTTTTATAATCATGCTAGAGAGAAAATATTGTCTTGCATCCCTCAGCTGGAAACTATAAATGCATAGTTCCTTTTTATAGATGTCCTAGATGGTTTTTCACCACCTGGGTTCAGCTTTTGGTGCTGTTTTTTTTTTTGTTGTTGTTTTTTCTACATGTTGATATTTTCTTACCAGTAAACCCCCCCCTCACCTTTAGAAGAAACAGAATCCAATGCACTTGAGATTTTAGAATAGAAGTTATCTGCCAGTTCATTGACTGAGCCTCAGGATGGGGGCGGGTATGAAGGACATATGCCGCCCCAAAAACCTGCACACAACAGCCAGCATTCATATTTATAAATATCTTAAATTAATAATATATAATATTAACCATTCAGCCATGAACTTGCCATACAATAGGCACTTATTAACCCCCATACCATCATGGATTCTGGTTTTGAACTGTGTGATCGGTCCCCTCTTCAAAGCAGAGGATCTGACGCCTATGACTTCCAAATAATTGTCAAGTTTTGATTTGTTGGACCTCAGGAGAGTTTTTCTGGATCCTGTTCAACATGATTTCCACTTCGCATGGCGCAGCATTAACCTGCACTAAGGGATACAACAACAAACGGCATTCCAAGGGAACGGATTTGGATTTGAGTTGAAGCCCATGCAGTGATTTCCACTACAGAGTCATGTCTGCTTTTCAGACAGTGCTGCCAAAGGGCCTGAAGACCATGGCCATGTCCCATTTTATACAGAGATTTCTCCAGATTCTCTAGAACTTTTATTATGAGATTAATTCCTCATTTGGGATTATAATTGGGTTAATTTTCAACAGGTTACACCATGGACACTGTAGAAATGTATGAGGGATCATGTCAGTAACATTAGAGATAAGTTTCTTTGCTCTGAGGAGGATTTGGTACGGCTGAGCTCTACAAGGATTATCCTCTCTGGTTAAGCTACCAATCTTTTTATTCACACCTGTGGCCCGGCTGATATAAGGACAGCAGATGGCTCTGATCACACCAGTTCACACATGGGCAGAACATGCATCTCAAAATACATCTGCAGTAAACACTGTTGAGCAGCTTTTACCTTTGTGCTTCTTATGCAGACTAACGTAGAAAGTTTACCTTCATTAGCTTTTACAAACATTAAAGCTCCTGTGAGGAGTTTTTCAAATAAAATAGACTGAATTCAGATTGAAGCCTTTTTATGGTAAACAGAAATAATTTCATTGTCTGCACAGTAAATTTGCAACAATAATTCTTTGAATGTCAAAGGTCAGCAGGATGAGATTTTTTTGCGTCAAAGAGCAAAAATTAAATATGTAGATGACAAGAAAAGCAAAGGCTTCTGTGTCCACAAGGAGCCCCTAAAATTCAGAAACAACCAAAACTTCCACACAGGAGCTTTAAATGATGATGAACATGTAGACTGCTGACAACCTAGAAACCGCATAGCAGTGTCACTAGCACACAGTTCCTGGTTATTAAACATCTGTCTCCTCACTCCGCTGCATGATCGCAAACTCTGTTAAACTCTGTTAAAAGTGGAGGGTGCAGTGAAATGGATGGGCTTTGGTCATTTTTGCCAGTTTTGGATGCACTCCCAACTATTGATTACAACATGTATACTAGCAAAGCACAGATTCATGTGAGTAATGCATAAAGCCTTGTTAGAAAGCCTTATAGATGCATTTTTAAGGCTCCATCAATGTGCTCCCAAAGCATTAGGTCATGCTGCCCAACCCGGCTTAACCCTGAGTGCTGAAAAAGAATTAAAGATTCGCTCTAAATCCCTGACAAGGAAGCAGAAATGTGCCTCCTATAGTGTAGGTGAGAATGATTAGAAAAACTCCACCCTTAAAACTCTGCCTGGACCAAAACACTTCTAGGTTACAAAACAATCATACACATGCCTTAATTCATCAACTGTGAATGAGAAAAAAAAACAAAACAAACAAACAAAAAAAAAACAGTCAAGTCTCAGACGTTTGCTTTTCATCAAGTATTACACCCTGCTGTTGGTTCTTGGTCGATCAAGCAGCACAGAGATAAACAAACAAGGGCCTTGTCGATCAGCAAGACCCAGATGACGGAGAGGATGGAGCTTTATTCTGTGTTACGGAGAGCCAATCACAGTGAAACCTACAGCAGCTTCTGGAGCTCTAAGCAACGGACAGACAAAACTGACAGCAGAGCAGTCAAACCAAAACAACACAAAAAGAGGATCTTGAAAATCTGACCAGAAAGGAAGGTGAAAAAAAACCGATATTCAGATCTCCCTACTCTTACATCATCTCCCTTTGCCTTTCCCTTATTTACTCTTTCCTTCTCTATCCTCCAAGCAGACGGGGAGACAGAAGGAGCTGAGTAGCAGCATCCCTGTTTCTTCCTGTTGCCAGGGAGGGAGGTGATCTAAAGCAGTCTGACTGCAGCTGGATTTGAGGGTCATTTGAAGAACACAACCAGGCAAAGCAGAGACAGGCTCCATTTTCAGCTCACACTGGGGAACCAGAGCCCTGTCCCTCCCCCCTCTCACCATTCCCCCTCTCTCTCTCTCTCTCTCTCTCTCTCGATCGGCTCATTCCCCCTCCCCTTCTCCTACACAATAGCTAAATCAATAGAAATGACAACGCAGTTGGAAGGTCATTCATTTGTGAGCACAGCAAACTATGTGGTGGAATGCTCCTTATTGTGGCACAGAGACCAACTGGAAAAACAAACACATAACCTGCCAGCACAGCCTGTCTGTGTGTCCTGCTGTGATCCAGCGAGGAGATGCACAGAGCAGCTACATCTCCTTTCTCCTTCATATATATGCAAAATAAAGCTACTGCTGCAAAGGCAGGCTTTCAGAGGCTTGAGTGTATCCATAAGCTTGCTGTTAGCGATCCTCAAGGTCTGTGTACAGTGGGAAAATGCATTTCTCTGACTGATGAGCAACCAAACATGGTCAGACATGGTACCTTCACAACACACAAACAGAACCGCTAAAGCTGTGAAATAACACGAGCTCGATATAGCAACAGAAATCAACAGTGTCAGGCAGAGGCAGAGGCAGCAGCAATATGGGTACAGAATGGCGTATAACAGACATTATTATTAACCTGGATAACACAGAGTTGCTTGCATGATACTCACTGAATATTCAATGGTCCCTTTGGGTCTCTGGAATGACATACGCCTCCCATCCTTCTTCTCTGGAGTTTTTTTCTGGCCGGTATCTGAAAGCAAGCGAGGCAAGGTATGCATTACATTCATGTTCCTCTTTCCCCAGCTTGTCACAAGCTGCCGTTTCCCAGCCCTGTGGGTAGACAGCTCATTCGTCAACAATGAGGGAGCCAGCCAGCCAGCCAGCAATATGAGCTGTGAGCATCAGACCAATTTCTCTCTTTCTCTCTCCCTCCCTCTCTTCTCTCTCACTCAGCTTTTTCCTTCCTGCCTTCGGTCTTCCTCCAGCACACTGTCCTCTCTCCCTCTCTCTCTCTCTCTCTCTCTCTCCCCTTCTCACTCTATCTCTCACTTCTTCCTCGTTGCTCCTCATACAAAGCACAACGATAGCCATTAAAACCAGTCCACCTTGCCATCCTGCCTTGTTGCCTCCTCTGAAAGACCGAAAACCAAGTTACCCTCCGTCAGGTTAGTACTGCCCTGGTTGCCAGCCATGAGCAGAAATTTGAAGAAAAGGGAGGCAGGGGTTGCTTAAGGCTGGAGATGTAGGAAAGAGAAGAAAAGGGAGGGCCAAACTACAGAGTGATGGGTGGGGAGGGAGGGATCATTTTTGCGTGTTGACTGAGGAATAGCATCACAGAGGCACCTTGCATTGATAAGTGGCAGCCTCCGAGAAGCTGGGCAGTGAATGCTCTGGATTTTTTAGGGTTTTTTTAAAGGAGTGTTATACTTTTAATAAATAGACGTTTAACAAAAGAGAGAGGTGAAAAAAAAAAACGGGTATCTAAGCAAGAAAGAGGGAATAATAGCTGGTAACAATAGGCTTTTAATTTAAGGGCAAAAGGGAAACAGTTTGGTAGAAATTAATGTTTTTAAAGGTAAAGCTAAAAATCTGACACAAGTCACTTTTGGCAAGTCAAATCTCAAGTCTCTGAGTACAGCAGCAAGTCCCCAAGTCCCAGTTAAGTCTACTATAATGTTAAGAAATAGGAACAACATAAAATAAAATCATATAATAAGTTGATAGAAAAAATATTACCTCATTTATTTCACATCATATAAAATCAGTATTTAGTTACCTCTTAATACATTGTATTAAATATTCAACATTGATTTAAGTGACCTAACAACTAACACAACACAGAGGCAACATATAGTGACAACAGATAAACCATAAATCCAGCCTGGACACCTGCATCTCTCTACTTTTACAGCCATCACTCCCCCCAGTTTTGTTTTGTTTTTTCTAATCTTCAGTCTGACTGGAGCAACTGAAGGTCATTAACAGGACCCCACATAATAACAACTATTCTGAATGTGTCCTTATCAGCGACCGATCTGTGCGAGGACCATCACCTGTGATAACAACACAAAATTGAGAGCTACAGCAACCAGCAGGGCAACACTGGGCGTCCACTTATTGATCGGGGAGGGCGGCCTCGTACAGATGAAAAATGACCAAAATTTGTCCGTGGTTATGCTTAAATGGCCCTTTTATGATCTATGTGTTGGATACACTGTGTCAATGAGGTTTGTCTTCTGCCAGAAGCAGAAGATTTAACCTGATAAGAGGGAATGTTATCAGAGCCTGTGATGTTATCGAGACAAAATACAAGATAAAAAGACTGCCCACTGGTCCCAAAGCTCGAGCCTGGGTCCGGTCTCAAGTCTCTCGGGGTGGAGTCTGAGTCGAGTCTGATGCCATATTAGTGTGTAGCTTAAGTTCAACTCAAGTCCAATCAATCAATCAGACTTTATTTATAAAGCACTTTTCATACAATTATAATGCAATGTGAATGCTGTACACAAAAAGAAAAGAAAGGCTTGAACTTGAATCTTCATCCCTGGTAAGAATAAAAGGAACGTATGGGGACGAAGAGACTTTGTAGCTGGGTAATTTGAAAGACATCCATGTCACATTAATTTTGGGACGAGTTATGCAACAAATGGCTTGAGTTCAAGGCTTCTTTGATCGGATCTGTAAGATTGAATGGAGCAAATAATGGTTCAGATTTGCACTCCCTGAAGTTTCTATTATACAAATATTCCCTCTGAATAAACCTCAACTGTCTCATAAAAGCTTTTATTTGCATCTTACTCAACACACACAAAGCGCGGTGACAACATGTCAGCTGTCTGTATGACTAAACAGTGCTGCTTTTTCTGGGGAGCTAGCAGTAAATGAGAGGGGGAGGGAAAAAGAGAAATAGAGGGTGTGCATGTCTGAGCTTCAATGATGACTTGTGTCAGCTGGAAAATATATATACATATTCGATTATAAGCACGTGCAAAGATTCAATGGTAGACAGTGAGTTTTTCAATACTGGTGGATTCCATGTATTAAATGCTATTAACTCTTGGATGGGGAGTTATGAAAAGAGGGGACACGATTAAAACCTTAAAAGCATAATTTTAAGGTAGGGCGAGGGGGCATACTGGAACTATTACATTAAAGATTGATAATTTGTTGTATTTCAAGTCAACGTGTCAAATAACTGTTCTTCCATGTCTTCCTATTATGTTATGACACATAGTCTGCTGTGTCTCTATTTCATTGCAAGTAGAGCGCAGCAGAAAACTAACAGAGGAGGTGTCGATAGCTGATGAGCTGTGAAGATTTGTGCAGTGCTTTGCTTTTAGTATAGCTTTCTGCTCATGCACACAAGTTTCGACTGAATCGGTGCAGGCTGAGCAGAATCAGGGTTAACATGAGATTAGACTTCCACAGTCTTCCTCTCTCCTCTCATGGTTCATTTCAGAGAGCTACCAAGACAAAGACTGAATGAAATGGAAATAAAAAACATACGGAAAAGCTGCTCCAGGGGTGTTAGCACGTGGTGAGCCAGCGATTGGTCTAAAATTAAACCTCACCATGGATGGTGGCACAAGAGATGGGCATTTTATTCACACTCCAGACACACAGCAGAGCTTGGCCCCTGGGCATCTTCTGTAACAAAGGCTCTGGTTTTATCCCACTCCACAGGAAACCAGGATCATCTGTTGTCTACAAATAAGCCATGCTTCTATAGCAGGAAGCTTTTTAAAGTCCACAGATAACAGCCAGTTTGTTTTGTGTGATCTATCTGCATCCAGTTACATACTGGAATTCTAATTTCAAGCAAAAAGCTACGTCGATAATAAACATCGAATTCTCAGCTCTGAGTTTTCCTGTTCTCAAACACCATCTCATATGCTGTGGATCATGCATCAAGAAAGCATGATTGGCACATCTGTGTATGCACAACCCTCATGGGAAAGGTATGATGAAACAGACCTGTGGCTAAAACAAATTTAGATAAGAATACTGTCAACTTTGCTGGAAAGCACAGAGTAAACATTCAACCCAGTAACACAACAGTCACCAGTATAAACTTTTCAACTCCCTTCTTTCTCTTCTGAGCATGTTTTACTTGGATTATTGATGGGCTGAATTATGTTTAAAGTGGGTCAACTGTAAGAAGCTGTGTGACTCAGTTACGCACTAAAATGAGATGCTGTACGTCAGGATAGACAAAGACTGCCTTTTATAAACCCGGGATGTAAACAGCCATAACAAGTCATACCTATTTGTGCAACCATGTAAAAAAATGTGTCCAGTGGACTGCACTTGAGTCATGTTCAGCCCCACGGTCTAGCTACAGCCGGAGCTCAGCCTCTAAGTCTGTCTTCGATTTTTATTTACATTTCAACGAACACCCACATATTCTTTAAATGAAGTAATGAAGGAAAAAAAAAGTCATTTGAATATATTATAAACATCTATCTCAACTCTGAACAGACAAACTAGCAGGAAAAAAAACACCTTTTGCTAATCACTGGGCAGCTGAACAAGACAGAAGGTCAGAGAACGGAGAGGACAGAGCGAGTTCAGATGTTATTGTGTTCAAGTTAAAAGTTTTTGATCATAAAATTTGATAAAAGGAGAGTCAGATTAATGCATCACTGGAACAAATTCAGAGAGAATCTGAGTTTAGGTATAAAAATGAAAACATGCCACAGTACAGGGTTTCTGCAGAGAAGTCAAATAACACGAATATTACAACATCAAAGAAAGATTTCATGTAGCAGATGTTAAAGGTTTCAACACACATTTTTCAAACTGACATCTATCTTGAAGTTATTTTAAGGAATATAATTTATTATTAATGGATGAACAGAGTCTTTGTCAAGCTCTGGATTTAATAAACAGACACAAAACTGATGCCAAGTTTGAGAGAAACACTGTAATGAATTTAAAGAGGATCCTTTTAAGTTGCCATAAAACATTTAACTAAATGAATACTGCAGGGAATTTTTCTTTAATTGTGACATAAAGTGCTGTGTGTTCCCACACAAAGTCAAAACCTGGGTGGGCTGCTCGGTGTAATTTGAGCGAATCAATCCCAACTAATCCCTGACCAGTTTTACATTTTCTGTATAAGATCACCGTCTGTTATTGTAATTTAGTCAATCTCTCATCACTCACTGCTGCTGCCTCTCATTACCTGCAGTCCCTGACTCAGGCTTCACAGGTGACAGAGAGAGGTCTTTCAGTAAATCCTTCAGTCAATGCATGGATTTAGGAGCCATGTCTCCTGCTAAATAACCTTCTCATACAGCTGTTTTAGAAGTTGTGTGCAGCTGGTTGCTGACCATGTCATTTTGCATGATCTCTGCCTATTTAGTTGCATGCAGAACCTTTGGTCATTAACAGGCCCTGTTTAGGCTCAGATCACCTTAAGATGTCTGTTTAAAGATTACAAAAGTTGAGTTGAGTCATTTGGGTGCCTTTATGAAACCTGGTGAGGGTGAAAATCGTAACAGATCAGACACATAGAGGGTAAACAATAGGAGGTCATTTTAATTTACAAGGTTAAAAAAGGATGAAGTTGCCAAATCAGTGTCATCCTTACATTAGGGAATAGAAGTTTACAATTTAATCTTTACACTGGATAGTATCAGTATTGATATTGGCAGATACTAAAGCCCAGGTGTTGGTAATAGGACTTAAAAAGTTGGATCTGTGCACCCGGTGTTCCACAGGGCTCAATTTTAGGTCCTCAAGCCAATGTCATCAGGAGGAATGGCATCAACTTTCATAGCTATTTGTATTGATGACCCAGGGTCAATTTTATCATATTTTATATATCAAGTAATGGGTGGCAGAGAGCCATTTACAGCTCAATCAGGTCTAAACTGAGGTTTTAGTCATTGGTCCTGCAGCACAGAGAGAGAGAGAGACACTGGATGCAAAACTCAATTCATATCTTGGCTTTAAGCTGCACATTAGGGAGCTATCCAAAAACGCTTTTCTATAAAGTGAAAAACATTGCTAGCGTATGACAGTTTCTCTCTCAAGCCAATGCAGACATTCTAGTTCATACTTTTATCACCTGCAGAGTTCACTATTTACACTTCTCTCTCTGGTTTTCCTAAAAAAAGATCATCTTCTGGCTTCAGCTGCTACAAAACTCAGCTGCAGGGAAGCTGACAATGACCACAAAGAAGAGCCCTCAAACACCCATTTTAAAGTCTCTGCACTTGCTTCCAGTGTCTCTGAGGATCCTTTTACTGGTCTTTACAGCTCATTATGGTTTAGCTTCAACTTATTTATCAGATATGAGCCAATGAGATCCCTCAGGTCTTCAGGAAGTAGTCTTTTAACAGAGCTAAAGTCAGACCAAAGACCCACAGTGAGACAACTTTTTACTGTTATGGCCCACGACTGTGTAACAACCTACTTAAAGACCTGGGGGTGTCAGAAAGTATCCATATTTTAAAAAGCAAACTCAGGATCTACTTTTTCAGTCTGTTTTTGATAAAATCTTGTTTATTTAACTTGTTTCATAATACTCTCCTAATAACTGTATTTTGCTTTTACTGTGTTTAAATCTTCTTGTAGTAGAGTTATCTTTTATTATTTAGGATCTATTCATAATATCTATTTTTTGCTGTTTTTTACTCTCCTATCTTGAGTTTTAACATTTCATTATACCTTGTGTTTCCTCATCCAGCTCTTGTGATAATGTTTCCTCAGACTCCTCAATTTTGTCAGCTCCTGTTTTCTTTCAGGTTCTGATTCACAACATATTTACTTCACTTTATATAAATTGGGTGGTGGGGTCCCTTCTCTCTTTGTTTTTCATTTCATTTTATGTTTTTATGTACAGCACTTTGTGTTGCATTATTGTTGTCTGAAGAGTGCTTCATCTATCCATCAAAAATGATCTCTTGAAGCCTGCATGGTTCAAATTAGATCTAATGTAAGATCACTGATGAAAGGTGTAAAGGCTCCTATTTAGTAACTTGGGTCAGGGTCACTAAATTTCCTATGTAAATGCTGTGTTTGAACAGCTTCTATGTGGAAATAACGTTTGTCTGCTTTGGTTGTCTTAAAGCAGTTTAGGTTTGTCTTTTTCACACAGCTGACCCTGTAAAAATCAAAGTTTCACGTTTTCTAGACGTTTGAAAGAAACCAGTGAAAAAGGTAACATCCAAAGACAGATTAAACTTTGTGCCCTTTACGTCGCTTTAGGTTCTTCACATAGCGTCATTGCATCACTGGCAGGCGGCTGCGGAAGTCAGTCAAAACTAAAAAATAAACAATAATTACACAACCTGCACCTTTAACATCTTAGCCGAATTCCAGGGTGAAAATAAATGTTGATACTTAATGTCGTTTTTTGCTTTATCAGGAAAGGTTTATCCAAGACAGAGGGAAACTTTCAAACTCACAATCTTTTTAAGGGGCTTTTGCACTCAACCCCAAACTGCTCTTAAAGCTGCGCGTGCAGCTGTACCTAAAACTGTCAGCTGATTTAGTTAAGAACTCAACCAACCTTTTGGGATGTGTACGATGTCATTTACCCCTAAAAATCCGACATGGGGTTGTGGACTTTGGATTTTCTCCTCTCCAGGTCCAGGCCAAAATCTCTGAACGATTGTCTCCCTAACAGCTCTCGCACCGCTGCCCGTAACAGACAGAAAGTAGTCCATGACGCCCTAACTCACAGCTGACAACCCCTTCAGAGTGGTTGAAACAAATCTGCACGACTACTTTACAAGACTGCAGTCATTAACTGTGCATAAACGCAAAGTTGACAACACGTACACGACACTTCTCATGGTGTGAAGAGTCTCACATTGCACACAGCACATTCCAAAACAGGAACTACTCTACACACGTCAACAAGTGACAGATTTTAGTTAGCCCTATAGTGGAGGAAGGGAGAACTACAAGGACCTGCAGACTACAGGATTTTACAAGGTTAATACACGCATACAGGCCTGGTATGAAATTACGTTGTTTTATTACGTTTTTTCCCTATATGTACACACTGTGCATAATATCAAACCGTAATATCCAGTACCCACTCTTCTGACAAAGTGATTGCCAATCATAACCAGGTGACACATAACACAAAATATGTTTGGATTTTAAAATCGTCACTTTTTTATGAATACATAAATCATCACGGATTAATTTCCCTTTGAGGGTTTGATCCAGTCTCTGAAAATACACTAATCATCTCTGGGAAAAGCACCTGGGTTTTGAAGAAATGCTGTTTATCACTCTGTGCAAGCTGCAGGGCTAAATGGCCATCTCCATGTCGCATCATACCATTTTGCCACTGTAATCTATATTGCATTTTCAACCATTTAACAAGTAAAAAAGGAAGACATTGAATATACGAATAAATAGTCTATGTTTGTTTACATTTGAAATCAGTTTGGCCTGTTTCAGTGTGGTTAGTTAATTGGACAGTGAGATAATTTAGCTCTTTGAAAGCTTAATCAGAACAATGTTGTAGTTCTAAATGTCAACAAATAAAGAAAATCAGCAGCCTGATGAACTCAAACAGTTACCGAATATTGGAGTGAGATATGAAACATTTAGGTTTTGATTTCTTTTAATATGGCTGTGCCACATTAGACTTTGGACTTTTCTGCAGTGGGACATCCTAAAAAACTAAAACAATTTGAACTGTATTATTGTGTTTTCTGATACACAAATACATCAGCAACGTAAATTTTGAGATGAATTATGAACATATTTTTATTCATAATACATTTTACTCCCAACAGTGGTTTTGTTCATATCCTAAGTCACTGACATATTGGTGGATTTTAAAGAGCAGACTTTACCTCCAGGTCAAATGACATGACATCAGCAAAGTCATGTGATCTTAATTATATGGTATACTACTGCTTAAATTCAAATCCGAATATGTCCCCTTAGTGTTATAGAAGACAAGATATATGTAGTTTAAGTGTCCCACATTAAGTGTCAGAATATTGTGTACCAGACACCACTGCCTGTCAACAAAACAAAGACAGCCATGGTTATATGTAATCAAACGAAGAAAGAGAAATTGGAGCGGCTTTACAAGGAATATTGGATTTCTCTGGCCTGGCAGACCCATCAGTCAACTCATATTAATTTTCACTTGCATGCAAGTGTGGAACAGCTGTCATTCTTAACGTTTTACCATCAGCAGCAGATGTACCAACCTTATCATAGCCCTTCATTAAGGATAGCGGCACAGGTGTGCTGCTTCAGCATATTTTTAAAGAACTAAGATAGCAGCCTCTGCTGCTGGGAGATCTGTAAAACCCGCTACAGCCACCGTTTTAAATATTCTGGATTTTCATTAAAACAAGATCAAAAAACTGCAGGTACAGTGTTCATCAGTAACAGATGTACGTGCTATACGACCATTGCCAACACCCCCAGAAAAATAGAATAAATAGATCCGTTCCAGACCCATTCGCCAAGGTTGGATGTAAAACGTCAGGAAGAATTTCTCTGTAATGCTCGCTTTTTTAAAGACTTGGGCTTTAAATGAAAAACATAACAAAGACATCTATTTATTTTTAATCCTCCTTCTTATGGTTGCAGCAGTAATCAAATCCAAGAGAACGCATCTGAGGCCTTGGTAATGCATGCTTCTGCCATGTAAAGGGCCTGCAGAGGACAGACAACAAGTAGGTGATGGCAGAGATGTTGAGCCATTTGGTCTGACACTGACATGCTGCTGCAACAATTCAACCAGCTTTCATTGCCTGAGCTTCTCTCTAAGGACAGTTGCACCGGATAGCTGTCCGTGATCAATGACCTGTGGTGTCAGACCATGCTATTTTTTACCGCCAATTTCCACTACCCCTTTAGGTCATCTATCCTCTGCAGATGCCTGTGCTGTCCGAGGCTGCTTCAAGAAGCTGGGTGGCCCCAATGACTAATGACAACCTGCTGAGAAGAGAAAAATATATATCTTCAGCACAGAGCTCTCTCCTTCAATCTTTTTACATTCTTCTCTTTCCACTGGAAATGCACCTTATTCCCTCTCAGGTGTGTATTTTAAGTCCCTTTAAAGAGAGAATTAATTAAGAGGGCCACTGGTTAAGATCAGGTACCCCATGTACACAGGCTACACTCCTACACACTACTTACCGAATTTCCCCTCGGAGATTAATAAAGTTCTCTATCTATCTCCTTACTGGTTGTTGTTGGATCATCTCCTGTGACAACTATGCTGCCTCCCCTATTTATAGTTCTTCACTTCAAACAGTTTGTAGCCCTCTGGGTACGTCTAAGGTGAACTCTAAGGTTTGGTGCAAGTCAACGTGAGCACACTTTTCATGCAACCCACACGAATGTTAGGACATTTCCTCGGTCTCCAGTCTATGGTCTAACCATGAGTGATTTTGGGACTATGATGAGGTGCTCCTGAAAGTCTGATGCTGAATGCTCAAGAGAGGATCAGGTGCTGAGGAGGGATATTAAATGAGCGAGGACACATGAGGGCAGCCTCATGAAGTCCTTAAACTGGGAGACAATATCACCCACTCACTGGGCGCTGCAGCAATTGGACTGTCATTTAGGGGTGCCCTGAAATAGACCAGGAACACACTATATGTCAAATTCAAGAGATTTGGGGATTCAGGATCAGGGATCAGGACTAAAGAGCAACACTTTATATGAACCCATCTCCCATAATGCATCACAAGCACATTTACAAAGCCTTATAAATGCACCTGAAATGCTTTATAACAATGCTTCATAACAGTGTTTATAAGCATTCATTGTAAGCGGTGAGCATAATGTCTGACATAAACACAGAGAATAATGACAATGCTCTGTGTCAGAAACTCTTAATCACATAACTGACAAAGAAAAAGATAGTTGGACTTAAAATATCAGGTGAAATGTTTTGATATATACACTCAGAAGTGTAGCCGAGGTGTGTTTAAACCAAAGGTAATGAAAACGCTGCAAGTCAATGTGGTGACCTATAACTGCTGCAGTCAAATTTCCAACATCAGCTGAATGCAAAGTAGCGGTGGCAGACAAGGGCAAGTGATCTGCAACAGCGGGAACTATCTTCATCAGGAGAAACCTGCTACAAATACAGAGAGGATGCAACTTCAACGACACATGCAAAGGTCCAGAACAAACGCAATGATGGAGATGAAAAAATGTACCACAAAAAGACAAAACAAATGCAAAAAATAGCAACTGTACTGCATATTCTTAAGTTACAAAGCAAAAAAAAATGAAGCACAAAGCCAAAAAGCAGCTGCAAATAAAGAAATTAAGAGCAAATAAGTCAGACTTTTAATGGGAGTGTTCTAAGTCTGTAGAGGTACTGAGTGAAACATCTTCATTATCATGAAGCTGACAGAGAAGAAGACGACACTTTGAGCTTGTTTAAATAGGAAAGTCACATTGTTTAATATCAGGGTGTAGCGCTGAAATTGAGATTCAGAGCTGGATTTTGACACTGATAATGGTGAAGAAAAGGTGTAAATGTCTTAAGTAAATTATCTTCACCTGAGTGGGGAGACCTGAGTAGGGGTTCAGTGTGGCGACTGCAGGATATCTGGAGCTTTTGCTATTGGTCAGTCAGTAAATTGTATCGCTCTCTAACGGAGATCTGTAGCTGGAAAAGGCTGCTCTTAGCAGCTCAGTGGAACTTTTTCACTGAGTGAATGTCAAACTTTTGCTCCAATTATCCCAGGGTTGCTGCTTAATAAGCACTCACTTCTCAGGTGATAGGAAGGGAATGAAACCAGACAGCATTCCTGCTTATAGCCAATGTGCCGCCTTCAGAGTCTGTATAAATGATTGAATATGTTTATGCATTTTTTATTTATTATCTAAGCTCATATTAACGCCCCTCCCAACATGGAGATACTACATTAATTTAAACATCACTCTTAGCAGTTTTACTACAGCAGTCTCTCAGCTGATGTCTAATACACGGCCTGAAAAGTTCTCTAACAAGCTCAGGACTGGAGCTGAAAAAACTTCTAACTATACTACTCTAAACCATGTGACTAAAGCTACACTCAGCAACTCCTAATTTAGCAGGATTTTCTGTCCAATATTAATTATTTCCTTTTTGTTTACATGTTAATTCAGTTGTTCTTTGTTCCATTAAAAATGGGGGCATTGTCATCAGATATGTTGTCTGATAACACAGACTGTAACAGCATAATATCAATAACAAAGCTGTGCCCATCAGCGCCCCCTGCAGGCCTGGAGTTTGCTGCTTTTATTTTCATCTGTAGCTGTTTTCTGTTTTTGTGTGTTCTTGCTGGTTTATTTGCAGCACATTTGCCATCAATGCAGTTGATCCAGCTTTTTGCAGAACATTTTTCCTTTGCAGAGCATCCACAACAATGCTTGTTTTGGACTTCTGCATGTCATTTTGAAGTTGTGTCATTTATTTATTTGCAACACATTTCTTCTACTAAAGACATTCTGACTGTTGAAGGTCTTTGCCTTTGTCTACCACCATAAAAAAGTATCATGTATGATAGCTTAATCATTTCAAGGTTGCAAAAGCCAATCAACATAAAGATTACCCTGACTTTCCTGCATAAGGAATTATCAACCTGACCTCAATCCAAAAAAAAAGATCTATGACGTTGTTTTTATCTCATCGTTGACATCGCTGACAAAGCTTAACCTGAATACTAACCTTGATTAACCTTAATTGTGATTGAATCTGGTTTTATAATCCAGAGCGCAGCCTTTTCATAACTCTGAGTAAAAGTGAGACTCAGATATACCCCGGCAGTTCATTTGTATCAGAGAGATCCCCTCTGTAGTTTGCGTTTGATCTTCAAATCTGGAGGGGGAGATTTTCATCCAAGCACATAATCTCACCAAGTTATGTGACACAAATATTTTTTTTCCCATTTGGTCTGAACTAGATTTGCCAAACTTGTCTCATTCAGTATTTCGTACACACATTCACACCCCTCAGAGCTCTGCCTTTGTAGTTATACGGGACTCGTGTCCTGTCTGAGGACACCTGGACATATAGACTACAGAGGCAGGGAAACAACATGCCAATCATCGGAGAGATAACCAGCAAGTTGCACTACTTTAATAGCATGTCTTCAACAGGTGATCACTGTTTATCTCTGTGATTTAGACATTAGGTCAGAGCACCATGCAGGCATTTATCAGCACTTCTGCATGTGGCTTGAAAAATATACCTGTGACACACAGAACACAATGACTTTAAAGTAGCAGGAACTGTCAGTCTGGATTAATGAGCAGCTGTTAAAATGGTCATACCATAACCTCATCCCCTGTTGTTTACCTATAGTATAGCCTCTCTTCAGCTCGCCACAGCGGGGGCTCCGATGGGAGTTGGTAGTGTTTTTTTCCTGCACAGCAAGACTGTTGGTTGTCTTGGCAACAGGTGCAACAGCCTTGTTGGGGGGTGAAGCTGGCACCAGGGTTGGGGGGCAACCTTGGCTAGAAATATCCACCGACTGAGACTTCTTCTTCAGTCTGCAAGGGAAAAACAAGACAGAGAAGTATTATAGAAAAGCATTACAGAAAATTATCATAGAGGAGTATTGTAGACATTACTTCTAAGTTTCTAAGATTGCAGAAAAACTTTGCATGTCCCTTTGCACAGAGGTAAAAGCCGCTCAGCATCTCAAGGATCATGTTTTATTGGGTGAATATAGTTGTTGGTGCCGATAGGCTGAATTACATGAGCAACAAGAAAGCAGTAGTTGGATTTGGAAATACTTACAGTTTGTTAACTAAAGTATCTCTATGTCAATTCAATTCAACTTAATTTAATAAACTTTATTTGTCCTCAAGGGGCAATTGGAGGCACATAGAGCAGGAAGTAAATTATGCAAACACTGTAACAACTTTAAACAATCAAGGAAAATAAACAATACTACAAATAATAAAAAAATAATTGTAAATAAAGGGAGAAATAAAAATACTTATTGCTGAAATACTCAGAAATCTGAGAACCGGGAATCTGCATTATGGATGCAAATTGTCATTAGGTAAGGTGCGTAGTGATTTAGCAAATGCAGGTAAGCCTGAGGTAGGAATATACAGGTGCAAGTGGCATTCTGACGTGAAAATAGGCAGTTAAAAGTACATTATGACAGTTTTGGGTTGAGGAGCAGCACAGCTTTGGACACAAAGGTGGTCCCTCTTCTCTGAGTTCTGCAGGTGAGGTAGTGGAGCTGGTGGTCTGATGGGAGCTACTCAAACTTATGGAACAAAGTGTGGCCTACTAGTCTGTGTGTGAGATGTTCAAAGACAGTCAATGGAGATCTGAGAGGTGTCCTGATTAATATCGAGCAGACAGCCACAGTTTTCTGCAGACGTTTCTGTCCTGATGGCTGACTGAATGAAACTAGTTTGTGAAGGTGGCAATACTTCCTATAAAAGGAGTAAGAGAACGTCCTGAGAATGTTCTATAGCAGGTACTGTCTCTGCTGGCTTTTCTTGAGGATCTCCTCAGTGTTGGAGGAAAACTTCAGCAGACTGTCAAAGGGTGCCCAGGTATTTGTTTTCCTCAACACGTTCCAAGGGCTCACTGAGAGTTTCAGTGGTGACTGCTGCAGCAAGCTCCCTCTGCTTGTTGGAAAAGGTCACCACCATCTCTTTGGTTTTGCTGACGTTCAGCTCCAGGAATGACTTGCCACATCAGTCCATGAACTCCTGGAGGGCTGGTTCATGAGGCTGTGAAGAGTCTGACAGCAGAGACAGGAGGACTTTGTCATCCGCATATTTCACCCGATGGGAATGGGGCTGTTTGGATCTGCAGTCATCAGTGTAGAGGATGAACAGCAGAGAGGAGATCTAGGAGCCACTGGATGAGCTGGTCATCCAGGCGAAAGGTGGAGGAGAGTTTGTTGTCCAGGATGTGGCTGGAGAGTGTTGAATACTGAGGAGAAGTCAGCAAAGAGGAGTCTGGCTGAGGTATTAGGGCGGTCCAAGGGTTCGTGGAGGGTGTCTAGGATGTATATTTTGGCATCATTGGCATCATTGTGTTGTATGTGATCTAGGGAGGATCAATCAGTCAGTTAGTTGCACCCAAAATGTGATGTTTTATAATCCTCCCCAATGACTTTATCTTAAAGGAGGTGAGGGCCACAGGTCTGAGGTCATTGAGTGCTTTGGTGGTACTCTTCTTTAGGATGGGCATGATTACGAAGCGTTTCTGATGTCCTCGTATCAATGGACCTCTGGAACAGGGTCTTAAGAATACCTCCCAGCTGCTTGTCACAGTACGTCAGAGCATGACTACTGATGTTGTCTGGGCCTGAAGAGCTAATCTCTTTGGTTGTCCTGAGGGCTTTCACCACATCCTCTATGTTGAAGGTGAGTCATTGGGCTGGGGTGTTTTTTTTTTCAACTTTGTCAATTTGCATGGCGTTATCCGTCTCAAATCTGGTGGAGAAGGAGTTGAGGTCATTCGGTAAAGAAGTGGGGCTGCTACCGTCCACCTGAATGGTGTTTTGGAGTCCATGTTTTTGAGGCCCTGCTTAGCTGAGTTGAGATTTCCCTGTATGAATTTTTGCTCTACCTTGTTCTTACACTGCATCTTGGCAGATCTGATGACATGCTTGACTTCTGTATTGGCCTCTTTTTTTCCCAAATCAGAGCCAGTCAAAAAACCCTCTTTTTCATGTTGAGGATTTCCTTAAGCTCCTTGGCAACCTGGGGTTTATTGTTTGGAAAGATAGTGACGGTTGTGGAGAGGATGATGCTATCCACACAGAATGTGACATGTGAGGAGACTGTGTCAACCTGATCATTTATGCTACTGGAGGGGGTTGGGAGATTACTCCAGATTGTGTTCTCAAAACATGCTTGGAGGGCAAAAGTGCCATCTACAGTCCACTGTCTCTTCCTTGCGAACCACCTCCTTACGATAGGAATGTATGCTGGAATGAGTAGGATAGTGAGGCGCCCAGAGGGGGTAGTGGGACGGATCTGTATCCCTCTGGGACAGAACCGAAGCATTTATCTAGTGTCTTACCAAGGCGAGTGGTGCATATAACATGCTGGTGAAGGCCTTTAAGGGCCTTCCCAGGGGAGCAAAGATTGAAATCACCCAGAAAAAAATGTAGAAATGTGTTCTAGGTTATTAAGTGTGGACAAAATGTGTTCAGTGGCAGTGGCAGCATTAGCTTAAGGGTGGATGTACACGAGAATAACGAAACGCTGTGGGAATTCTCCGGTTAAATAGAAGGGGCAGAGGGAGACAGCCAACAGCTCAATATCCGTATTGTACAGTTTCTCTCTCACTGCCACAGTCAAGCACCAGCAAGTGTTTACATAAAGACAGACACCGCCGCCATGTTGTTTGCTGGTTAGTGCACTGCCTGAGAGGGGTGCCAAAGTCGTCAATATGCAGCATGTTATCGCCATCATTCTTGTTCAATTATGTTTCAGTGAAAGCTCAAATCGAAGTAGTCTTGTATTTGTGTAGGTGGTTAACGTTGGCCAGAAGCTCGTCCAGTTTATTGCGGAGCAAGCGGACACTGGCGAGAATAACATGACTCCCTCTTTGGCCTGGCTCTGATTCCATCTTTTTTTCTTTCCCCTGCTGGTTACCTTGTGCTTGCATTACTGGTCATTTATTGTTTAACATTTACATACCCTGTCTATTTCAGAGCAGAGACCCTTCTTCTTCTGAGAAGGGTAAAGATGCTGAGGGGGTTGAACACGGGAAGCGTAAGAATGACCACAACAAAATGACAATTATGATGAAATTGTTGTAAATCCAAATTAAGTAAGAATAATAACAGTAACAATAATAACAATAATGTCAATAATACTAGATAAAAGCAAGCCAGCTCCGAATAGAATGGTGGAGAAAAATGACTCAATGAAATACTATCTCTCAATTGTCTAAAATAGTCCTGAATCAGCATTTCATGATTCCCAGCACTCGACTCTCTTACACACACTTTCAATCATTCCCACAAACTGCTGAAGTAAACAGAATCTTCCTGCCTGTTTCACCCAACTGCACATCTCCTGATGGTCCACAGCCAGATACATACCATCGTGTCTGACTAATGAAAACGTATAATCTCCATAAAAATGCTGACCATAACTTTGTGCGCTCAGTAAGACAAGGCCAAAACAGTCTGGAGAAGAGGAGGACGAGAGCAGTCTGAGCTGTGAGCAGCATCGATGAGAAGTGAGAGTGATGTTTTCCCTTTCATTTCTTTAGTTCACATACTCACAGAACAGGAACCTAAACGCTCTCATGAGGCTGCATTTATTACTTCAAATATTTACAAGCTAAGTTAGTTGGGTATGCCAGATCAGTAGTTTAAGGATGTTGCCTGCCTTTTTAGATCAGTACTAAATGGTGCTGGAGAATGACTGACATGTCGAGATCTCCACCTGTGGAAGTCAAAATTCATCTCTCTGATGTGGACATCAGATGATTGAAGCTGCCCTAGCTTGATATCATTAATTTTGATCACGTTCAATCTTTAGGATCAGACCTTGATGTGGGGAGGAACCCCGGGGACGGTGTTCACCTTGTCTATCATTACAAGGAACAAAACAAAAGCCAATCAGGTAGCAAGGAAGAAATATGATAAATGCAGATATGAGAACAGTAGTGAACCCAAAGCATAAACTTAGATGGATGTCAGCAGTATAAAATCTTCTTACTGATAAATAACAACAACACTAGTGTCTACATAAACATGTTGAATAAAACATACCACACCAAAACAACAAGGGAAGGGGTTAACAGGAAACTGTTGCTGCAATGGCTGTACCAGGACACCAAGCAGCTGCCAGCAGTTTTCTCCTGTTTTTTTCTGTTAAGTCAGGTTTGACTCTGCAAGATTTTAGGAACTTTTTGGATATGAACTGTTTAAATTTTTAATGAGACCCCACAGATGTGACAAATGATGACAGATTAAAGTCTTTTGGGGCAGCACAGACTTTAGAAAACAAAGTCTCTGCCTGAATCTGAGGATCAAAAGGTTCCTAAGGGCTTAAAAACACAGCAAACTCACAGTATTCATGACATTGTTCTTTACTAAAGTGCCCAGCAATGTTATAATTGAGCATTACCATGTGTTTCAATTTGCACAGCTTTTTTTTCTTCCTGTTTTTGAATGGTTTTCGATTGAGTATCTTACACTTACACTACAGATACTTAGTTATTTAACAGCGAGAACTAGGTTCAAACCCCCAACCTTTCAATTAGACTGACTTCCACTGAGCCACAGATGCTCATTCAAGGCATGCTGAAATGTTTGATTGCAGAGGGCACCAGAATCATCACAGTCCCTTACAGGGCTTTAACAACAACTGTTGAAATTACTGCATTTTCATAGATGTCGTACATGTTTGAGCTTTAAAGTATATGTTTTTCTCTCCTGTACATAATTACTATGTGGCTTAGTATTGGGATATTGTGTGTGTGTGTGTGTGTGTGTGTGTGTGTGTGTGTGTGTGTGTGTGTGTGTGTGTGTGTGTGTGTGTGTGGATCCATTATTTGTGATTTTTTAAATGGGCTTTTATTGACAGTCCACTCAAGGCTGCAGTCATCCCTGTTGTTTGCGCACCTTTTTCTCCCACACCGTTTCCTCCAGTCCACTTTTCATTAAGTTACTTAGATACAGCACTCGGCAAACAGCCAGCCTTTTCAGTCGAAACCTTCTGTGAGACCTTATGCTGGGTCCTCCTGGACATTGTGGTTACATGTTCTTAACAAGACTGCAATAAGTAAGTTATCTAAACTTTAGAAAAGTTTTCACATATTTTCAAAGATGTCTGGAGCCATGATTATCAAATCAAATTCAAAAGAGCCTAGATCTTTTTGGTTTATGATTTAACAGTTTAAAATATATTACAGTATAATACTGTTTTTGCACAGGGACCTGCATAAATCCGCCTTCTTTTTCTGTCTTTCTCTCTCCCTCTCTCTTTATTTATCAATCCATCCATCTCTGTCTGTCTGTCTCAGTTGTGGTGCACATACATCAGGAGAGAAAAAAAAAACACAAAGGCACCATAAACTATTAAAACAACACAAACAAAAAGGAAACAGTATTTCATCCTCCCAGATTCAATCTAAGATGCAGTACAGAACATTCGGGTTGGTTGTTCAAATCTTTTTTAGGGGGCTATTTAAGTCCCCTGACTGCTGTCGGGAACAAGTTTGTTAAAGTGTTATTGTTGTGCATGGACCTACAGCACCTCCCAGAGGGCAGGATTGGAAGAGGTGATGGAGCCTTAGCAGGTTATTTAGGTGGACTGGGGGAATTTCAAAAAAAGGGAAAACACCAAAAAAAAAAAAGAGAGTCACCACTGACCGAAAAAAAGAAACCAACTAACTGAGGACAGAGAAGAAGAGGAAATCAAATAATATGTGACATGGTTTTAGTCTCTTTCTACCAAATAAGTCTGGTATTTTAAAAAGACAAACAAAGCAAACAACTAGGACAATACCAACATCCTGTGTGATAATATCAGTGCGGTCTCGGTCTTGTGTGCAGCAATACTACCATTCAGTAAATATGATTTTCTGTCTCTGTTTGCTGTAATGTATTTCATCGACTGCTTTACCTATTTTTGAGGATATATTGTAGAGTTATAGCAGGTGAGTTTATTTAGAGTCTCCCATAAACCAGGGAATGGACTTCTACTGTATATGCATATTTTTTAATATCCTTGAGGGAACCTTCCCAAAAGGATCAATAAAATTCTATCTAATCTAATCTAATATTCCCACAGTGATGCTAAGATCCTGTTTTGAACTGCATATTCTATTAATACTTATATAACTAAACATAGCACACACAATTACTTAAGTCACAAGAGGTTTAACCAAGAGTGAGGTTAAATTAGCCAGCAGTCATACTGTATGTCTATAAAATGCACTAATAAATGGACTAAGTATTGCTCTTCTGTGTTGAAAAATAAGCCATCTTTGGACTCAGAAGCTTTATTTGCTCATCCTGTTTAAAATAAAAGAAAAAAGACAAAAGAAAGAGAGAGAGAAATAAAGAAAACATCTCACAACAATCTGACCCTCCCTTGCTCTTGACTTTAATATCTTCTATATCTTTGTGAGGAGACTGAGCTGTTTTTAGTAAAATGTATGTATTTGGCAAATAAAACAGCCCGAGTCGGCTGCTTCACTTTGTTTTAAATTATGAAAACTTTTCAGTAAAGGTTTATTTATGTACGAATACAACACTGTTAATTGTAAATGTATAGTTATGACATAATAATGGAGAGAAGCTGTTAGTGAGTTACACTGCCAGCCTGACCTGCAGTATCCAGGTATCCAAAATTCTGCACAGATAAGGTGAGACCTGTAAGATCCACGGACGAAAGGCAAATTTCCAAAACTAAATCAATATGCTATCAATAGATGAACGGTTCAACAACATGCAGGGCTTAAAAAAAAGATTTGTTTGTTTACAGTGTCTTAATTGCTTAACTGACAGTGAATTATCATAAGTACATAATGCTGATGATGCCTGTAAATGACAACTTTTAAAGTATTTTTGATGCAGGATTTCTATGTAAAATATATTTTATGAGACAATAATAATAAATGTAAAAGTAATACCAGTATAGTTATTTTACAGTCCAGCTGGTGGAGAGGCTGCTGTTCTTTTCTTAATTTCTTCACTCTGTACACAAACCCCACTCTGCCACAGTCTTACCTCTGATACACGCTGACTGACTGACTGACTGACTGACTGACTGACCGAGGATGATTAATATTCTCAGATTACGCCAGTCAGGAAGGGAAAAGTAGGCAAAGACTGATTGAAGGTGTGGGGGTCTCAAAAGGAAAGGATACAGCCACAAACAAAAAATAAACAAGCACTTTTTTTTTCTTACTTACTCTGAAGCTCAATCACAAATAACCTTCAGCGTTTCTCTGTGTCCACTTTACTGTTATTGCAGTCTTTCACGGCCCACCCTTCCCCCCTCCCCTTCTTGTTGCTAGCCTCTGTCCTGCTCTCCTGCGCTCATTTGCTGTGAGCCAGCATCAAGAGGCACCATGATTGGTCAGCAGAAGTCTTGGTGCAACGTCATGCCACTGTGTGATATGTGTGTGTCATACACACACATATACATATATATATCTACATCTATGTATCTATCTATCTATCAATATATGTATATATGTATATATATATATATATATATATATATATATATATATATATTTCAATATGTAGCTATATATCTATATATCTATATATATATAAACATATAGATAGACATCTATAGATAGATATCTATATATATATTTGTGATATATATATATATACATATAAAGAGAGAGAGCGAAAGAGAGAGTACATACAATCGATTATGATGACTATGTTATGTATCATATGACACATTTGTATGCTCTCAGCCTTAAATCTACCCTTTATGTTGCTGCACTTTGATCTCTTTTACACAAAGCTGTGGGAGCAGAGGGATTTAGTGCAGCTCCTTTTCCCAAACGCTTTTTTATTGCCTATTTCTCTTTCCCACATTGTCAGCTGGCAGTTGGCTCAAGATTGTCAATCTGATGCACTTCTGTAGCACTACTGGCGGTATTTTTGCTGCCTGGGCCAAATGAGAGACTCTCCATCCATCGTGAATCCACTGTAATGACCATGTGGAGTGACAGACCCCCTGCTTCATTGATTATTTTTTTTAATTTCTGGGCTGAACCTCATGAATATACATATATTTTTATTATTTTTGTTCACTGAGGAGGATCGTATTCAACGTGTTAATCCTAGATGATGTGCAAGAGTTATGCAGTGAATTAAAATCAGAGTCATGAAAGAGACAAGAAGAGGTAACGCAGATCTGTCCTGCACCATCCCTGATTCCATAAGCTATCACCTCAATGAAATACGTAAAAAAGATCTGGTGAAGAGAAGTGCTCCTCTCTCTCCTCATACACGATAGATTTATATTTCTCTGCTGTGTATTGTGACATATTTTCATTTCTTTTGCCATACATTTGAACTGGTTGTATAAAATAATCTGAGATGTGAAATATCCATCATGATCCAATGAGGAAGACAACTTTTCATTTTAAAATATTGGATGATCTCATGTCAATAAGGAGATAGGACGAATAGGAGAATGTAAAGTACTTAATATGATAAGTAAGTAGCTTGTTATTTTAATCCATAATATGAGAGTAGACAAGCAGATATAGATCCTATCTATCTTTTTTTTCATGCTCTGTCTCGCATTGCATAAAATACATGAGTTGTTCTGTGTTTCAGCGCACACCCTGATATAATGCATGACCAAAGCCTCCACATGCTATGAATGACAACAACTAGCAGTAATTAGAATCACTGTAATTAGTGCAGTGCAGCAATGAGACAAAACATGGGTCTGTATGTTAATGAGGTTGATCTATTTCACTGTAAAGAGAGACTTCAATCTGCTGTACCCTCCTTTTAACACCAGGAACAGCAAGCTGCAAGAAATCAAACATAACACCATCACTTCAGTCTGTAATCGCCTACACTACTCATGTAGTAGGGCTGCTCAAATAAAAAGATACTGCAATACATTGCCATTGATGCACACATCGGAGAATTGATTTGGCAGTAAATGCTGTGATGGCAGTTTCAGACCACACAAATAAGTGCCAAGCCCTGCATTACAAACACCGCGCAAATAAAGGCAGCAGGAGCCAAACCACATGATGCAGCGCACCTCTCAGAATAAAGGAGTGATATACTGTATCCCTTGTCGGCTAATTAGAAGCAAAGATATGGGAGTGTTTGGGGTAAAATACTTAAGCTACTGACAAACCTCAGTCTACACATGAAAAGGCATCATGCTGAAACAACTGCAGGTGTGTCAAGTAGGCCTACACAGGACCAGCATGTGCTGTTCTGACAAACACTGATTACCCTTCAACTCAACATCCTCGACTTCTCAACAGGCTCAGAAGATCACAAAAGCGCTTACATGTTTTCTTTGTGAAGACTGATACACCAACGGCATTTTTAATAACAAAGCTTCAGGCAGCTTCTTAATCAGTTTGAGCCAAGCTATGAAACTCCTCCCTTATTGGTTCATTACACAAAGAATAACATGTCAGCTGCACCCAACATCTATTTTTGTGGAGTGTTCTCGATGTTAGTTTAGGGTAAATTTGGCAGCTTTGGGGTGAGTGACATTAGTTTATAGAAACATGAAGCTGAATGATCTCAGCGCTGCCTTCAGAGATCCTGCTAGTGTCTCCTCAGAATGATCAGAGTCAAACTATGAGGAGCGTCAGGACAATCACTCATCATTTATTTATGTCCTCTGACAAAAACAAGACTCACTGTCCTTAACTAACTACAACACTCAGAGTTGACCAAAGATTAGCCTGATGATGCTGTACCACACGTTTCAGCTCTCTGCTCAGTCTTTTCAGAGTCCTGATACACATAACAATGTGGAGACAAAACATTCGAGACAGTTAAACAAGAAGCTCCACAATCCTCATTTTGGCACAGACAGCTGACTTCTCACATGATGACTTTATTCTCATTATAATATGACTTTAGCATGAGTCAATACCATAGGGGAGTCAATGCCATAGCTAAAAAACAAGGATAACAAAAGATGAAATCAACACTGTCTTCAACTCAGCCCAAATGAACTGACACCTCTGCTGGGCCATAAAGTTATGCACCGGCAAAAATCTGTACATACTCTTTATTGAGTGTGCAAGAGGTGTGAACACCACACCGCTTGGTCAGCACTGTATCTGATCGGCTGAGACAGGACACTTGGATTTGCTACTCTTTTTTTCAAAGTATAATATTCAGATTCTGTCATGATAGCCAAAGTTATTTTCAGGCTAAAATCATCAAGCATTTGCTAAACTAACTTTTTAGCATTTTCTCCTTCCAGTACTTTTTGTGGTAAAAACACCTCATGTAGCACAATCATAAAGCCAAATTTTTTTTTTATGGGCAGCACATCTCTTACTGCAAATATGAAAGATGCATTTCTCTTAATAAATAAGCTTGTGCATTTTTTCCAAGTGCTAGAAAGTTTATACATGTTTTTACCATCATAACCCTTTGGAAAGCTAAATGACATTGTCAGCAGGCCCTAACTTTCTAATATTCGTGCAAACATTTATTACAATAGGAGAGACCAGGGATAGTTGTAACATAACCATTTTCACCAATCAAGGACAATGAAGAAGTGCCATGATCATTTCATTGGTGAAATATTCAGTGAGTTGTGAAAAAAATAGAAAGTGTTACAACCATCCCCAGTCTCCCCTACATGACATTATTAATATTATTAGTATTACATAGTCCTGACAGATGAGTAGAGATACTGTTTTTCTCTCAGATGTTTGACCAGCATAGTTTTCAAAAATAAATGAAAATGTATGTTCTGCTGCAGAAGCAGCACTAGAACTTTATATTGCTTATATTTAATGTGATTAAAGCAAAGAGTGTGAAGAGCTGGTGTTGGCCGTGATTCAAAGCATGTGTGACTGCAAATAGCTGTCCTTACAGCCTATGACAACTATCGACTGAATTCAAATGTCAGATGTAACCTTTTAGATTTCCTATCCAGACTCTACTAATGGTGCCTTCATCATTATTTAAAGCCATCTCTGACAGGTCCATTTTCTTCTCCCAATCACGCAAAGTCTTTGAAATTGCACCATCCAGCTACACTGAGAGGGAAAGCCGGAGCTATTTTCCACAATCCCTTCACTTATTGATTCAAAGTGTTTTGTTTTAAGACAGAAATTGCTTGAAAACTAAGCACACACATAACAGATAGGACCTCAGCCATTAAAAAACTTAAGCCTTGGGAGATGCACCACTTGCCATTAGTTTTCCTTTGATTTTCCTGCTGAATCCTGACGCAGCAAATAGGCTCCTCAGTTATTATCCTCTGACAGTGTTCTCCATTTGCAGAGCAGGATTAAGCATGTAGCTTACTCTCACTATCCACTTCTTCCTTCAAAATAAACCCCAATTTCAAAAAGCAGAGCTCCTTCAAGATGTCAAGAAGGTAAAGAAACCGGGCTAAAGGAAAGAAACCAGGGAAAAGAGTAATTTATACATACCCAGCAGGTATCTGAACAGGTTCCATTGACTCCAGAGCAAAGAGAAGATTATGGGAGTGATCCCTCAAACTGCTTAAGTTAAGCATAGGAACAGGTCCATCATGTGACCAAGTCCTCATTAGAAGAGTAGGGCACTGTGCTAATGTATTTACCCAATATAACTTGGATGAGCAAGGATACACAGACAAACAGCAGCAGAGGGAGGGGGAGAGGGAGGCTTGAGCTGGCCAAGCTGACTTTGGCCTGTTTTTGTCACCTGAGCCAAAACCTGAGAGGTGGGAGGAGGAAGAGGAAGTGTGTATATCAGGAGGTACACAAGATGAGTAGGCAGGCTTAGCAGAGAGAGATAGGACAGGCTGCAAATGAAAAAGTTGCAAAGAATATTGGACAGACTAGAGTTATGTGCGGTGATTTGTCTAGTCCTTGCTTGGCACCCTGACAGCATCACTTAGAATCCTTTCCACGTGGTAAAAGCACAAGGGCTCCTGGTGGCAGAGAGGTGCTACACTCAGCCATCTGGTGATGAGTCACCCTGTCTCTGCTCTGACTGGGCATGAAGATTGTGTCAATAAGTTTTTTGTGTGTGTTGGTGTCAGTCCTCCCAGTGCTTTAGTCCCATGTTTGTTGTCATGAAAAGTCAGCGGGTATGCAGTCAGTAAAAACTGGCAGTGCATAAATGTACCAAAGCATGGTAATCAGATCAGCTCTGCCAGCCCTTTTCAAAAACAAAAGCCATGTGTCTATCCAACAAACACTCCTAAAGGTAGAGTGAGAAGCAGGAAAAAACATGCCAGGTAGGTAAATATATCAAGGTCATAGAGTATCGTTAAGATATCCTTGATAGACATTAACTGCAGAAGTAGTGTAGACAGGGGAAAGTCTACACAGTTACTCCCTGGTATTTTGAATGCACCACCGCAGCATGCATGCTGCCTCTTAGATAGACACAGCCAACTGACATCCATGTTCCTGTGTGACAGCACTTCTCCTCCAAGCCAGAGCTGACCCAAATTGCTTTGCCAACAATTACACATCCAAGGCTGCGACAGCGGCTGCTGAACTGTCTTCCAGTGAGTCCCATTGCTTTTACATTACCATTCTGGTTACAGCCTCATTGATTAGCAATACTCATACTGCCCTGATTCTCAATTTTATATTTTGTATCGATACTTGATTCTGAGTCAGACACGCTGCGTTCTCAAGGTAATGTACCTTCAGGGTAAGACTAGACCTCTCCGCTTCGCACTGAGGTCCTACTCACCCTGTTGGTATTGATAGTAGCAGCAGTTGTAGGAAGTAGCTACATAATAAGAGCTCTATTTAAAGGTTCAGTGTATAAGAGGATATCAAGCCATATCTAACGGCGAGATTGTGGAACAAAACAATTCCTAAGCAATCTCTCCTTACAAAGGAACGGTGGTCGTCAAAGACCATTGTTAATGGCGTCATTCACAACAGATGCAAATAATTCAGAAGTGAAAAGGTGGTGATTTTTTTCATTGTTTCATCTTAATAATTTTATAGTAAAGCTCAGTTCTGAGTTATCGATCACGAGTTTTTCACTGTTCTAGTAATATAAACCAACATTAGCAAAGTCATGCCAATGCTACATATGACAAAAAGAGGCAGTTCCTGCAAAGAGAAACGCAAAAAACACAAACAAACAAACAAACAAACCATATAAAGACAGGGAAAGGTTTAAAGTAGATGTGGTTTTGAAATATAGGTGTCAAATTAAAGGTGTCAATTACAATGTTTTCAATAATTTTTCAAGTAAAGGATGGATACATAATATGATCCACAGAAACAAAAAGTAAAATGAGCAAAAAACAAAACAAACAAATCAAAAAACAGATCACCATAAATATTGGGACATCAGCACAATATTCATCTTGTGGCTGTAAACACAACAATGGATTTTTGTGCATTATGTAAGTCAGGTAAGATAATAAGAGGTGAGCTTTTCTATTTATGTTCATGAGTGGAGTGTTGTGATTTACTTGGTAATATGAGTGGATTACAGGTGCTTCAAGTCCAATTTCATCCAGCACAGAGGTTGTTTTCTGTGTTTTTTTTTTTACAGTGGGTTGAAATTTGATGAAATAGGGAGGGTCTGCAGAGGAGCAAGGCAGTCTAAATCCCCCCCAAATAAAGGCAGATCCGTGGATTTCAGACCCGGGTGATCCACTTGAGCTTCTGTGAGGGGCATATGTGCTTAGACAACTATATTTCTTTTTTTTTTTTTTTTTAAACAAATTCAAGATTTACTGACCGCACCCTGGAAATTTGTGTTACTACTAATAATTTGTTTTCCGTTTTTTTTTTTTTTTCACGACAGGTTTATTTTGTAATGATATCAGAAAATAAGGACAAATTTCACTAACTGAAGAGAACATCCAGTAAACATGAAAATAAATCCTCTGTTGACCAATAGGAATGAAGCGAGCTTAATCTCCTGCCTCACTCTCCTCTCTCCATCACTCTTTATACTGCATTTAGAAAAGCCTATGGCGAGACTGCAGTGGGCTTTATCAGAGAGCTCAAGGCGTACAGAGGGGAATGGGTTGGCAGGGGGGGTGGGAGGAGGAATCATTACATAAATAGTTTTATGCTGCATCAAAATTCATTATTAGACCAGACACTAATCCGGTGAGATTTATATTTAGAGGGAGCTTACATCATGATGGCAAACCTGGTTAATACTTCACACAGTCCAAGTACAAAAACAAGTTTAATGTCAGTAAAGCTGCTGAAAAGTCAGTGATGACAAGCCATGAATCAAAATCTCTGGTAACCAAAAGGAGAACATCAATGTACCAAGGTTGAGACAATTTGCACCTGTGGATTACAGGCTCCTTTGCAATACAAATGCTGATGTTTTGGCCTGAATATTTTGAACTATATGTCTTGCAAGTTTAAACGCTGAAATGATCACACAACTATATTTCAAACTCTCTGGTCATCACTTTTGCTTCTTTCAGTTTAGCCTAACATGGTCAGTTCTATTCTGATACCACAATAACACTCACGTGCACATGCCAAAAAAAGAAAAAAAATCCTAACTAAAACTGGACTTTTGAAGAACATGTAAACATGTTACTCTGATAAAAAATAATCACACTAAATTGAACTTCTGACAGTGCAACTATGCTCACAGTCTGCAGGTCTGCTTGTTGTACCAAATGTCTATTAAAGTAGTATTGGAGGTAGAGCTTTCAGCTACCGACCCCTCACCTCTGGAACTGTTGGAGGTTCAGGAGGCGGACACCCCCTCAACTTTCAAGAGTAGTTAGACAGCTATATGTTTAGACTGCCGGGGGAACTGGTACACCAACCTCCTGTCTGTCTCTTTCTCCTTTAGTTCTTAATGCCCCATTTTTATTATTAACCACAGATCTCTCTGAGTGTCCCTGAGCCCCCTCGTCTCTTAGGTTCCTCTGGACTGATGCTACAGACTCTAGCTGCTGTGGACCTGCCTGACCCCAGCTGGATCATCTATGACTGTTCGCCTCAGGTCTCGAGCTTCTTTGTCTCTGAAGTTCCTCCGGACTGATGCTGCGGACATAAACACCAGCCTCACCAGCATTAATAACATAAAGCTAGAGTTAACTACCACCAGGCCTGCTGACTTTAAACACCTTAAATTAATTCAACATCAGTCCATTATTACAGATTTCCTGATCCTGTAAATGAAACTCATATTCTTCCATCATTAATGGCTGCTTCACTTAAGTTGGATAAGATGGTTTTTTTACTTCTAGATGGGACTCAATCCTTTCCCAGCTTAAGGTTCGTTTTTTGGAACACATCAAAAAAGAGAGTGTGGTCTACACATGCTCACTTAGAAAGTGTCTAGAGAAAACAATTGTTATTTGGTGCTATATAAATAAAAATTGATTGACTGATTGATGGATTGATTGATTGAATGTTTAAGTGGTGCAGTGCATTTGAGGTGAGCACTTTCCCAGCCCCCCCGCCCCCATGCACACACAAAGTAGATCCAAGAGTGGATGCAGTCATCTTGGCATCCAAAAGCACTTTTAATTAAGAGTCACAAAATAAGAAATTAACAACTCCTTAACACCCTGATCTGATAAAGGTCTGCTGCATATATCCCCAGTAATAGTACTGACATGTATAGGGTTTATCCTTTTTAAATAGTAACAAGATTAAGATGTATATTTTTAGAGGACTGTTTCTCTAATGAGTAGAAAACCTTTTGTTAGCATGTGTTGGTTTTTCTGTTCAGATGTTTTTAGCTTACTGTTGATTCCCTTTTCCTCACACCTCATTGTTAAACACTCAGTATTCACACACTTCCTGTCCTCACATACACACAAGCCTTTACACCTGTCGATGTAAACTCCGAAGATGAATCCTCAGAAACATCGCTTCCTGATTATTTATTTATCTACTTGAAACAGACACATTACATTAGCAGTTTTGAAGTTTCAGCTGAGCTCTGTCGCAAATTTACGACCTCATTTGACTTTTGCCTTTCAAGAGAAAAAAAACATGAAGGCAGAGTGAGTTTGATTGAAAAAGAGAAAACTAAACCGAGGAAACGAGGAGGAAAAGGGGGATTATGGCATTTCTCTGACTTGACTTAAAAGATTAGATAAAAGAGTGCTGATGTGAGTTTAAGCCAGATTGGTGCAGCTGGGCAGATTTTTATATGTTCAGCAGCACTGATAAGTCAAAGACTGGAGTGTTTGCAGCAGTTTTTCATTCACTGTTTTGTAGTAAAAGCACCTATAGTCTCAATCACTTATGTCCTGATTAAAGGGACTGTTTTTGCAGCGTGTAAACTCTTAAGTGGCTTTTCAGCCCACTACCATTGGCGTGGTTGTACCTCACCTGCTATCTCATCAAATTCTCCTTCAGTACTGGATAACAAGAGTTTATTTGTTATACAGAAAAAAGAAAAAACAACACTGCATTTATCTGGGATATTCAATCTGTTTTTAATTTTGCAAATCAGTGTTGCAATGTCGTTTTTCACCAATAATATGCAGCCTCAGTCATAGGTATGTTTGGCCTGTTGTAAGCATAATAAAACATCGACTATGGCCATGTTTATTTATACTATGACACTGTGTTGACACTTGGGGGCTTTGCATAACAAGAGAGGAAGTTTGCTGGTGTTGCTCTAATTGACCTTTTCAGCCGTTATCATTTGTAATGAAAACAATAGCATTACCTCAAGCACAAATAATCTTTGCTCTATCTTACTTAAGGACAATTTTGGCAAAATTCAATAAGATTCCAGTTTCACGACAATAAAACAAAGTTCTAATGCAGGCTAAAATGAGATGCACCGTGTAAAAAGTAAGCAACTTTGTCTGTGAGTACTCACTGAGTATTCTACCCCTGAGCTCATGCTCCTGGATTATGCATGCAGTGAGTGTATGCTCTATATTCTGCAACACTAAATGACCTTTCATGATAATTGTGGTCATGCGTCCTTCGGCTGTCAGCCTGGGAGTAAACATTATGTAACTGGGATGACTACATTAGACTTTGAAAGTCTAAAATGTCAAACATGTCAAGGATAATAAGACCAGATAAAGTGTTCCCTTTGTTGCATCCTGGATGGAAGGAAACATATTGAGATGCTGCTGGCCTAAATTAATTCTTCAATGTGACTCCCCGAAAAGGTCAAACTGTTACTTCACTGCATCCCCATAAAAAGTTAATTGCAATGTTAAATGCAATGTTTTTGCACAAATATATCAGCTCCTTGCCTCCCTCTATACATCTCTTACTTATTTAATCTGTCAGTGCTGACGACGCTTGACTATGTTTCCCCACTTCAAAAGAAAGAAGAGATTAACCACAAGAGGTTAGGTTCAAAGCCTTACACATTAATAAAGGTCTACAGCAACACACTGATCTGGAACAAAAGTTCCTCTTGGTGGAGTAAGATGGTCTTGAATTGAACAGGATGGCCCTTGTAGGGATGGGAAATATGGCCTCAAATCAATATCACCATATATTAAGCAGTTCACCTTGATATCGATAAATGGACAATCACTACTCCACAAACTGCTCAACCCATCAGTTATTGTCGTAAATTTTGGTATTGGTCAATTGTCGCTTTATCGGCCAGCCCTAGCCCTTTGTATCGTGAACCAGCCTGCAATTTATTATTGCTAGAAAAAATTGAAACATATTAAGGTTTTTTCTAAAGATGTAGCCAAACTAAAGACCAACATGTTTCTATTAAGTCACATAATCTTATAGCCTGAGTGATGATGGCACCAAAACTTCTTTCATGATTGGCTTGAAATATCAGAAATACAATTTTTCATCTGTGGAGAAAAGTCAATATTAAATACGAATGCGTGTAGAAGTAAGAGAGGAGGCTCACCACCTGCTGCCTGTCACATAATTTTTTTTTCTGTTACAGAAAACTAGATCTGGCTAAAGTATTTGTATAGAGTATAGAATCAACTAAAACTCAAAATCCAGAGACCTTTTATTATCTAATGCAAAAGAAAAATAATATGTTTTATTTCCATAGCTGACTTTGAAGAAAAGTCACCCTGGTACATTATCAGTGCAGCGCTTAGTGATCTGATGCTATGGAGCTAAACAAGCAGACAAGTAAGATTCCCACAAATATTGGGGAAATCTGTGTTTTTCTTCGGCTTAGACTACTTTAAATTGCTTTTTTCTCATTGAAATTTACAACATATTCAAAAAGTTGTTGCCGACTTTGAAGCACATCCCCTTTTATTTGTAAAGCACTAGAGATAATGATGACAGGCTCAACTTTAACTTGGGCTGTAAGAGCAAACAGTCATATCAGCTAACCAGCACTTTATAACTGTGAACCAAGCATAAGTTTTCCACCTACAGGTCAAGAGAGTGAGGAACCTTCGAAAAAATATATTCAGGAGCCTAAATATTTCCTTGATTGGCAGGATTAAAGCTCCTGTGAGGAAATTTCAGTCTGTGATGATTTTGGTGCCCCCCTGTGGGCAAAACAGTAATCATTGATTTTTTACTAATTTCATCATGTGTTTGTGAAAGTTACATTAAACGACATAAAAAATATATGTTTAAATTGAAATCTATCACTCATTGTTAATATGTGCTGTTGGAAAAACGAACAAATGCTATTAACTCCTACTTAGAGTAAACTATTATAAAAGCCATGTTTTTTCTGCAGTTCAGAAAATGCAGCAGTAATTATGAGGACTTGACAGCTGTTGATCGTTGACAGTCATCACGTTGACGGTTAGCTGCTAAAGGTCACAGCTGAGAGGGCTGGCTGCTGTTTCAAGTATATTCATGAAAATTTGACTGCAAGGGGAAAGTGAGGCAGGAAAAGACACACAAGCAGCAGGGATGACTGCAGCCTCAAGAGGATGAGTTTATCAGGACCTCAGCATCATCTCACAAGGAATGAACTTGAGGCTGGAGTCAGCGCAGCAAGAGCCACCGCACACACCCTACGTCCCAAAGCTCTTAACCGCAGTCTCCTCTGTCCTCTATCCTCAGCTGAACCCAGAGTACTTACGGACCAGCCATGCTAAGTGCTGTTCCAAAGCTCTTAATACGGCTCGGAGGAGAGAGGAGGGAAATCAGAGGAGAGAGGATACAAGAGAGTGGCCTTAGGTTGAGTCTTTTTACTGACAGACCCAACCCCTTACAGAATATCCCTCACTGATTGGATGCCAGAGCGCATGGACTTAGCTGAAATTTCACACCCCCAGAGTTAAACAAAGAGGACGAGAGGGATCTTAAAACAGAGAAAGTAAAGAGCGTCCTGAAACATTTGTTGGATTTAAACAGCCAACACCACAAACAGAATCTGGGAAAAACCTGTCTCATGTCTCCTAAAACAAATTTCCTCCCTCACTCTCTCCTTGCATGCCTTCATGTGTCTGGCAGAAGGGCTAACACATGATTGAAGGATCAAGATGTAAAACCTCAGAGCTCAGGAAGTGATTTTATCTGGATCCTGATATCTGATCACTTAAAGGTGGGGTAGGCAGGAATCTGTCGAAAAAGCATCTTTTTTTGTGGTGTATATACAAAAAAGCTTTTAAGATCAGTCAATAGTTATTAGTTATTGATGACATTTGGGAATATCATGACATCACTGTGTTCTGTTATGTCCGTGTAGTCAACATTTTAAAATTTTTGAGCGGCTCTTTCTGGCTGTAAACAAAGCCGTCCTCCGCCTCCCCTAACCTGGTTGGTTGTGAGGCAGACGCTGCTCCCTTGTGTTGGGAAGTATGCTCCACGGATAACATTCACTAGCCCAAACAAAGTTAGCGTGCTACCAAATCGGGCAGTAGAAAACAACAAGTAAGTACGGAAAATTGTCTGTATCCTCCTTTTGGCAACGACTGCCAACACAAGCAAGAAAACAAACTAAATACCGGAGACTCTGGCGGAACAACGGGCTCTTAAACCTGAGGTAGACCAGACAAGAGCTACAAAGCCGGGTCATCCCACGCTTCAGGATCTTCGTGACCCTGTAACCTTTCTGCTGGACAGGTAAACCACTTTAACAAAGTAAGTCAATTGTCTGTAACATAAGTGTTTCTTGTCAAACGGGACCTGCTGCGTGATGTCGTGCAGCTAAACTGTTGACCTCGGGTCCTGGACTATGTCACTTTATCCTAGTTGTAGAAGTCCTGCAAACATTGTGTTTGCTGGTAGTCTGTTGGCATCTACAGTAGCACCAATGCTGTTTACTTCCATGGTGACTGGGCTCCATTTGTAATTATCTGAAGTATTTATCTGCATTATATCTGAATTTAATTGAAGCGATACAAGTGAGCAGGTGGGTCTGTTTGTGGGCGGGGCTTGCTGGAGCAGAGAGGGAGGGGAGAGGAGGAGCTGAGGGGAAAACTGGTAGGGAGGGGTAGTGTTTACATTCAAGATTTCTCCCAAAAACTGGCACTTCCTCAGATCCTGCCTACCCCACCTGTAAGTCTTCTTGTTTTTATTTTATCAACAAAATGTCCATGCCAAAATTTATGACAATTCTCAGCTCTAAAAGTAATTAGTGAATGAATTTATTTCATTAATTGACATTGAAACGTTTTTCGTCCTAATTTTTGAATCTATAAAAAAGTGAAAGTTCTAGTTGCAGTTGAAAAATTCTTAAAATGACCCAGCATTGTTATCAGCTGGGAAACAACAAAGAAAAAAAATCTGACCCATGCCCCTGCAGTCATTTTGTCTTTTGTCTGTATGTTTCCCACACCAAGCACATTATCCCGTCCCTTTGATTCCTTTTGTTCACAATGCCCTGTTCGTATAAGTCTGCTATGCAACATGGCTTACTCCCTGTACAATCACAAAATGTCCGCAGAGCGCGTACTAATACAACCTGACCTTATTTTTTTTGCTCCAATATAATACTTTTTGTACTATTTATAGGCTGCATCACAATATCCACCTCCCTTAGTTTATGATGAGTCACAGGCCAAAACCTCAGGCAACAGAGCTCCGAAAAGGGAGAAGACGTGATCTGAATTCAGCAGAATTTAAAAGGGGCTGGCAGGAAAGGGCAGTTTATTTTTGGGCACCATTGTACCACTGTGAAAGTTTGTCAGAAATCATTTAGAGATGCTTCAGCTGAAGTTAAAAAAAGACAAATTCAATATGTGCATCTGTGTGACTATATGCAACTTTTGGAGGCAGGAAGCTGATTGTCCCTCTGCAGATTTTTTACAGGTTTCATAAAACTTCGCATATTACATAAATGATGTTTGAAAATCCCAAATGTAAAAATCTGTTATCACTCAACAGTATGTGAAAAGTTATTTTCAGGAGATAATGAGACTCACTGCCGTGGCTACAGAGTGACAGCCAGAAGCTAGTTGGCCTACATACAAGTAAATAGTCTGTCCTATTCAAAAGCCCCAAATCTGCCAAAAATAATGCTTTGGCATACTAGTTACTTTTGGATTATGATTCATGTTACATCTGTAAAAAGTATAAAAGTAAAGGCAGATTTGGGTGGTTTACAAAAGGGTTATGTGCTGAACTATATCGAGGAATTGGACAATGCTCAAAAGCAGTTCTCTCTTTCTTCCACTGTCTGTGATGAACTGTGTGCTGGCTTTGGTTTTATCTTCGGTATAGACACACGAATATTAGTGTTTAAACCAGGAATTATATCACTCATTGTTGAAAATAGGTGTAGATTTAGTCATAACCAATATGCTTCATTAATATATGTAAAATATGTTATTTCTCTTGTTGATGTTTACTGGGCACCACTTTCTATTATCAGCGTCTGTATGGAAAGCTTCATTTGAGCTGCTCTCTGCATAAATCGGACGCACAAGACTGCCAGGCCAACAACACCCCTAAAACAATCTTTTCTATGTACCTCCCAAAGTAACTCCTGCAAAAAGTGCTCTTTCTAACCAGGATTAAGACACTCTGTCTTTCTTGGATTAACAGCTTTCCTCTTTTCTTTTTTTCTTGTCTTCTCTTTTCTTCTGCCAATCTGAGGAATTTGGTCCAATCAACATACCAGACTGCTTTAAATGAACTTCCTCAGGGTTGAAGAGGGCACAGACAAAAAAAGATTTCAGGGCAGAGTAAAGTGGATCACACAGATGAACACAGCATAAATAAATTAGCTCTGTAGTACTACCCACTACCTTATCATAAGAATGTGCTCTGGTTTCTCTACAACTCCTAAACAGCACATCTGTGTCAGGAAGTTTAGTCAAGTTGGAGTGATAACTCTTTGAATGCTTCTCCTTTCGAGGCACATTATGGTAACCCTTTCTTTTACGGTACACTTATTACCAGGTAATTAACAGGTAATTACCTAGTAACAACATGAAATTATCTGGTAATTACATGATAACTACTAAGTCAATACTGTCAAGTTTTTCTTTTTTTCTTTTTTCTGCGCAGCTTCATTTTCAAAAGCTATTTGGGTTCTTATTTTCTATGACTGACACTTAAGACAGCCTATAGGCATGCGAAGAGTGCTTAGCGATTCGTTGTTTGAGCCGAGCATCATCACAGCGACTCACCCGCCGAATGCGTACAATGCTACTGCTCAAGTGGTGGTTCCAGGAAGCGGAGAAAATCCTGGAAATACCAGAGCAATTCAGCTTCAAATTTGTATGATGATGGAAGGTTACCTACCTGAACTAGACAGTATTGACTAAGTAGTTATCATGTAATTACCAGATAATTTCCAGAACCTGTTAGTTACCTGGTAGTAAGTGTACCGTAAAAGAAAGGGTTACCCACATTATGATTATTATTGTTGGGGATTAATTAGTTGTTAGAGATCTGGTGAGACAGGTCAGTGTTCCGGCTTTCAGCGTGTTCTTGTACCTGCAGAGGAAAGTGTGCATCCAGTACAGATCTGCCTTTTTCCAAGCAGAGCTCCAGTGAAGGAAAAACAAAATAAGCTCAAAAGAAGGCTACCAGTCGCACGTGAGATCAGGTGAGCTGAGATTGTTTTTACATAACAAGCAGTCAAAGTCTTTAAAGGTGGTTGTTTGTCAGCTGATGACATGTGCAGCAGTCTGCTGATATATAGTCACTTATCCCATCTGTGGTGCATGCAGGATTCAAGCTCTGTACTGTACGAGTAGCTATCAGGATGAGGAAACGGATGGTGCTAGAAAGAGCCGCACAGCTGCTTAATAAAGGCATGTTGCTGAAGACAGAGGTCATCATACAAGAAGACAGTAAAACCTTTTCCCCTCAGTGAAGTCCCCCAAAATAGACTCTGTTTTTGTCCCATTTGACTTGTTAAACTAAATTCTCTATTTTGTTCACTTAAGGAGCTCACAACACCAAACCCTCTGAATCTGGTCATAACTAGTTCATACCCCCTGGCTCTTGGTCATTCCTGGTTTCAGAGGCATAATCCGCTTTTTGATAGGGTCTTTGGCAGATAGGTGAGTTGGAGATGTTGTTACTTGTGCTCTTAATGTCAAATGTATGTGCAGACCACCTCTGCAACAGTCCTTTCTAAAAATAAACTCAAGGCTTTTCACAGTGTGACTCATACAACATTATGCCATAGGTGTACTGCAGGATAGACTCTGTTAATAATCTGCTCCTGGACATCACCTACACACTGTGTACCCAGTTTATACACACAACGTTAACCGGCAATCACTGCTCTGAAACCACATTACAAAACAAATCAAACAGCATAACCTTCAATGACAACTGTCTGACTATATAGAATCCCCTACATCATTTTCAACAAGCTTTTCATTAAAATTAAAACCCTAACAATGTGACAAACAAAATGGGCTGAAATAAAGCCTACTCAAAGCCTACTTTACGGATGGTGTTTGACTTGACGTGATTAAAAAATTACACTCATGGAAAGTAGGTTAATTTTTCACCTTCATAAATAACACACACCAAATTAATTTTTCATTTTTGCATCTCCATTAATGTTACATTCTGCTCTGACCTACCATGACTTCAACACACTTTCATATGAAGGATTTTTGAGACTGATCTTAGTCCCCTAAATCTTATCCTTAGCTGTCGTGTCCTCGCTGACTGTTCAGTGTTTTATTTTTTTGCTTCTTGACAATGATTTGTTTCATAATCTGTTTTTACATCATTTATGAAATGGTGAATTCGACAAGAGTTTAAAAAAAATGTGAAAAGCTGAAAAGTCACACAAACTTAATTCAATTATTTCTAAATTCTCCCCACAGTAGACAACAGTGTTAAACAAACATCACAGCACCAGGCTGGGCTCTCTTTTCTTCTCTCTGGCAACTCCTTGCCCCATCTGTTAGCAAATGACTGAACTCCCTACCCTCAGAGATGAAGAGAGGAGAGAAGAAAAGATGACAGAAAGAGATACTGTGCAAAACAAATGTTACAGTTACAGAGACGCAGGCAAAATAACATGTACACTATGTAATCTATACTCTGCTTTTGTCCCTAGAGATGTAAACTGTGTTGTTATGGAGCTATGTATGTTTTACAGTGAATTTCACCTCATTAAGCAATATCTACCCTCTGACTGATATTGAGAGCTGCTGAAACCAGAAAAAATGTGTTTCAGAACTTAAATAAAGCATTCATACAACTCTAGTGAGGAAATCCCTGAGCCACCAAACACTACACTTATTTTTGCTCAGACCACCCATTCATCAGTAAGGCTGGGAGACAGAGGGAACTAAAGAATAAAACAGAGAGATATAGAGGCAAACATGAAGAAGGGAGTACAGAGGAGGAGGGGGAAAGGCTTCAATGTGTGTTCAGGAGAGCAGAAGGGAAAGGTTCCTGATGTTAGATACAGCACAAATCCATAAATTAATGCGACAGAAAAAAGAAAAACAAGAATGCATGTGGATGTTAGTATGAAATTAGTTATGCATTTGCAACCGGTGAACTGGCTTTTTGTTTATTCTGAGGTAAGTGACAGCAGAAAATAAGTGTTACTTTTAATCAACTGTGTGAGCACAGGTATTGGTATTAAACATGCTCCAAATTAATCAGCCTGACTGCCTGGTCTCTCTTGAATGTAGATGTAACTTAACACAAGAGGTCAGCGTTGACTTCTGCCTTCAATGACATGTGGTTAAACATGTGAGCAGTAAACTCACCTCAACCTGGACTAATAAAAGAAAGACTACACCTTGTCTACAAATCTGTTCCATAAAGCCTCGGCTGGTAACCTGAAGAGCTAAAGCTCTGATTCCATCACAGGCCAAGTTTTACTGACAAATATTTCATGATACAGTGTATGACTTATTCAGCGAGAGTTGACAAATAAATGTAAAGGATGAATCAGGAACACATATTTACTATTAACATTAAGTATTTACACAATGATTACAACTATTTCTAGTGAAATGTCCTGATCGGAGCCATATGTCTACATAGATAGATAGATAGATAGATAGATAGATAGATGTCCAGGTGTCTATATAGATGTCAAGATAGATAGATAGATGTCCAGATGTCTAGATGTCTAAATAGATGTCCAGATGTCTAGATAGCTAGATGTCTAGATAGCTAGATAGATAGATGTCTAGATGTCTAGATAGATGTCCAGATGTCTAGATAGATAGATGTCTAGATAGCTAGATAGATAGATGTCTAGATAGATAGATTAGATAGATGTCTAGATAGATGTCTAGATAGATAGATAGATAGATAGATAGATAGATAGATAGATAGATAGATAGATTAGATAGATGTCTAGATGTCTAGATAGATGTCTAGATAGATAGATAGATAGATAGATGTCTAGATAGATAGATAGATTAGATAGATAGATAGATAGATAGATAGATAGATAGATAGATAGATAGATGTCTAAATAGATAGATAGATAGATAGATAGATAGATAGATAGATGGCTGTTCTGTTTTCAGCAGAGTCTTGCAGTTCTCTTGCTCCATCACCCCTCCTGACTGCCTTTGTCCAGGATTTGCTGGCCTCCGGTCGGTCTGGTTTAGTCTTGAGTCAGCTCTTATTTATGCTGCTTTAGGCTTTGGCTGCCTGGGGAATTGACACAATGAGCTCCTGTCTTTCCCTGGGCCTCCTCTATCCATCATCAGGTCACTAAACCTTTGATTTTCATACCCTATCAACTTACTCACACATAATCAATCATTCTGTGGGTAGTAAAAAATATTTTTATCCGTGTAACAAGCCCATGATGGGAACTTCCCCTCACTGTCTTCTTTTGCATGTAGTTTTGATATCAGTATGGTGCAGTGCAAGCGTAGATATCTAAAGTAGACGGTAATGCTGTTGGTTTAGCAGTCTATATGTGTGCTCCTAACATTAACCAGCACCAACACCAACAACCAGTCTATTTCAACACTTTCAGTGTTTTCTGGGTATCTGTGATGGGCTACTGTTAATGTTGTAATAGCGCACATTTGACTTAAAAATGCCACCAAAGATGAAGTGGACTGCTCTAAATCAGTACCTCAATTGATTCAGGTTTTTGGTGTCATCAAGGTGACATCTAGTTTTACATTATCTTATTGAATATGTGGAAACAAATACTTCACAAGCATTTACATACATCACTGTATGCAGCCTAATAAAGGTGAATTAATGCACAAATTGCTCCAAGCGCATTTCTGATGTTACAACCATCTTCAAGGTGGTTCCAAGGAGAGTGTATGGAGCATGATGATAGCAGCCTGTTCATCATGATTTGATCTTGCAGGCCTCTGCAGGGGGTTAACACATCCTGGGGATGCATGCTGGTCCCTGGACACCATTCTCTTCCCTCCACATACATAAATTATCAAGTGCAAGGCCCCTTGATGTCAATCAGCAGGCTCAGAGGCACAGTCAGATAGATATCCACTTACTCTAGATGAAGGTCAGGATAGGAAGAGGATCAATGTTTAACTGGATATTTTCAGAGGACTGTCAGTACTAATGTGCTATTACTTTATAAGATTACGTTTTGTGGTAATTATATTATGATATATTGGTCTGTACTAATGAGGGCACCATGTCATGAAGGTATAAGAGAATGCCAAGGACATACAGCACAGCATAGGTAAGGCCTACAGCATGGATGATGACGGTTTTATATTATAGTTTGAATCATTTGTGATGAGTCATCCAGGGGAGCTCAGAATAAAACTTACAGCTACCAGAGGAAAAACCTCTGATCGATGTTTTACTGTGCAACTCTGACTCCTAGATATTAATTTTCATGCTATTAAAGGTGTTGGCCAGAGATTTTTATATCCTGGGGAGGCTTGAACAAAATCCAAAGTATGGATATTCTATTTATCAACAGATATTAAAAGGGTGAACTAAATTCAGGAAAATAAAATTAATTCATGTGCACTCGCTAAGCTAAATTAAAAATAGCCCTTTTCACAGTGGCCCATATTTATTCTTTTGTTTTTACTTAGTTTTAATTCAGTTAAAACTGTCTGAATTCATTCACGTTTTGACCCTGATGTTTGCTATATAAGGCACAGGACGCCAAAAAATAAGCATCACTGCATGTCATTAACCAAGACTTAGGAGTTAGCCAGCATCTAAAAAACACACATTTACATTTCTCCTTCTGTCGTTGGAGTTTAGTTTAATTTTGACTGTGCTAATAATCAGGTCCAAGCTCTTTAACTCTCAGCTTGTCCTGCAAAGATTTTCTCTTAACTGCTGCTCTTTTTAGAGACTTAGCTGAAACCGGACTTATTGAAGGGATGTTGACTGTAGCTGCTGTCTGTTAACTCATATTAGGGTACAGTTACGTGTGCCCCTGGTAGCACTAACTCTTGTATTAAAGAAGGGGCAAATGTCCATCTCTCCATCCATCTATCTATCCATCCATCCAGACGAAACAATAACGATGTTATTTATATAGCACTTTTCAAAAACATGTCACAAACTGATGAACATTTAAACATAGTTAATAAGCTTTTGAAAAAAAAAATGTTAATGGCTATTATTATAGAAAGCCGAACCCAAACAAATACGGTTAAATAATTCAAGACTTATTACATCTTATCTCTTACAAATAAATAAGACCCAATACTAGTTTAAGGCTGCAGATACACATAAAACACAGCCAACGATCAACAGAAAGCCAAAGGACAAAGATGAGTTTTAAGAAGAGATTTTAAAGAGGACACTGAGTTTATCTGTCTGATATCCTCTGGCAGAGAGTTCACAGCTGTGGAGGACTAACCACAAATGCTAAGTCACCTCTTGAGACCAGTCAGGGATTAAGAACCATGAGACAGGCCCTGCTAGAGGACCCCAGGCTGCAGCCAGGCTCACAGGGCATTGACAGCTCACAGATATAGGGTGGGGCCATTTCAGGCTTTGAAAACAAGCAGAAAAAAATCTGAAAATCTATTCTAAAACTCAGGGAGCCAGTGAGAGACCGAAGAGAATAAAGTAGATTACAGTCTGTAACAAATAAACACATGGATGACTGGAAGAGAGAGAAGAGACCTGACTTTGGTCAACTGCCTTAGCTGAGCAAAGCAGGACAGCATAATCCTGGTCACCTCGGTGTCAAAGGAAAGTTTTGAAACAAAAATGACTTCTACTACGTGGGCTTCTTTGGGAGCATTATTAGATAAAGTTGGAGGACAGATTATTAATGTAGCTAGAACTGGGGGCAGGGGGAGTAATGACAATAAGTTAATATCTTCAGACATCTCAGTTCTTGATTCCAGTCAGACAGGACATAATGTGAAACAAATCAGTTGTGCCAGGTTTTATCTGGGCATAGAGCTGAGTGTCATCTGCATAGCAGTGAAAGTCCACACCATGCCTATGCAGGATCTAGCCGTCTATCAAATTACAGTCTTCACATCTATCAACAGTTTTATTCTTCCAGCTTATTTTTGTTAATTTTACTAGAGCATGCACTGAAAACTTTTGCTGGTTTAGCTCTGACACTTTGACAACAGCCCCTTAAGGTTTTTGCCTGAGCTGTTGCTAGCATGACAGTATTTCCCAGCTTTTCTCAAGACAGCAAGTGAAAAAACTCTGAAAATATGTATTTACAAGGCCCAGACAGACAATGCTGCCTGATTGCAACTGGAAACACTGATTTGAACAAAGCCTGACTGTTTAAGAGCCTATATGACAGTTACAATGCGTAATATTGAGGGCAACACTTGTTAGATCCTGTTTGTTTTATTTTTTAGCCACTTATATGGATGATAAAGAGAGGGGACACGGTACTTACCTTTAGGTTACAGTAGTTTCCTGTGATTTACTTGCACCATTATTCTGTCCCATTAGGACTGAAGTGCACTGGTTAAGCTTACTAAGCTGAGCCTGTCATTCAACAGCAGCTCACAATGAGCTCAGTCAGTACCCAGAGGAACATACATCACTTTGGCTCACAGGGTGCTGAATCTGCACAGGGCAGCCCCCCAAACAGGAGTCTGCTGTTGCAAGATGCACACAATAGACACAGTCAGGCTGAAATATATGTAAATGCTGATTATAAAAGGACTCGGAAGGAAAAAGGTCATAACTGGACTCATTTTCAACAGGGATTAAATAAAAACCATGCTTTACTTCATCGAAGGAGACAATAATGTTGACTAAATGACTTCAAAATAGATAACAAATAGTTAAAGGCATGGCATGTAAAATGGACTACTAAGTAGTAATATCTAACTGTCAAATTCTACAACCAAACACTCCCTTACTCAACCCTCCCATTGGTGAAACTCCAGAAACAACAGTGGCCTATGAGAACAAGAAGCTGCTGTGATGATGCACCAATGCACTTTGGCAGCCACTTACTAAATACTCAAAGGTGTGTGACCCTCATCAGTGTGTCGGCTCCATGCTACTGTAGAAACAAGGCTGGAAAAGTGGACTGGCTCCTTAAAGGGCGCATTCAAACAAAAATAAAACAGTTTTTAGATTCAGGTGATAATAGACTGATTTTATTATATAGTTCTTGTGAATACTTTATTCTGTCTCTGCCAAATGCAGCTAAATACTTTAAGCTGTACCTTTAAAACAGTTAAAAATTAATTACAAGATTACCACTAGTACAAAGTATCACAAGACTGCTTAAGAGTCACACTTTTCAATACTTCAATATACTGTAAAGCATAAAGATTTTATGTAAAACAGAGCAAGAAACAGAGTAAGAAGAAGTCCATAACCACAATAGATCTTGACCATGTTGTGTACCACTTTTCCAGGTTCTTCTCTTTTTTCCCTCCATCTCCGAAAACAAATGCAGAGAAAAGGAGCAACAAATATGTCACTGAGTGGCGAATCCTCGGTATTAACAGGAATCAAGACTTTAGAGGCCACTGTTAGTCTAATCTGCCTATCATGTTCTTACACTGTGGATTTTGTTGGCATTAACATGAAGTCTTACAACATAAGAGTTCAGCCAAGGGTGACATAGCTGGTGAGTCCTCGTATATACAGCAAAGGTGAGTATTTTAGTTTGAAATTAAGATATTGTAAAGCAGAACTGCAGAACTGTAATACAGCAGCTGTGTACAGAAAAAATAAAAAAACACTTATTGTCATTTTCTTTTAAGATGAAAGTCAAGATGAAGAATCTGCAGTAATGACTCAGAAATTCTGAACTGTGTGATTTTATCTTTCTCACCTTTACACAGACACAGCAGACACAGTTTTGAGGAACAGTTGTTAGAAACATAGGTGAAAGAATAATGCAGCGTTAACGATGATCACTAAATCAGAACATTAAGCCATGTTTCCATTAGTACTTATAGCCACATGTGAAGGTAGAAGTGTCCCCTGCAAAAAACTCAGCATTCCTGCCAGTTTGTAACCCATAAACGAAAATCTCGATAGTTGAATGAAACGTTTGATTGTTGTAAGGAGAAATATTTATTTGGCACCAGTTAGTGGGCTATCTGTTTTAACCCTAACCAACGACGTGCAAATGTTTAGTTTACATTTGTATCTTGCGGTCTTATCTGTGGTGGCCTCTGGCAAGGGGCCTGCTGTAAAAAAATGCCCTCAAATGGGGTTTAACATTAGCTGTAGCGTCTCCTTCAACACTACTGCCTGAGTGGCAAGCCATCAGGTGAGCCCACAAACAAGCAAGACAGGTGCTTTGTACACAGTCATTGACCATGTTCTCTGTTTTTGTAGAATAATAATGTATAAGATCACTGAGGTTAAGAGTGCCATTCAGTGGTCAGGTTACGATGAGAGCACCCTCTGCTGGGTCATACCCAAGCTCAAGCAGCTTGATATGCTGGTACACTGAATTGTAATAAGTTCAAACAGATCATTACAGTTCAGATAAAAGCTTTTCCCCTGGAGTTCAACTGAAGATTCAAATTTCAAACAAAAAGTGACAGCTCTACTGGTTAGCATTATGAAAAAAAAAATGTTTTGTGTATTAAACTTAAATTTGAAAAACCAAATTCATGGTCAAATAGGTGACAAAATAAAGTTGCTATTTCCTGGTGTGAGAAATATACACACATAAGCCCAAGACCCTCAGAGGTTATGCAGCAGAAGGCAGGGTTTTGAGATAAGCCTGCACATTTAACTTTATTGATTCACAATACACTGTTCGAGTTGAACTGAAGAAACTAATGCTGCTAATGCATGCAGTTAACATCCTTGGGTAACCAAAGTAATTATTGATTAATGCAGACTGTACACAGAGCCAAAGAGGAGATGAATATCCTATATCCAACATTTTCTTAAAGGCGAGTCTTTGCTCAGTTTCAAGTATTCTTGAGGTTGTAATCATTGAAGCGGCAAACATCATTTTAATGATTTCAAACTCAAAATGAATAAAGGTAAGGTTGTGTTGTGGTCTAAAATAAACAGTCCCCTTTCCTCACATCACTTCGTATTCCTGTCTTCAGTCATTAGTGGAGCATGACTGGCCAGAAATGCCAGCCAATAACAACATTAGACGTTTCCAGCTGCCTTAAGATTTCTGCCATTTCTTTTGCAGATAAAGGTAGATCAAAGTGACATGGTGCTGACCTTTTGGTGCTAAACATCCTGACAGCGTCTTCTTTCCCGTGCTCACAGGCTTTGGAAGCTTGAGGTATGATGTTGACTTTTCAGACCTGTGGGACGCACATACACAGACACATTCACAACTGCATGCAAAAGCAAAAAGACAGGGGTGGGGGATAGAGAGAGAGAGAGAGAGAGAGAGAGATAACAGTGAGATTTTCAGCATCACAGTTAAGTCACTCTGAAGTTGTCAACTCTTTGGTCACACTGATTTCAGGAACCTCCATCAGCTCGACTCCCAGAGAGCAGTTTAAATCAAACAGGCATTGTCGATACATTAAAGCACAACAGGCAAACATAACAAAGACACTAGATGGAGTCAATCAATAACTGTAATGATTGTTCGGTTCACCATAACAAAACAGACAGAAATCAAATGACTGAATATCATCTTATCAGTATTTGCACAATAAAAAAAACTGCTGCCGCTGCTGTTAATACAGAATCACCTGGTTCTGTATTTTGCACTGTATTATGTTTTCTTGCACTACAACTCAACTGTTTACACAGATGCTGACTGTTTACATCCATAAAAGATACTGAAGATTGCAACCACAGCCTGCACTTTTAGGTCATGTGTAAATGTGTACAGCAGAAATCATTTTTCTGGTCATTAGGTTTGCATGTGTATATGTATAGGGTGCACGTGTATAGAAGTGTATACATACACATAGACAAGTAGGCCCAAGGTTAAATGAAGACATATATACACTCTCTTTATGTATTAAAATCTTCCTTATTGTTCTTTTTTGAATTTTAGGTTAAATCTTGAAGTACAAAACAAGATAAACGCCTAAGAAAAAGAAACAAGTGGATTACAAATGAGTCTTGTATATGTCTAACTTGAACAGTCTCTGAATAGAAAACCTCAAACAAGTCTAAAGTCTTAATATGATTGCGCTATAACTAATCGCAATGTGCAATGACTTAGAGTCCTGTTTTTCACGCAAAGGTTATTGGAGGCTGTGAGAGATGATGACACTTCACTGTTACTTCTGAAGGGGTAAAAATGTTTCAGCTCCAACAAAAAGCTCTTTTTTTTCTGCTGCAGAGCACAAGGACTAAACAAAGAACAGAAAGCCATGCATAGAAGTTGAAGTATCTGGTTTGAATCTATTCCAGTCAAAAAATAAGCTGAAATACCTCAGTTGACTCCACTTGCAGTCAGTGGTGTGTTAAAAGAGGTTAAGTTTGCTGCAATGATATGACTCATCTTCTTTACTGTCCCCCACTCATTTCCCCCTGGTTTACTTATTGGCAGCAGCTCATCATTTCTACTTCTCTCCTTTCCTGTCGGCTCATTTCCTAAGCTGTGTTTGGTGGCACATAGCTTGATTGCTTTATGTTTCCAAATCTATTTGAGGTCATAATAGTCTGGCAGGAAACAACTTGTGCCATTATTATTGACAATAAACATCTTCTCTCACCCACAGTCATTCAGTTTCTGTGTGGCTAACGGTTCACACATACATTGTTGTCAGGGTCAACCTTACAGAGGACCTCTGAAATGTGCTTCAGGTCATTTCTGCCATTTGCTACTGCCTGTGTTACCATGGATTTATGGTGTTGAAGCAAGTGTTTGTGCCCTGAGTAACTCCTATCCATTGTGTTGAAGAGGTATGACTAATATGAAGAGTTAGCGGAGGCCTGCAGTGGCAAATGTTTTAACCCTGGACCAGAAATACATTACTGATCAGCAACCTCTACATTTTCTTATATATCTTTATTTCAGCTTCAAGGCTCCACAACAGATCATTATCCCAGGTCATTATTTTCAAGAACTAAAGCAGATATGCAGCTTCAGCTCAAGGATAAAGCAAATCCCAGACCAGGAGGCGAACCCCTGTTTCCCACATCTAAGGCATACACTTAAACATTGAGCTATATATATATAACTAAGCAGTAAAATGTGTTTTCGAAATGTTTTTGTGTTTTGAGAAATGTTGTGTTTTGGGAAATGTTGTGTTTTGCGAAATGCTTTTGTGTTTTGGAAATGTTGTTGTGTTTTGCACTTCAGGGCCACCACAGATGCCTTCTCAAGTGACAGCTCAAATGCGTAACAAGGTTTTTATACAGTGTGTAAAGTGTAGGACAACCCTTTGTTTTAATTTAACTGATTGATCGATTACAAGCTGTGAGCACTCAAAAGTGAAAGCACATGATTGCACAACAGTGGTTTTTGTTTTGGCTCAATGAAAACATCAATCCTTAAGGGGGCTAAGATTTTTAACCCTGGTAGTTTTTGATCTTAGTGAAATAATTTTGTTTCTGTGTGCAAAGTAAAGTAATGTGAGGATCCAAAATAAAACTAGGATGTTTGGAAAAGCTGTGTAAAAAAATCATTAATCTGTTGAACAGCACTTAGGAAATTTTGGAAAAAAAACTTAAAATTTCATGGGGGGGGGGGGGGGCGCTAATAATTTTGGCCACAACTGTACATGATATTGATACAATTTATTGGAGACAAGCTATTCTTATTTTGACACTTACATTAGCTGCCCAAAACAAAGAAAAATCTAGCAGCTATTGTTGCCGGTAGGATTATATGGGCAAACCCGTTTAATCCCACCCACAGACTGCAGGTTGGTCATCACATGTAGGTTTGGTTTTACAGGTAACGTACAGGATAAAAGTATGTTTTTTTTAACAGTGTTGGAAATGAAAACTGAGAAAAGGCAGAATGCCCCAAAAATCGACAATCTGGAAGCACTGTCTATAATTAAAGGCACATTTACCTGTTTAAGGTGATACTAATATTAAAAGGTGACGAATTTAGAGGCCCTTCCAAAGAAATATAATGTACTACACAGAAGTATGGTTACATTAGTTTATATTAAAGGGAATTTCATAATGGATTCATTTCTAATGACTGAAAAAAAAGTCTTTTATGTTTTAAATACGGCAGCTCTTCAGTCCGGAGGCTGGCATGTCGCATCACAACATGATGATTTTATTCTCCTAATCACTATGACTTTAATTTTTGTGACAATATTCCTTTAACGTCATCAGATTACGACTTACGCTTATGCATTACAAGCTTTATTCTCTATTCACTGTTTGTGCTCTGAAGCGTATGACTGATGCATTTGTTAGCTAAAGGAACAGGAAATAATTACATTAACAAAATAGCACAGAGCAGGGCTGACGACCTGACAGTACAGGAGTGTGGTGGGGGCCTGCAGACATTAACCGGCTTCAATCCCAAACACACAACTCACTGTGACGACACCGGCCTACCTAACTGCTGTTAAAGTGAGTCCTAGTTTTGACAGCCCATCACCTGATGTCAGGAAGGCTCCTCCATCTCATTATGATCCTATTTTCATTATCCAATCCCTCACCGTCAGAACTCCTCTACACTAACTCACCATGAGGCAGGCAGCGGGTATGATTTCAGACCACACCTGGGGAATATGTCTGCATCCTTGCTGTCGTTTTCACAGATATTTTTACTAGTCACTTTGGGAATTTTAAGTTCCAGCATGACTCAAATCTGCAGTAATCATTCCTGTGCCTTAAAAGTCTGTCGCTGACCTCAATGTCTACAGGCCGGTATAATAAGAACTCAGAATAATGAAGGTATTTAAACAATTAGCCCTGAGTCAACTCTCACCTGTTGCCAGTGACCCAGTTCACATTGAGGGCTGGCAGGTCGACTGATGATGCTGTCTAACTATTACATAACAGTCTTTTGTAGCTAATAAGCTGTACCATATGCTCAAACCTTACCACTGTGTTTTAAGTCTGCTTTTAGCAATATTTTACCCTCTAAACTTCTTGTATTTAGGACTTAAGAGTTAGTCATTCACTTGCCTGTTCGATTCTGGATTTTGTATATGTTTTTTGTGTCTTTTTTCCTGCAATGTTTGTCTACATTTGTTTGTCTGTTTGTTGGTGTTTTTTGTGTTTTTTTTCCTTTGTTGATGGAGGATTTGGCTTCTTTTTTGCTTCTTTCTTTCTTTCTGTTTATTTTTTTCTTTCCTTCTTTATTTCTCTGCTTTCCCCTTCTACTCTTCTTTTTGTGCACAGTATTTCTCTTTGTTTTCTCTGATTAAAACACACTCAACATGTATGAATAACAAGTTAGTTGCTTCAATCTGTGAGATCAAAACACCCATATATACTTGTTAGAGAACAAACAAGCGTTACTTAATAGGCAGAATCAGCACCTTGGAGAGCGCTAAAACATTACGGCACAAAGACTGCGCTGCAGCTGTCGATCTTTACCGATCATTTTTACTTTTGTTTGTAAAGCTTTGTTTGTTTTAAAAAACAATATTTGAAAACAAAAAAATGTTTTGGGTGTCTTTGAGTTTGCAATATTAAGATGTTTGGATCCTGTTTGTGTTACATAACCAGCTGCCGTAGCCACACCCCTTGAGTTCTGAGCACAAGCTAATGGACTTATCTTTTTTAAATGGTCCTCTGGTTGGGGTACAGAGAGTGGAGAAAACTTACCATGTTGGAGAAATCAACCAGTCAAGTGTTACATAAGAAAATAGGAAGGAGGGGGTGGATGCTAAACTTTGACCAGCTGTCACAGAAGTCCCTTCTGGCTGACAACCCCAGCTTTAAAATGATCAGACAAGCTCTTTAGGAGGAGAAAGTGTTTAAAGGAACCCTACAAGGCATCAAAAAACTGTGTTGTTTTTGCCAGTTTTTTTCCCTGTTAACCAATCAACACAATGTTAAGAAATCCTGGTTCAAGTTTGTGAACACAGACAGAGCTTCACTGCAGTTTATAGACAAACATGTTGAGAAGCTGCATTTTGACTGGAGAATTGTATTAAATGTACTATATATAAATGAAAAAGTAAATAAACTGCATGTGATACCGCTTTACTTCACTGTTCCTGCATTCAGCTGCTCCAGACATGATTGATGGTCTGTCCTTACACTGACCCACACATCATGGTAGATTTACAGCGGAGGTTGTGTGGGTGATTGGAGCAGGCTATGAACTAGTCAGTGTCTAATCAACTGCTGGAATGAAATGCATAAACGCCTCCAGCACGTCCACTGAGCTAAAATACTGATCACAGAAACCTGTTACTTTTTCATTCACCTTTACCTGTATCCACCTGACAACTAAATGCTTACAACTCTAACCCGACACCTATTTTTGTATCGTATCAGCCAATGCAGTAAGTGTTTCATTTTCAATGTCATTTTAAATGTGTTTGATGGATTGCTGGCTTACCTCCTCTTCAGATTTAATCACTCAACAGGAACACTACTCTGCTATTAAACAAAAGTTAAAGCATCAGCGCAAATGCCGGTATGTGGGAGCTGTGATCCCTGATCAACAAAGCATTTAACAACAGCCCTGCATGAGTTACTCAACTCCAGGTTTTTAAGAGTCTAATAACCTCATCCAATCACTTACAACTTATAACAGATGATATTTCCATTCCTTACACCAATCAACACCTCCTCTTCAGGGCTTTGTACTCACTTATATGCAGCAGCAGTGGTGGCTCTTGTGCGGAGAATGGAGCAGTGAGGTGCCTGGCTGATCAGTATGAGTACGAGTATGCTAGTTTACATAATTGCATGTGTATGGAGCCCCCCGGGTGACCAGTCAAGAAAAGAAAAAAAGCCATGTGCTGATCCTTGCGGACACGTTTACAATCCATGCGCACTGACTGTAATCCATACTCATGGATTTTCACGTGGCTGTTTTTTTATGTAGAGGTCTAACCTAACTATAGGAAACAGAGGTTACCTACTGAAGCCGTGGCCTATGACTCTGCTTACCCAACACACACTGTGGGAGCTGGCTCATAATGAGCCCATGCAGCGACCCTGACTGCCACAGTGTGCACCAGTGGTGTTCTGGAGGTGAGTATCACACCTCTGCGCACAGACAAAAACAAGACCTTATTTTCTCTCAGTCTCTGCAGCTGAAAGAGTTTTCCTTTTCTTCTCTATCTCTCCTTTTTCTCTCGTTTCTGCTTGCTGGCCGGTTCATGGGTGGGGATGTATGCTGGTTTCTGTCTTTTCAATATATTTTTTAACTTTAATTATAAAAAGAAAAAAGAAATCTAACAATATTACCTACTCAGGTCGGTAATATATGCACTCACCAGCAACTTTATTAGGTACATCTGTTCAGTTGCTTGTTAACACAAATAATTAATAAGCCAATCACATGGCAGACACTCAATTCATTTAGGCGTGAAGACGTGGTCAAAACAACTAGCTGAAGTTCAAACTGAGCTCAGAATGGGGAAGAAAGAGGATTTAAGTGACTTTGATTGTGGCATGATTGTTGGTACCAAACTGAGCATCCTTTAAACTCCACAGCCTACCACAGTATTGTTGCTGGCCATGTCCATCCCTTTATGACTACAGTGCACAATGAGCTCAATGTACTCCAGTGACCTCTACAGTTACCAGATCTCAGTCCAGTAAACCCCTTTGGGATGTGGTGGAAAAAGAGATTCACATGCAACTGACAAATCTGCAGCACTTGTGTGAAGCTTTCATGTTCATATGGACTAAAATCTCTGAGGAAGGTTTCCAACTCCTCGCTGAAAGTATGCCACAAAGAATTAAGGAAGTTCTGAAGGCAAAAGGGGTCCAACCTAGTATGAGCAAGGTGTACCTACTAAAGGGGCCGGTGAGGGTACATTCTCTATCTTCAAATAACACTTCAGTCCAAAAGTGTTCCTGATGTGCATTTAAGCTGCACACGATGATGACAATGTTGTGAAAAAAAATGAAAAACTTTGGCTTCCCCAGAGAGTAGCCAATAGCAAGGAAGAGGAGCTAGAACACTGTCAGTTTGAGTTAGGGCAACACAGTCAAGTCAAGGACTGCCCTGTGCTGAGTCACTTCACTGTATGATATGAGCTGACAGAGACAAATGCCCATGAAGTGTTTGCATCAAATGACCCAATCCCATAGCTTTGATGAAATTAGCTTTCAAGTTCAAGTCTAAAAATGTAACCAAAAGCAATGTTGGCTCGACTTAAGTGATGAGGCCAAATCAGATTTTAGCTGGCTGCTAGCATCACTTTCTTCTTATCAAGTTATGTGGCATGGACTTAGTGATGTATGTCATCTGGCTGTCTGATCATCATTTATAGAGCTGCACACTTGTTTCCCAATGACAGGCACAAACGACATCCAAAGACTGTTTCTCAGGCTAGAAAACATGATGATGATGATTCTTTAAAAGTTCTCATAAAGAAAGTTTTTTTAATCAAAGTAGCAATGTCAGAAGACATCCACAGAAAACAGAACTTTATCATGTGATGTGAATGAAAAAACTGGTTTATGAAGCATCAGATTCTGAAGACTGCTTCTGCCATACCTGATCCCAGCCATGTAACCATTCATTTGGGTCAATTGGCCAGTCTGGGCCAAGTAGGCTAGAATAAGACTAGAAGAGTAAGATGGCTTGTTGTTAAGTTCAAGAGAGGAGGAGACATGAGGGGGTCACTGGGCCGGGTTTCTGTGGCTTAGCATGGCAAATCCTTTGTAATCCCCCAGCCAGTCCCATGCCGCCGTTTACTGTGGGTAGGTAAAGCTATTGTTATTGACCACACTAGCTCTGCTGCCATGTAAGCGACATCTATGTAAGCTTCAGCTGCTCCTTCACTGTTGCTCCTCTGTTTTTAAGAGGATGGCTGAGGACATGGAGGCTTTTTTATCAGCCTACAGTCTGGCTTACTTATAAGGGCTGTGTTTACATAAAAGCATCAAGGAGAAGCGGTATTTTACCACACACTTATCATTTTAAGCAATTACTCTAGCATACCGTCCAGTCAGGAGGTTGACTCCCTCATGAATCTTTGTCTCTTGACTCATAAAACGTGAAATAACAGCAGCATGTATTTTCAGCTGGATTCCTGGAATCCCATAACCACACAGGGCAACAAATCACTGACAGTGCTGCTGTCATTATCTCATTGCTGTCAACTAGATTCACACCCCTCTCTTTTGTGCCTGTCTTTTCTTATTGTGTCTGTTTTGCTTCACCACATTTGCCTATTATTCCAAAGTTGAAGCCTATCATAAGGCTGTGCCAATCATTCGCAATGATACTGGTGCATTTTTTTTACATGGTAAGTGTGATATCCTGAAATTAACAGACAGACGGCTTCCAGCTTTGAAGTTCCAGAGCAGAGCCAGACAGACCAACATACCTGCCGACTAAAGAGCAGCACCTTCTCCTGCGTCAAAGGGGGTGTCTTTAGGGTCACTCTGGGGATTCACACCGACTATATGCTGGAATAACTCAACTCTTAACTTGAGTTGAGCACAGCAGGGACTAATATCTGTATTAGATTGACTACTATATATTATAAGTCGACTACTACTGACTATTATTGTTTTTTTTTTTACAGGTGGGGCAGGCAGGAATTCGTTGAAGAAGCATCTTTTTTTGTGGTGTATATAAAAAAAGGCTTTTGATATCAGTCAATAGCTATTAGTTATTGATGACATTTGGTAATATAACAATATCGCTGTGTTTTGTTATGTCTGTGTAGTCAACATTTTAATTTTTTGAGCAGCCCGCTCTTTCTGACAGTACACAAAGCCATTCTCCGCCTCCCCCAATCCGACTGGATGTGAGGCGGACACTGCTCCTTAGTGCGGATTGGTTGTGAGGCAGACGCTGCTCCCCCATGTTGTTTACGAGCCCATACAAAGTTAGCGTACTACAATATCAGACAGTAGAAACCAACTAGAAAGTACAGAAAATTGTCTGAATCCTCCTTTAGCCACGACCACCAACACAAGCAAGAAAACGAAGTAAACACCGGAGACTGGCAGAATAACAGGCACTTAAAAAGCCGGGCAAGAGCTAGGAAGCCGGGTCAGCATCAGCATAAACGATGGGGGACGCCTCGGGATCTTACGGACCCTGTAACCTTTCTGCTGGACAGGTAAACCGCTTTAACAAAGTAAACCAAGTGTCTGTAACAGAAGTGTGTCTTGTCAAATGGGACTTGCTGCGCATTGTAGCTCCGCTAAACTGTTTACCTCGGGTGCTGGAGTATGTCACCTTATCCTAGTTGGTTGTTGTGGGGCTGGTTGTAGAAGTCCTACAAACACTGAGGCACTTCCTCAGATCCTGCCTACCCCACCTTTAAATCGTGACACCATCATCTTCAGCTGAAGATGACTGAGAAGTTCGTGGCCACTATGACTTACAGCCAAAGTAGCAACTGTAAGTAATGTATCTCTGTCAGTATGTTTACATGCACAGCTACAGTCATAGCTCAATTAGGAGATTCAACTCTTTGTTCAAGTTTACAGGCACTGGATAAAAATGGAGTGAATACATGTCAAACAATGAAAAAACATCACTTTTTCCAGCTCTGTATGGTTTGTTTGTATAAAAGCAAAGTTTCATCTCTTTATTTTTGTTCTTTCTTCAAAAGTTGAGGTTTTGTTTACCACCTGGCTTCCTGACAATGTATTCATACTCTTACGGTATGTATTCATGTATTCATCTTACGGCTAAAAACCCAGCATGCAAATGCTGCAAATACTGGAGCTTGTGCAGAACATTTAGGCATGTTTCAGTTCAACTGAGCTGTTAACATGAGAGAGAAAATCTATTTCCAACTGCATTATCCTGGTCTGTCAATCTGACTCAACTGAGCTGTTAACATAAGAGAGAAAATCCATCTCCAACCGCATTATCCTCGTATGTCAGTCTGACTATGGGAAGTTCAATTCAGTGTGATTTCAGTCAGACTAATACTTTAACGTGTTTTTTAAATCCAGTTTCAAATATTTAGAGCAATAAATCAGCTTTTGAACAATGTGTAAATGATCTGTGTGGTGTTATTGAAAACACAGATGAATGTATAACTTAAGTAAAACTAAGTTCACAATTTCCAACATTTTCTTCATGATAAAAAGTCCTTGCTAAACATTTTATCTTACTACTTCTCTTCTCAATGGGATGTTTTGGGTGGAAGGGATCTAAAGGCTGTGTCTGATAACATCCAACAGGAACATTTCTGAGAAAGTAAACCAACTAAAGGATGCTGTTGTTACAGTGACTACTAAAACACTTCATGGTGTTGGCCCTGAAGAACTCCAACACTGACTAAAATCAGCATTTTTCTGTTACTGTTCAAGCAAAGATTTTGTTGGTCATTCATAAAGAAGGGTTAGTATTTAGCTTTCTAATTAAACCTATTACTTACACACTTTAAGCCTTGTGTATTATAATATTAGCTAGTACATATTGCTAATAGTTAGAACAATGTAGCCTGTAAACATAATGAAGGAGCTACAGTGGCACTGGCAGGTGGACAAAGAAGATAATGACTACTGTTGTGATTGAACCAAAAAAGCTGCTGCCTGTGAGCTTAAATCAATGTTAAAACTTAGCTCAGTGGGTTTTATTCAGTGTTATTATCACACATTTCCTTAAAATATGACTTAAACTGTAAGACTAAATTTTCTCTATTTTGTTGTTTTTTTTTGGCAAAATCTATGATTGACACACTTCCACTGCGAGAACTTCACATATCTGAATATCCGATTGAGCCTTTAAACCAGCCAACAAAGTCACTTTACACATACTGAAAGCGTATGAGAGGCTTTGGTGTCAAGTCAACCAAAGGGCTATTTGGTCAACCAAATTATTAAGAGTTTGTAAAGTTGCCCAAAAGCCCAGCTGCCATAAGCCAGAGCTGTAGCTCCAGTTAGAGGCTGCTGTGATACTGCTCTACAATGCCAATGTAAACTAGCACAGATGGTAAGGTGACTCATCATAACCCAAGGAAGTTTTTGCCTTTGACTGGAGAAGTAGAATGAGTTGTTTGTAGACTGAGTATGGTTGAGCTGGTGGATAACCATACTTTCATTGCGTAACCGACACAGACATTCTATAACTGTTTACCTGCAAGGTGGACCAGAGGCTGGTGGTGCTAGCTCTTCTACCATTGACCAGGCCTAGAGAGCCAATTTGATTTTGGTTTGTGAAAGAATTATTGTAACTGTTTTCTGAGGGTTTCCTTGTATTCAAACTTCTGATAAGTCAAATATTCATATCCAAGCACCCTTTAACTTAGTTGCTATGATCTTACTGATTGTTTAAAGATTATGCATCTCTCATGTGATCCATGCAGCCTCATGCTTAAAACATCAAGCAACTAGGTGACGCATAATAATAACTTTATTTTATTTTTTTCGTATTTCATATTCAGTGAAAAGATTTCAAACAACATGCCCTGAAAGTATGTAAAACGACACATGAGTAGAATGAGAAATCAAAAGGCTCCCATGACAACTGAAGTAACTGGCTTTCTAAGTCAAAACCATGTCCATGATCAGAGAAACTGTGCTTTTGGTTGCAGACAAAAGCCTCTTTATTATTTCAGATTATTGTTCTCATGTGGCACCACTTGGCATCATTCAGCTCCCACTGCTCTTTTATTTTTCTGGAGCAGAAACTTCTATGGGTTTAAGCAGGTTTAGATCATAGACTAGCACCAGCAGTTCTCTAAGAACAGATTTAAAGCTCTGTCTTGACCAGGGTTGGGGGCTTCTCTGATCCACTTGATTAAAGGGCTCTCAAAAGGACTACTTCAGACAAACTTTATTATGACAAATATTTTCACTTGCATCCTTACAGAACAATAAGAACAATAACTTGGAGGGCATGCAGGTCAACAATCAGCTGACTGTAACTCAAGCTGCACTTTAAAACCACAGAATCTTTATGTACATCTTTTCAGCATACTGTCATAAGCTCTGGTTTAATGCATTAATGGTTACATTTATGTTTAATATGTTTTGTTTTGTTTAATTTAAACATGGTTCTATTAGAAATTAAATGACATAAATAAAAAAGAAACACCTTTTGATGAATGTAAAGCAGAATCCTTAAGCAGTAGGACTCTTGGATATACTCACCTCTAGCTATATCCACCTGCACCTATATCTGCAACCCATATCCTGACATGGAGAGTCCTAATCAAGAACATTCTCCAAATAATGGCAGGAGAGCTCAGGAAAGAGCACTTAGGTACTGAAAACTACAGGGGTTATGGCTAAAACAGTAAGTCAGTTAAGCTTTTATAAGTAATCCCCTTATTTTGACTAACTTTTTTAGCAATCATGGAATTGAAGAGTCATTATTTGGTCAAAAAGGCCACTAATGCCTCAATTCCAGCTTGTTAAATTCAAATGCATGCTACTTATTTTAAAAACAAAATGCTATTTTAATCCCTAATCAAATACTATGAAAAGGTTGCTTGCAGTTTACTTACATTTACAGCTAAGAGACATATTGAAAAATCTCTTTAATTGGCTGTTAATTTGCTAAAAGGATGTCATAATTTTTTTTCTGCTCAGCTTGGATTAAGTAAAACAAAACAAACTGTAGTAATCCAACAAGATCCATTTTAAATTGACCTTGAACTTCTCACCGACCTTGAACAAACCACAGTGTGCATCAGTAAGCACAGTGCGTGCCCAGACACTGATCTATTAAACATGCTGATACTGCTTGAATCTGGCATGTTTTAATAGGATTCATAATGAGAGACTGAGGAGGGCAGGCCTCCTACCTCAGAGGAAGCTTATTGACTACCTTGTGCGGCTGTACGTCAGTGCGTCATGCAGTTGTGTAATAGGTTTAGCTCTATGCTACTCTGTAGGGGGTTGGGGGGGGGCTCCTCCAATGACTCACTTCATTAAGTCTCCAATCCCCAGAGCTTTCTTATAGCTAAGGATTGAACTTTCCACTTGCCTTTGATACCATTTCAGGGAAACACTGATTTGTAGGCCTACATGGTAAACATTAAAAGCTTAAAGCAAGAAAAGTTTGAAAAAAAAAAAAAATATATATATATATTGGCTAGAATTTCGGAATCAGCAAAAGCTTCATATCAATCATTTAAATAAGCAAATTAATGTCAAGAGTTTCTTTTACGTCTTAGTGTATGTAATGCTCTTTTGTAGTTTTTTTCTTTTCTTTTTTGCATCCCCTCTTGAATTACTTGCAATGTTGTGTTTTTGTTGATTGTTTTTTCCCTTTTCTTTTCATTTGGTGCCTTTGAATGTCCCTATGTAGTATTAATGCAGAAAGTGTCGATCTGCGTTTACTGAGCTCTTTCTGCATTAAGCGTCTGAAATGTTTTATAATGCGCTTGACACTTCTTCTAATAAGAGAAAAAACGCGGTCAGATGCCTCTACAATTACATACAACCGACAGAAACTGCAGGCAGTGGCCGGTGTATGAAAACTACAGCGACCCTTCACCTGAATTGCACCTGCACAGTGTCTGGAAGCATCTACAGATTCAGCATATGAAAAAAGCTATTTTTAACCATCCGGGCTCCTGAGCACCATCCGCTGCACTGAAACACAACACTTTACAAACATTAAACCTTTATAAGGCAACGACTTATCCGGCTGCATCAACATAAGCCGGGTTAATCGTCTTGGAAATAACAAAACACGCTGCTGCTGCTGCTGCACATCGACACTTACCTTAACAGGCGCACAATCCAGGACGCCGCTTCGCTCACTCTCTGAAAGCATATCCTGACAAACGATATTAAATTAACAATGTTTCTTCACCAGGCGTGCACCATCATGGGGACGTACACAAAACCAGACATGCGGAGTCATTTGACCTTCTCCCAATAGAAACTAGCTACCATCACAGAGACGTAGAGAGGGGAGGAGCGGACCATACCAAGCAGGTGGAGGGGGGGGGGGATGCTTGTCCTGAGTTAACAGCGATATTGCAGCAATGAATATCATTAAATGTCGACAAATCACCAATAAATACAGAAAAATAACGAGGGGCTTGGCGTTATAAATTCAAACTTACACTTGCTTCTGTTTTAGTGTTTCTTCAGTAAGACATTATGGTCAGTGGTTGTATTCCCTGAAGTTAATTTCGTCCTGATAAATAAATTCTGAGTGTAATTTGTTCCCCCTGTCACAGCTACTTTGGGATCACTGATACTGAGTTTGTCCATGCCAAAGATCTCTGCACATCTGAATAAGAAAAAGAATAACTTGATTAATCTCTGGAGGGAAATTCAATTGTCTGTTGTCTCTAAAAGTTATCTGCTATTTACACAAAAGTTATAAAGTCTGATGGCTGTTGGTACAAATGATCTTCTGAATCTTTCTGTCCTGCAGCGAAGAGAGGTGATTGGTTGTGAAGTGGGTGATCCATGTTCTTTAGAATAGACTCCACCTTCCTCAGTGTAGATCTCTCCACCACATCCTCCACTGAGTCCATCATTAGTCCAACCACAGAGCCAGCCTTTTTCCCCAGTTTGTTAAGACATCTTGCATCTTTGTGTTTGATGCTTCCTCCCCAGCAGACTGCAATGTGGAACAGAACACTTGCCACCACAGACTGATAAAACATCTGCAGCATCTTACTACAGATGTCTATTGATTGGAGTCTTCTCAGACAAAAGAGGCGGCTCTGCCCTTTTCTGTAGATGAAGTCTATATTCTTAGACCAGTCCAACTTATTATCCAGAAGAAGGACCTGGCTTAAACTCTATGACACTTTCACTCCAGTTTATTAAAGCTGCAGTGAGGAGTTTTATGACACTTTGTAAATAGACTGAAATGCAGAGCGATGCTTTTTTATGATACGTCAAACCAAACAAGACATTCAGAGACAAGAATAACAGTTAATATTATGTTATTGTTTAATGTCTAAAACTCAGTGGTGGTGGTGGTGGGGCGGGGCAGTTGAGGAAGAGGCTAAGAAAAAGCTGTTTTACAGTTTCTATTTTCAGTATTCACAAGAAGTGGCACAGGATTAGCTCTTTTTGTCAAAGTCCCTTCTAAGACACGAAATGACAAAGCTAAGCAAAGACTGTTTTGTCCAGAGGGGGCGCCAAAACTGACTCTAACCCAAAGTTTCTCCAGAGGAACTTTAATAATTGAATTTTGCCCACCACTAAGGGTAAATCCCACCCTTTAGAGTTCTCATACAAATAGCTAGCATCATCTCAGGAAATGATATAATTTGTTCATTTAACTATAACAGATCCTTCAAGTCTATTTATCCATATATGAATAAGTCACTCCCACCCATTGAATTATCTGTGTTTTGTGTCACTTTTTAATACTAGAACTGTGACCACACCACCTGCAATCCACTGTTGTGCTAGCATTTCAGCCTTTTACTGTGTGTATGTGTTTTATGATGGTCACAGTGTACAGTCAGTCATGTTTTATTGTTATTGCTTGAGACTCAAGACCAAATACATACCACTGCCTCTCAACAGCCACTTTTACAGCTGTATAGGATCTTGTGCCCACCGAGTTGGACGCAGCATTTCCCAAGTATAAATGAAGACTTCTTACTGTATTGATTGATGTTGCACTTCAGCAGCAACGGGCTGAAATCAATGAGCACCTCATGGAGTCTTCGGTCTGAGGGTGGAAGACTGATGCCTGTAATATGTACCCTCCAGAACAACTCAAAGCATCCTCATAAATAACCGATAGAGGCCATGTGTTCGTTTAGAAATTGCTTGTTTTGACAGAAGAAGAACCTTGGTATCTTTTCATACTAAATTGCATATAGAATTTAAAATGATAAAAAAAAATAAAACTGCTCATCTCAGTGAGTCTGACTGGAAGACTTTTAAGACATTGCCTATTTTTGTTGTTATTTGGCAAATGATATTTAGTGGTATACTGGCTGCTTTATGTGAAGAAAATAAAAAAGCTTGCATCATTAGACATTGCTATCTGTTTTTTGGCATAATGTGACTATTGCTTTGTAAATTTATATGACTACAACATTTGTTTATACTGTCAATTTACGCATTTTTTTCATTTATACCTTTTTTTTAATTAATTAATTTTTTTAATTACTTTGTTAATGATGTCTGTCTATGTGCCATAGTAGCGCTCAGCCCTCAGGCCATGTGGCATTATAAATATGCCACACCTGTGTTTGACTTACATGCCCTAATGAAAACTGTGAGGGTTAAAACCGGTTAGCGGTCTTTTCCAGATATTTTAATAGATATTCCCTGAACATAATAAAGTTTTTCAAGCCATATTCTTGACTCAAGCCCTAAGGGCTTCCCCATTTTATTTAAAACAAACAACAACAACAATAAAAGCTTAAATTGTTTAATGTTCAAAATTAAGTCATGGCCATTTGTCAAACTTGGTTTGTTCATACATGGATCAGCTCTTATTTATACTGCAATAGACTGCTGGTGTTTCTGGCACAACTGAGTTTCTGCCTCTCCCTCTCTGTCTTCTGTCTGTGTGTCTCTTACTTTAAATATTCCGTTATATCATTAAAGTAAATTACCTCACACCTTTTAGGGTTGGATCTTAAGTCACCAATTCTCCAGCCTGTCTGCACCTCATCATCTTCTCTTGTCACACCCTGCCAACAACTGTAGTCTAAATAAACTATCTAAAACATCAACTGTGTTACCTTTGCCTGCTGCTCTTGGGTCTTCTTGTGAGTCCTAACAGTTGAGTAATATGAACACCCCAACTATGTGGACTCATGCAGGTCTTCACCAGTTAGATTAACATATGGAATACCACACGGCTCCATTCTTGGTCCAGTTCTATTCACTCAGTACATTAAGTACCTACTCACTCGTTACCTTAAGGTCATATCGTTTGTCAACGTAACATTTCATTTCATTATGCTGATGATATCCAGTTACACCTCTGCATAAAAGCTACCAAATATGATAAACTAGATACTCTTAGCTGCTTAACTAATGTTTAAAATCAGATGTCATAAAACTCCTTGCAAACAAATCCCTGACAAAACAGAAGTGCTCATGTGCTATTGGTCCTGGGAACATCTGCAAACAAATCGGGCCACTGCTCAGCCCTCATTATCCAAATATCAGGGACACTGTTTTAAAATTTTCACTAATTAACTTACACAGTTTAACATACCCTAAGACCTGAATATAGAAGTGAGCTTTTAACACCTTATCACTCATGAAGACCTCTTATAACAGCTACATCAGGCCTACAAACTGTTGAGTCAACGTTGTAATTGAGCTTTTACTGTGAAGATGCCTCAGCTCTGGATCAGTCTACCCCTTTATATTTGATCACCTGAAACAGTTTCTGCTCATAAAAAAGAGCTGTAAGAACCCAGATTGTGGCACAGCACAGAAACAAGACAAATGTGTAATAATATTTGCACTTTGACTCTGCTCTGCCACCCCAGTTTTAGTACCCACTAGGTCTATCTATTTTTAAGCTTTCCAGGGACAAATAAGAGGATAAATGTCAGGGCCGAGAGGAAGAAGCAACTATTCACAAATAGCTGCTGCCTCCAGACATGGCACCAATGGTGGTGTCAAGTTGGCCTTGCACCGAAGACCAGGCTTTTTATCCTCATGCAGCAAGGATGTGTAGATGTCACACGTGACTTAGAGGCAGCTGTAATTTATGAGCAAAATCTAAATAAAGTAACATAATGACGATGCACTGACCCACCACCTTTTATAAGACAGCATTAAGCATAAAGCATTACCCCAAAGATACCTTTAAACTCAAATTTAAAGTAGATTATCATCAAGAGTTGGAACATAAGTATATATGGGTGGAATATTTTAGCAAGTTTATGGAGATTCATTTCTTTTAGCCTTCAGTGTATGAAAAATCAGAGCAGCTACAGTGTGAAAGCAAAAATCAAAATTGTAACTTTCAAAGAGTTGTAGTTTGTCTCAGAAATAGAGGAATACTTGAATATCACTCTACCAAATACAAATGAGGGACATCACGCATCATCAGAATTTTAGAGAAACTGTTTTAAAATAATCAAATCTGTAATGAAATCTGTTATTTTGTGTAGTTAAAAGGAAAAGAGCAAAAGACCCCAGTGTTTAATTCAACTCTCCTCAGGCTGCAGCCAAATGGAAGTCATGGGCCTGGAGCAGTTTAATGACACTCACAAAGTGTGGGGTGAAACTCCAGTTGTCTGATTAGACTATCTTTCTCACCATCCTAATTATGTAGAGCCTGAACAGGAGCAGAAGGCTGAGAAGGCCCAGTGTCATTAGGTTTAATCAACCCTTGATACCCTGCAACAAAAACAACACTGCAGTCTGCCTAACAGTGAGTCAATACCTGACATTCATCATTTTGGTCCAGACTGCCTTTTTAATTACTGCAATGAATCCCCACGTGGCCAAAGCCAGCAGTTACCTGCTATCTAAACAGGGTTCATTGTTTAGGCTTTCCCTTTGTCTAGACACTATTCATAATATAAATACTGAGCAGAGTCTCACTTTGTTTTCTCTTTGGTATATTGTGATTATGGTGAAATGCAGCTTAGCAGCCGTTGGATTCTGGATGAGAAAAACATGAAGTTTATTATACTGTCTTGAATGACTGAAATCTTTTCTGTATTTACCAACCAAGCATAGGGTTTGTGGTAGACTTATGACAGCCTCATTTTGTTAAAAGGACAGGCAGAGTGGGGAAAAAAGAAATTCAGATGAGAGATGGGAAAATGTCATGTAAATATGGGAGAATACAAAACAACAGGTGAAGAAAGAATACAAATAGAAGTGTTATCAATGAGTATCATGAGACAGAAGAGAGAGCAGATCTGAAATGTTTGGCTTATTATGTGCATGTTATTTAAAAAGCTCTGCAAAAATATAATCATGGGGAAATTGCTGCTTGCAAGTTCTGTGTCATACATGCTGAAATATTTTATAGACAATTAAACTTTCATAAAGATCTAATATTAAAAGTTAATGTCTTCATCATCATGGTTGTGTAAACATACAGCTTGAATGTTTGGTTGTTTATCCAACTTGTTGATTATGTTATGAGTCACAGTTAGATTCATCCACCTGCCTTTTCCACTTCTGATACAAGTGATGTCAAACATAGGGTGTGTTTGAGGGATGCAGTGACCCCTAATGGCCAGCTGTTTTACAGCTAGAATTATACCTGATTGAAAGAGGGTCAAATCTCACTTTTGAGTATGGACATGATATTTTGGAATGATCTGGTACATGTCCTTGCAAACACCATATGCCCAAAACACTATAGTGTCTCTCCTGCATCTATTTTGCATCATACAAATGGTATGAAAAGAGACAGACAGACAGAGAGAGAGAGAGAGAGAGAGAGAGAGAGAGAGAATAATTAATTATGCTAATACTAATACTAATGCTGATACTCCTAATAATTTTCTTCTTTTCTTTTCTTTGGAGTCTGTTTTCGTTAAATTCAGGTACCTTCGTCCATTCAGCCTATTTATCCTTTGTTCACTTCAAAAACAAAAAACAACAAAAAAAAAATATTTTATAACCAGTGTTAAATGTTTTTAATTTAAATACAATAACTTTATTGACCCCCAAAGGAAAAAATTCAGGTACAGGTATTGTTATGATATGACTGAAATCACTTCGAACAAAATACAGCCAAAGAGCAACTACCAACGGTTCAATATCTTGACAGCATCTCTGTCTGACCTTATGAGAATGAAGCCAGGCAGATCCACACAGGTGAGATGTTTAAAAAAAAGTAATAAATAAATAATAGTAATAATAATAAGTATAAAAAATATTGTTTGGAACATGTTAAAATGGAAATTTTGAGAACGTAAATTTTGAGAAATTTAAAACGGGAGATTATCTTTTTATTCTGATTTTTAAGTGATTGACAAAGTTTAAACCAGGACACTATGTAGCAAACAGAAACAACTCAACGCGCATCGCTAGTTTTGGACCTGCTCGGCTTCCGTACCTTTACCCGGAAGCCGGTCCTGTTTATTTTTGGAAATATTAGAGTCCATGCGGATAGATTTGAGCAACTTTACCTCATTTTAAAATGCCTACAAGTACCGAAGCCCAGGCGTCTGTCAATGAAACTCTGAGGTCTGATAGAAAGGTACCGCGCTCCGCTAACTGCAGCTGACTGACAGCTACTGAACTGAACACGTGATAGACATTAATAACATGATGTGCAGCAGACACAGCAGGATGTTTGACAGTGTTTTATGGTTTGCAAAGAGAAGATGAGCTAAACCTTTGAAATATACGAGCTCTCGGTTGAATTACAGCCTACTTGGAGCCCTTAAAATCGATACAATATAAATACAATGGGGGGATTGCCTTCTCTTGGCTCAGGAGAGGGTCAAAAGTCTATCAATGAAATAAAAATATGAATATTCTTGCTTTAATCTAGAGGTGTAAACTCAAGGTTTTTTTCCAAAGATGTGTGTGTTGATGAGGTTTTCTCCTCTACATTGCCAGGACTCGAATCAGAGACAGCACACCCAGACTGGAACTGGAGGGAGATGGTTTAGCAGCTCTTTCCTGCTGAACGTCGGAAAATGTTTAATTTTAATCATCATCATTCCTCCATTTCTCAACTATGCATCCCTACAGAGAGAGGGCCAGATGCTCATGCCTAAAGGTTTTATTTTCTTCTTCAGAATTTTATATTAACCCTTCTGAACAGCTATATTAATTCACTTGCTAAATGTGCAGATTAGATTAGTCACAAAATAAGAGGTCCTCTGTGCAGCTTAATCTCTCTTTCTAATGTCCTCTCAGGTGGCCAAATTGTTGATATCGGTTTGGGTCAAGGGATGCATCTTTTGTGTAAAGGAAAAGGAAAACCAGTTGGTAATAGTTCTGCAGAGATGAGACACAATCCTGTTTTTTTTTTAACAATTACAGCCCAGTTTGTGTTTTTACAATAAATAGTTGTTCTTTTCTTTTAGTCATACTAGACGCACCAACAGGGATGTCCACAGATGTTTGGCTACATGTCCAAGACAACCTGGCCACACAAACACAGGTAAAGAAATAGCAAAAATACTGTGAATGAATTAATATTTTAATATTACAGCCTTCATTGCTGTTTATTAGAAGAATATGCTTTAAGCTGACTACAGCATATGTATCTTGCTTACTAATAGCACATACACCATTAACTGAGGGTGAGATAAAGAAGATAATTACTGTTTTGACTCAGGCAGAGGATTTCCCTGTTGCAAATGATCATTTGAGCTTGTAACTATGAATACAGCCGAGTTGTTTGTGTTTAGGGGCATGTAGGGACAGCTCTTGCAGTCACCCTGCCACATCATCGCTGCTCAACAAGGACTCAGTGCGGCAGAAAGTCAGGGCTGACAGCCTGCCTGATGTTGTTTGTCTGATTTGTGACCCAGTTGAGGTCACTTGCTTTTGGGTAAGGGTCTAGTTACGTCTGGCCAGCTAAATTACATGAGCCACAACAACAAGGTGAAACTTCACGACATGCCTGTGCAAATGTATATTTTTGGTGAGTCTCACCTAACTGTCACGCCTAAGCAGGGCAGGGTAGTGCTAAGTGTTAAATGAGTCCCTCTAGTTAATATTTGTTGGACAGTGTTGTTGAAGAACTCCTTCAAATCTGTGTTGTCCTTCTCGTTTGCCTCAGGTCTGTACCTATGACAGGACAGGATTGGGCTTTAGCAAGAGGCTGATGCAGAATGAAACTTCAGCAAGTGAAAGAGTATGGGGGATGTCAACAACTGGACGGTAAGTCTACAAGTTGGCAGTCACTTTTGAGAGTTTTGACAATGTGTGGAACTTAAATCTGTATTTTTCAATACAGAAAATATAAGAAGTGGGGAAATTATGATCCGCAGCAGTCTGTCAGAGTCTGTCGAAACCCTTAACTCCTAAATAATTCACACACTGCTAGTATTCCCTTCTGCGACACACTGTAAGGTTACATGTACAATGGCATTCAGCACTCCTGCTTTAGGTACTGATGGCATTACCATAGGAGTGGCGTTTTAATTATTCATGGGTGTTACTATCACCAATTACTTTTATGTTTGAAGGTGTCCATTGCCTATGAGGGTTACTCTATGAAAGTGTTTTTTATTTTTTTTTTGGTTGCTCTTGTTTCATTAAGGCCCACAAATCAGATTTCTGTAAACTTTAAGACCATTCAAATCGGCTTGGCCATGTGTCCAGTTTTTTGGTTACTGTCTGTGATATCAGGGATTTTATTTAGTAGGTAAAAGTCTGAAAGCAATCTTGAAGTAACACAGGCCTCTTGTTATTTCTGTGTTTCTCCAGTCCAGAGACAGAAAGGAGGCAAACCGTATTATGACTCTGCTAAAAGATATGAAGAAAGATTTTGTCATATTCCTTTTCAATCTCAACAAAGGCTGTTTTTGTCTTAGCATGAATACAAAACCCAAAGATCTACAATAGAAATGGGCAGGAGAGTGTATGTTTGTTTGATTTTTAGGTCATCAAACCTCCAACCAAGCTGTCAGCTGAACATACTCTGTGTTCAGTAACACACAGTTACCCCAACATATGGTGCAAGAGTTCTCAGACTTTTCAACCCATGAATCCTAAAATGTCACAAATGTCTGGACTTGCCTCTGCTTTTGAACATATTCCTTTCCTGAGTACATTACGTTGGGATTCTGGTAATGGGTTTGAGGGACTACAGTGAAAGAAAGAGACTCAACTCACAGGTTAAATTTTGACAGGATGTTTGTCCTTGTACAGTATGGTTCTCTACTGTTAAGTCATTGTGCATTTTGGATTTTTATTCACAATAACAACCTTTATAGGGACCCCTTGAACATCCTGAACCCCGCTTTGGAAACCATTGCAGAAACAGGCATAACCTTTAGTGTTTTAGTTTTTACATAACACACCATTTGCTGTTAAGTCATTCCCAATAGAGGATCTGTTCTCCTGGAAAAGTGTGTTAAGGATTTCCAGTCAATGTTGCAGGAACTTTTCAACCGATGCTTACATGGCGATCTCCTGCATTCCTCTGCTGAACCAGTCCTACCAAGTTTGAAGGTTGAACTAGTAGCTGGAGAGATACCGTTTCACTGTGGTGCCCTTGAGCAGTCAAGGCTTGTTACCCCTACCCCTACCTACAGAGAGAAGGGGCACTTGTTCATGTGCACTCTGACATTCCTGTCTTACTGCATGTTCATTTGGTACTGTTTGAGCATGTATACAGCCCAGTCTTTGGCCAGTGTGCATATTGTGATCAATAACAGTAAAAAAAAAAAAAAACCCTGAACTTTCACTGGGGATTAACAAGTGTGTCTCCTTATTAAACCTCCATGTGCTAAGGGGATGAGAAAGGTGCGTTCTTGCTGGTGGTCAGCAATTTAGTTTACCTTGGCATTTGGCCCAGGGAGCAGGCAGCCACCCACTTGAGATGCAAGCAATCAATTTTCCAGAATTCAATATCTCCAGGAGTTTGATGACCACCTAACCTTAACCCTGGGTGCCTTGTGAAGCTCTCCATCTCACTGTGACACCTTAGGTTTGATTTATCCGCACAACAAACCTAGCTGATGGCCCTCGGAGTGGAACTGCTGCATCAATGTTATGATTGATTTCCTGTGTACAGCAGGTTTGCCAGGGACTGTTTGTCCGGTATATTGCAACAGAGAGAATCTGCGAGCCAAGTTTGTGCTGTCATTAAGGTTTCAGCTGTGTTACATTAGATGATGCTTTGTCTGTAATAAGATGAAAGGGTGAGCTAAAAATACCTTATATGAACTTTAATTGCCAAGAGTTTATGATGCACTCTTTTTAACTTTACATTTTTTTGCTGTCTAGTCTTCACCCTCCCGTGGGCCCATCATTAGCATATTTAGGGAGATTTACCACAAAGATCTCAGGAGGACACACTTGATTGTCCTCAGAGTGAAATTAATCTCAAACCCAAATGGGAGGAATTAATCCCCTGTCATGTTCATAACTCAAGCTAGGAGACTGAGTCCTTCATAGTGTCCCAAATAAAGCTCAAGGTCCGATCTGGAGAACATTTTGGTTACATGGTAAGACAGATGTGTGTTTTGTCTTCCAGGATGGTAGAAGACCTTCATCGTCTTCTCCAGGCGGCTGGCATTGCCAGGCCTTTCATCCTGGTGGGCTCTGAGCTCGGCGCACTCAATAGCAGATTTTATACCCACATTCATGATTTGTAAGTCCTCTCTATTAAAAAACTGAAATGGAAATAATGGAAATGAGTTGCATCTGACATATGTGGTTCTTTGATTTTGCTTGGGGTGTGATTTTTTTCCCCCCTCTAATTCTAAGTGCCATATCATCATCTCATATGGGTCAGGGCATCATTGGATTATTATTTTTATTTTTATTATTATTTTTCATTTATGATCCAGAAACAAAAAAACTGTCACTTTATAAACCCAGGAAAAGGAAAAACATTTTACTGTCTGAATCAAATAAATCAAAGCACTTTGGGCCCATTTTTATGTTTTTAGTCTTTTATTTTCTCCTTTTTTTCATTTTGAATTCAGTATTGAAGTGGTCTCTTGGCTGTTTTGTTTTTCTGTTTCTTAATAAAGCAGAGCAAAAGAGGCAAGCCTCAAATTTTTAAAAAGAGATTTCTGTATTCGATTCATCAATTTAGGGCAGACAGTTAGAACATGGTTGTACTTGTGAAGTGATAAGTTAAGAATTTCAGAATAAGAGCCCAAAGGATCATTTTGTTCTGCTTGCTTAGAGTGTAGCAAGTATATGTTGAATTATCCAATGAGACCCTGACCCATATGTTGTGATATTGATGTTTTTGCACACAAAGTGAAAAACAAGTTTAACTTTGTGGAATCTACTCATTTTCTTTGGTCAATCATTAGTTTTTCTAAGATCAATTTATTCATCAATCTTTTTTTTCATAAAGTGCTTGTCTGAGATGTGCTTTCTATAGACTTTGTTTGGTTAAGGTGGGGGGTGGGAGGGAGTTACCTGGGCAAAGTCTGAGAGGAGGTGGATGAATCAGGCAGTAACTCTGAATCATACGAAAAAGAGGAAATTATTTGCACAAGGTAGTTTTTACTTTTTACCTAAAAAATAAGTTTATACATGTAGTGTAACAAAAGCTGGTATGATGTGAGGAGCCAACCAGTCACACTGTCAGGATTAAGTGTCACACTACTTGATGTTTCATGCAATTTGCACCATGAAGAATCTCATGGTTGAATGTTAGTTTGCTATCTGCACACTGGCTGCAACGTGGCCTCATAGCTTTACATGTTATAAAACAAAAATGATGTTAATCCTTGGTGTTTTTGTGTAGATATTGTACTATCCACTTCATTATCAGACCCTTCCCTCCCTGACCCCCTAAAAATTTCAAGAACAATTACCTGCTATAACTGTAATGGCAGTTTTATGTCATATCATATGATTTAAGTTTTTGCCCCAGCTCACCCAACTATCACATGTGGACTTTAAAACTTAAAGACTGACATATGGACATCTAAGTTATCTCCGTCTCCTTTGATGTAGACAGGTGTATTACGTAGAAAGTTTAATTTTGAACTTTCAAATTACTCTGATGAATATGATTACGGCAGTAAACAACTATTTGCCACATACAGATGAAGAGGGGATTGATTGCAGTGAACTCAGACTCCTTTTGTCTGTGTTGTAACCTGAGCTTTCGTGTCTCTGCTCTGGCCTGTACTCCCTGTGCAACATGAGGCACAGCAGTGAGATTTGTGTGGATTTATTTGGTCAAAGTGAACATTTAGTACTACCCTTAACTTTAAGACTATTTCTATATGTCGTTGAGGTTTTATCTGGTTTCTTTTGTAAACCAGGAAGAAAGAGGCCTTATAAGGAGTGTAAAGAAACTATTATTATTTGCAAGGTAGAAAAAGTGGGTTTCCCACAGGTGCCTGACTGCTTGGTCTGAAAGAGTATGACTTTCTAATGAGGGAAATTTGCAGTACTCATGTGCATTTACAGGACTTTCATGAGACATCTAGTGGTGACAAACACTGTCTAGAGAATATTTTTAGTTTCTTTTAACTGCAGTTCCTCCCAATCTACCAATTTTACAACATCCACACAGTCATCCAGCATCCGCAAGCTTCATCTGATACACCTCAGTGACTGATTTTATAAGGAGCCAGCACCAGGGATGAAAGATTACCTGTTAAATTATGCACCATATCACCACAAGCGGATAGAATTAAGTGGTGCAGAGTGAATGACACCTTTCCAATCGGAAATGTTGCTCCTGGATCGTGTGTGTGCGTGCATGGATCTATGACAAGAAGACAAGAATCTGCAGACAGATGGACAGGACGATGTCTTCTATCTTACAGTCATTAGGGAAAACGTGTTTAAAGGAACAAGGTATTGTCAATTTTACATCACATGAGTGTGTGTGTCCTCTCTTTGTCCTCAGGGAAGTGTCAGACCTGGTGCTGATTGATCCGATCCCAGAGGACCTTTTTGAGGAGGACCAGTGGAAAGATTACTGGTGAGTTATCTGGGTTCAGGGGCATAGGACGGAGTTGTGATGAAAACAAGAGAAGGAAATGAGCAAGAAGCAATCGCTAAAACATAGGAAACTGGGAGGAGAGGGAACAGAAAACAGGGAGAGATGTGAATTGGCAAAATAGAAGACTATAGGAAGATGATCATAGAAACAGGGAAGAGGGAAAATAAGGCAGATGTATCAAACATACAAAGACGAGGAGGCAGAGACTCAAGAATGATTCACGATTTAAGTTCTGGACTCTTCCATTATCTCCTGATCTGGGGGGAATATCAAATTATCTTTGCAGGGTTGGTTTCACTGGCATGATCAATTGCAGGCAAAAAAAAAACCCCAAAACAAAACTCAGTAACTCATCGCAATTACTTTTGCATTACATGGATGAAAAGATACTGAGGGTTGTAACAGAGCTGACAACAAATATAATAATATTGCTCTATTTCCCCTGGCTGTGAAAACATCTATCTGGTAATGATGAAGTCATCATATCAATTAGAGCAAGTTGTCTTAATAGTAGATGAACGCACAGAGGAGGAGTGCTGAAGATGGATTCATTATTACAATATCTCTGACTGTTTACTTTTAAGCCATTGCTTGTGGAATTATTACAAGCCACATCAGAAAAAAAGTTATAGTTCGCTGATAAGTCACTTTTGATGTAGCTCAAAGCATAACAGTGATGGCTGCAAAATAAAGACTCTCTCGAGGGCAACTGTAGTGTGTTTAAAAAGAACAAAAATACTTAGTTTGTTTCAATCCGTTTTGATATTATCTCTAAAAAATAAAAATGATGGGAATAAAAATTAAGAACTCACAGAGAACTGATTATAAACTCCCAAAATCCTGAGCTATGATTGGCTACTTGCCTTATCATACCGTAGTTGGAACAAATGTTATAATATCATCTATTTGTCTGCAACTTAAGTTTGTGTGGGGCTGTCTTTGCAATTCAATAATTATTTGTTTTAATATATTTTCAGATACTCAAATATGATCTTGATTTAATGTTAAATAAATGAGGTGATATTTTTCAAAGCCCTCTACTCTATGACAATGCAATTGGATTTTGTTGTTAACTATAATCACTTTTAGAGACTTGACTGGGACTCGCTCAAAGTGGCTTGTGCCCATCTCTGCTACTAATGTAGAGTATATATTTAAATACAGATGCTATTTAATAAAATTAAATCATCCGTCTTGTTTTAAGTATTTTCCCTCAAATCTTGAACCAAATTTCTCTTAATTATCATAAGCAAAATAACTCCCTGTCATTGTTTTCATTCATGTAAACAACCTGTGGGATGAAGAATTTTTGCGATGTATGTACTGTAACACTTGATATTGTCATTGTCGTGGTTACCACATACATTCTTTCCTTATTTGCAACAACTTAAAAGGTTCGTGGCATCCAGAAACGATGCCATGCTTCGTCTAGTCCTGAAAGGTTTATTTCTAACCCTGTTAAGGTTGCTTTACAAACAGAGTTGTCCTTCTTGACAATCACATTTTTCCAATAAGCTGGTGTTATCCTGTGACCCTGAGGCAGCTGTGACTCAGTGGTACTGTCTGTCCACTCTCAACTGAAGCTTAGAGGTCTGATCCCAAGTCTGACAGTCCACATGCTCGGATGTCCCCGGGCAAATCACCCAACTGCAAACTTCCCCCAGTGACAGTGCCAGCTGTGTGTAAATGGGGCTGATTAATGCTGATGGTCATTTACACAGCATCCTTCTACCATCAGTGCTGGATGTGGTGTGATTAGGAAAACGAGGCCAAAGACACCAGCTTTATCAAAAGGCTCTGGTTATCATTAGCTGTTGCGTTTTTTTTTAAATATATACTCAAGTTTGTGTTTGTAACTGTTGTTTTTGACTTTGATTGGACATTGAGCAAGACTTATCCACAAACATCATGTATCATATGTAAAATAATGTCCCCCATGTTACAACTTAACCAAACAGCTGTAATGCAAGGTATATGTGGATACATGACACTGGCAATCCCAGATGGTGAATCTCATCTCTCTGTTGTTACGCTGCTGTCAGATGGAGCCTGGTTCAATCTGCTCCCGCTGATGAGCCTTTCTTATTATATTATGCTAATTTCTGTCTGACACATCATGCAGGGGAACCGGCAGACATCGCAAAAACAAGCTTGTCCTCATTTACTTGATTACCAGGGTGAAGATTTCAGCGGAAAAAGATTGGCGGCTCAAAAATGAGTCATGGTGATGTAAGCTCACAGAGACCTCTTAAAAAAGGTTTGAGTGCATAAAGACCAGTAATGGGAGCTTAACCTTTCCTCTTGTTGTAGCTACATGAAGCTACAAAAGTCACTCACTGTGGCTCTTTGTTCTGACCTTTGGCACCATTAAAAATCCACCGCCTTAAGACCTGGGTGCTCTCACTGGTTAAAAAAGCAAATCTGATGAATAAGTTGGAGCTAAACCAAAGTAAGCTTTACAAACCAGCAAGATCATTTTAAAACCAATTCTAAAAGATACTGGAAGCTAATGCGGGCACTTTTAATCAGATGTGGCTCTTTTTCTGGTTTTTGTCAGCATTCTTGCAGCTGACTTTTGCAGCAGTTGAGGCTGGAGATGTTTTTAGGGAGACCAGAAAATAGAATGTTACAATAGTTAACTCTACAGGTGGTAAAAAACATGAACCAGAGTCTCTGCTTTGGCTTCAGAGAGAAAATTTCGAACTTTAGCCATGATTTTCAAGTGATAGTAATACCGCTGATATATGGCTCAAAACTGAGGTATGAATTACATCAGTTCCAATGACTAAAACCTGGTTGAGCTGTTGCACAGTTCTCTAAGACACAGTTAAAAAGGGCCCGGGGTCAACAGTAGGGTTGGTAATCATGCAGTATGGATAAGCTGTAATTCTGCAGTATGGATAAATCCAAACCAGTTATCCCCAGAGGAGATTTTAGCACTACAGTTTTAGAAGTATCAGAGGCAACACTCATCTACAGGACATATTTGACAATGTTTAACACATCAGGATTTAAAGAACCTCAAATTCATTTTGAAAAAGAGTTCAGGATGCAGTCTAAAAGGCAAGCTGCCGGTCTTAATTAAGAAATGTTTCGAGGACATTTCAGCATTAACCAGGACAAACCTTTCCAGTGTTTCCACATTATATAAGTGTGGTTAAATGAAGAAACATCCTTATGGGTATGATTATGTGACCAAGCACATTGTTTCATCCACCGGTATTAGCTCACAGCTTATGCAAGGCAAGCCAGATAAGAAACTGATCTATTAAAAATGGCCTAATTTGTACGTGACTCAAAGTGGAACGGCTCCACTTATCAGGGCTGTGTGTCCAATTATCCTGTGATTAATTGGCATTCGTTTCAGTGAGTAAATGATATTGCAGCCACAAGCCACTTACTCTTTGGAGAGCAGTAGGGAAATTAAATGAACCAAGGACTTATGTTTACTTAATAAAACAATATTTATCATCATTGCCTGTTGCCCATTGAAGAATAAATATAGAATCAGGGTTTGAAAATACAGAATGAAGATTTATGAGATGCAGCGTGAAAGCATAAACTCCACACATCATGACATCCCAGTAATTGGTTATCAGCATATAGAGTAAGAAATCCAAAAAGAGGAGGACTATATCCAAGCAGTGCTGTACAGAGACCACACCAAGTGTGCATTGGGAAATGAACTGATCAAAGACCTGCTCAGTGAGAGAGATAGACTCTTAAAAAACTGTCCCAAAAAATAGAAGGATTGACTAACATATGCTGAGAAAGTTATGTCTCCATTGGTTTATGACCACAGGTTTCCAGGGGTAAACCATCTCATTTGTGATCTGCAGACCTCTTGCTCACAGCTTTAGGTGCTAATCTGTAGTGAAACAACAAAACATGCTTTAGAATCAAAGATTAGGATAAGTCTCATTGCACAACAGGAGGAAATGCATTATAGGTAAGAGGTGCTGCTATGAGTCATCCGCTGCTTTTAGTCCTTGTTTTCCAAACTGAAGCAGCTTACTTTGCATCATGGGGACACAAATGTTCTCTACGTCCATGTAAAGCACCTCTTTAGCTTGTTTATTTTTGTCTCAGCATCACATGTCTACCTTCTTGTGACTAAAGGACACTTTTCCAAAACTATGGCCTGTAAAATAGGGAGCATCTTCAGCCACAAGGTTCCTAGCAAGGTCTTTTTGTCTTGTAATATTCCTCTTAATTATACTTTAAGCAAGTCATTTTGTAATAGGGGACTATGTCATCTTCACTGACCTCTCAGATCCTCGAAACAGATCTTTTCCTGTGCACATGCAAGGTGATTTTCTTTTCTTTTTTTTTTTAGAGAATAAAATCTAATATTGCTTATTTTTAAGTGTTGAACAAATCAGTCATTGTGATTTTTTTTTTCCCATGGAAAGAAATGCCACATGAAGCACTTCCCGTCTGTGTGCTAAATATTGCTTCATCTGGTGTTGACTGGTTTCAGGCAGTAACAGGGTCTGGAAAAAGCTTGATCAAAATAACTTAACCACTTGCTGATGCTCTTTTGTACTTTTTTTTTTTTTAAAGTCATGAGCATCTGTACTTATTTTTCTCCGTCTGATTCATATCCAGCCAAAAAATCCTCATCGAAGCTTCAAAAATAGTATTGTAGCATTTATCACTGAGGAGAGCATGGCTGACTATGAGTCTCTACTGACTTCTTCTGGGCTGGTTTGGATTAGAGAGTGAAATGTCTGGAAATGCTCTTGTGTAGAGGGGCAGCTTTTACAGTTAAGTGAACAGTGATGTTTTGGAAACCCTGTTTCCATGGGTTTTTACCTTGATTAGTGTTGCCCAGTCCTCATTGGAGCCATTCTTGCATTCTTGTTCTCTTGAGCTTTGAACTTACTTAAGTTTGATACTGAGCTTGAAAGTGTGTAGATGTTTTCAAGTATTTATTTCAGGACTGAGTGCTTTTGCCTTAATGCACATAAACTCATGTGGTGCTTAAGAATAATAACTTTATTTATTTACCGCCGAAGGGAAACTCAATTGGTGATGACTGTGGACCACATTGTGACCAGTGCAGGCCTGGATCTAAGCCTGATTGAATTATGTGACTATGATGGACCGGGTGTGAGTGTCAGTTTGAGTGATGACCACCAGAGCATTTAAAAGCTGCATTTGACTTGATTCACAGTCCTCATAGGGTTTAGTATTAATATTCAATTATCTTTGCAGATAGATTCACTTCTGCTACAGTTTTGATTTTAGTTTGTGATAATATGCAGTCTTCGAGGTTTGGTGAAACCCATGCTATACTTTTCTTCTTTAATGCATAAACAGTAGTAACTAGGCCAGAGATGATATATCCAGTAACTCCCTTGGAGCCTTCTTGCTTTTACTGAAAGCAGCATCCAATAACCCACTGGAGTATGGCCCTGCTTTAAAAACCTCCTGGGATCCTAAACTGAGATTGGCAACAATTATCCAGCCATGGGCCAAATGATTGCTGGATGAATGTGGATGAATTAAAGAGGGAGAGAGTGGAGGTTTAGGACTAACCAAGGAGGGAAAAAAAAAGTGAGGACAGTGGTAAAATGAAGCAGTAAAAGAGGGGCAGCCTGAAAAAGGCGGGATTTAGCTCTGAAATGTTTTTATTTTCTTTGATGTTGCTTAAAACCCTTGTTTCCATTTTGTCCCTCATATACACACCCTCAAACACAGACTTCTAGACAAGTTGGGCATGCTGTTTAGTTGACACTGTTTAAAGGATTGGTACTGGGGTTTATGGTGCAGGGGTTTGATTCCACTGATTTGTCCAGCCTCTTGTCCAGTTTTTTAGTGGGGAGCAAACCAGCAGCCATCAGCTGTGGTGCAAGAGTGACTCCCTGTGTTCATAGTGGGTATTACATCTTAGAGGAGCAGCATTTTCAACTTGATATTTCAGCTGTCTTATATTCTTGTTAAAAACTCATGAAGACCCATAGATGAGACTAGAGACGTCTGGTTCTGCTACTCAGGATTGCTGATTAAAGTTTTTCTACGTTCTAATATCAAGATACTAGTTAAAGAAAGTGATTTTGAATGGTCAAAACCTCTTGTCTACAGTCATTCATTCTGAATTACAAAGGCAGTATGACCTGATCACACACATCTCACATTAGATCAACCTGTAAATAATTTCACCTCCTGTTCATGAAGAAAAAAAGTTCCTTTTTGTCAGGGTCTGTAAGTGTTGTGTTCCTACAGCCAAGACACTCCTGAACCAGGCACAATGTCATGTCTGTGAAGAAGAACAAGAACTGGACGATTGCTCAGTGGTCCAAAGTACTGTTTCCAGTTTAGAGTCAATTTAGCTTCTCATTGTGAAATCAAGATCCCAGAATCTGGAGGAAGATTAGAGAGGCCCTGTGTCCAAGGTGCTTGAAGTCCAGTGTGAAGTTCCCACAGTATGCTGCTGCTGTTGGTCTACTGTCTTTTATCAAGTCCAGAGTCAATACAGCCTAAAATCAATCAGGAGATTTTAGAGACCTTCATGCTTCCATCAGCTAAATACTGTATGGAGATAAAGATTTCCTTTTCCAGCAGGACCTTGCACCTGCCTACAGCACCAAAACTACTAAAAACTAGTTTGCTGACCATAGAATTACTGTGCTCGACTCGCCAGCCAACTGGCCTGACCTGAGCCCCATATAGGGTCACTAGGATACCATCAAGAGAAAGATGAGAGACACCAAAGCAACAATACAGACGAGCTGAAGGAGCTATTAAGACCTGGACTTCAATAAGACTACAGCAGAGACACAGACTGACTGTCACCATGCTATGTCACATTGATGCCGTTTTTCATGTAAAAGGAGCTCAGACCGAGTACTGAGAGCAGAAATGAACATCATTTTTCAGAAGGTCCACATGTTCGTACTACAAACCTTTATTCGGATAGGTGTTTTGTAACATTCTGAGATAGTGGATTTCTGATTTTTGTGAGTTGTGTGGTGTAATCATCAAGATTCAAACAAAAGAAGGTTTTGGAATATTTCACTCCAATAAATGAATCTGGAAGTTTCACTTTTTGAATTTATTAATTGGGAAGAAAGATTTATGCATCAAAGTTTTTGCTGTAATTTTAATGATCCTAATAATTCTTGGAAAATGAGGTTTGAAGATGTGATCACCTATAGCATGTGAGAGAGAGTTTGTTTTTTTTCGTGTTGAAACTTGCTTTTTTTTTTAAATATATCTTTAACCTTAACCAGTTAAAGGAAAAATCGTTAGTCATGTTTGATTATAGCTGAGCTCTGTGTAATACTATGTGTTTAAATGTTCTTTGCTCATTGTAATAGTTGGCAGAAGCCTGTGTAATAGTTCGTGTTTTGTGAGTGAGCAGGCTCTCAGGTAACAGAGGCCCTGCATATGAAATGAGATGGTAATGAGGATGAGGAGGGGAACCTTATCACTTCAGGTCCAAATTCCGACAGTGAATTGCGCAGTTGTAACAAAAGTAACAGAGCGTCCATTCAGCCTGCACTAATCCAGATGGGAAAGTCAAACAGCAGAAAGTCCACCGCACAAACTCATTTCATCACTTTATTAATTTAGATATTGCCTCCTCGCTCCTGTGGGGAGGAAAAAAAGAGCCCCCCTGAAATGACCAACATCGGTGAGGCGTTTTGCTCTACATGGTTCCCCCACTTCGTCTCCTCCTGTTATCTGTTTAATTCATCCCACCAATCTTGGCTGTCTTTACCCACTAAATTTCCCTTTGACACGCATGCCTTGCTTCGCATAATCCTCACTCCGGGGCAGAATTAAAAATGGAAAAAAGAGATGGGAAAAGGACAGGTGGCTTGAGAATCCTTGAAATAATGTTCAGTGGCAGACCTGAAAATGATGTGACCAGATTCAAACTGTGGGAGTGACAGGGACTATGTTTTTATATCAAGAGGTAAGACAAAAAGACAGGTGGAATGTATGCAGAGACTGAGGGTCTATTCAGTGAGCGAGGTCAAAGAGTTAGGTCTGAATCATGTTAGGGGGGCAGGAAGATAAAAATGTCTGATTTAAAAACTGTTTAATCTTTCAAAGACTAAAAATGATAACATTTTGTTTATTTCTTTTACATCTTTTCCTGTAACCTTTTTGACTTGTGGGGACTGTGTGATTGTAAAGAATATAGTAGATGCATGTGCCAAGGGAAACGGCATAACACATCAGTCGGTTAAATTGGTTATATTAGAGATAAACAGCGTGGCTCATGATCTAGCTTGATATGATTAGAGCCATGGCCCTGAATCAGTGCTTTAGTTTACCTAGAAAATGTTGCATACCTCAGTGGGCAAAGCTTGCTTTAGGCTAACATGATGAAAATGGTTTGAGGGCATGCTACAACCAAGAATTTAAAAATCAAATTGAACTTTAATTCAAGAAAAGTAGGAAAAACTCTTAGTCTCTTCTTCATCTTTTTAGTTCTCAAAGTAAAAATCAAGGTTATCAAGTCAGAATAACAGAACCTGGAAACAGAATCAGTGAAAGAAATTCCACTGCGTGCATCTCTACTTCAAAACAACGCGTGGAACTTTACCACTTAGGACCTACCTGTGAAATCTTAAAGTGCTGCCTTTTGCTATTGTGCCACTCCACCAGCCAGGTTGTTTCTGCGCATGTCTTGTCTGTACAAAACCAGTGCTCTATGCTGGTGCCCATTGGTGCTACATTTGGTCAATTTTTTTTTTTTTTACACTTGTGATATGTATGTTTATGCATTGTCATCACTGTATCCCGTGAGCAGCTAGGATTATAGGACTTGTTAAGGGAGATGCTTGTCACGCATACAGGCTGACAAGGCCGGTCTATCCATCCATCCATCCATCCATCCGTCCGTCTGTTATGTGTAAAGTGGCAAATCACAACAATTGTTATCTCAAGACGCTTTCCAAGAGAACAAACTCATTGTTTGATGTAAAGACCCAACCCCAAGATGGCAAAAGATTGAGTCCCATCTAAAAATCTAAGACCCATTCTTAAACAATCTCATCCAACATGAGTGAAGCACTTTGCAGTATTTAGCAAGTAATGGAGGTCAAGGAAAAAGTTCTCTCTAACAGGCAGAAACCTTGAGCAGGACCAGACTCATGTTAAACAGCTACCTGCTGCCACTGGGTTGGGGGAAGAGAGCATATGGACGGAGATACAGAGAGAAAGAGAAGAATATGAGTTTCATTTATAGAATCAGGCATAGGTATTCAACACGGATGTTAAAGGTGATTAAAGTCAGCAGGCTTGGTGGTAGTTAACTGTAGCTTTATGGTATTAATGTCAGTGAAGCAGATGAGTTGTCTAGTCCAATAGTCCAGTTCTTTTTCTTTTAAGCCCAGGTGAGACTCTTTAAGACATCCCTGGTTCAGGAGTGTCTTGACAACAGGGACATGACACTCGTAGTCTGTTTCCTGGACTCGTCTGTATATAGGGGCTCTTGATGCTCTCAGTCCTCTCCCTGTGAAGCCCCCTTAAGTTCTTGATTCCGCTTTGTTTCATGATCCTCTCAAGGCTGCGCTCATCCCTGTTGGTCTCCCTCTCACACTTTTCCATTCCAGTCAACTCTCTGTGAATCTGCTTTCATCGAGCCTCTGCGAACAGCAGCTTTTTCGGCAATGACTCTCTGTGGCCGACCCTCCTTGTGGAGGGGGTCAGTGATTGTCAATGACAACTGTCAGGTCAGCAGTCTCCCCTATGATGGTGGCTGTGTGTAATGAGCTAGAATGAGAGAATAAAGGCTCAGTAAACCTTTGCCAGTTAAAAGTTCATTTGCTGATTAGAGCTCTTTTCAGAACTGAAAGAACTGGCATGACTCTGGACTGTTCCAGAACATTTGGATGTTTTGAGATAGTGGATTTTGACATTTCCTTGAGCTGTGAGCTCTAGTCATCAAGATTCAAATGAAAACAGTCTTGAAATATTTCACTTTGTGTGTGATGAATCTAGAGTATATCGAAGCCTCATTTTTTGAATTAGTTATAGGCTAAAATTAACCTTTTTAGTACGTAATAGTTGTTTAGCTGCATCTGAGTCAACACATAACTCTTGGTTTTAATATCTCAAGAAGGACTGTATTGATACCTGAGAAGTCAATAGAAACAAATTCACTTTGTTCAGTGTAAATCAATAAAGAACCTGTTTAAAGGGAAATTTTTGTCTCAAGAAGGCTGTAAGAATGATTGAGCAGTAAGCTAATCATTTCCCGCTAAAGACGCCACCTTGAGAAGATTTTTTCTGAATCATGTATTTTAATAACCTTTCTGATGCCCCCAGTGTATGTAAACTCAGTGTATAAAATTCATTCAATCAGAAATTACAGACAAAACAGCAGTAGAAATGCCTTAAATTTGAACCCGGCTTTTTTTCCTTTGAACTGAAATGTGTTTTTTAATGCTAATTTAGAAACTTGCAGACTCTGTTTTAACAACCAAAAAAAGAGACATTTAGCATCATAATCTATACTGTAATGTGATTGTTCTTATGTAGCGGGTGAAACATTTACAGCAAGATTCAATAAGGTAGGGAAAAGGTGATAGGGTGTTATAAGCAAAAATCTAAATCAGAAATAGGACGAACACAGTCCCAAGTGTTCCCCAGTTCTGCAGTTGGCTGCATGTCGAAGCAGGCTGCATGATGCGCTGGTGGTAGCAGCAGGCACATGGCACTATTGATTAGACTCCACAAGCTGAGACCAGCCAATTCAAAGCACCAGTGAGCCAAGACCGATTGGACCTCCTGTGTTACAAAATCCCATAGCTCTTCTTCTCTAATATGCCAAAAGAAAGTGTATGTCTGTTTCCACAGCAAATGATTTTTAGTAACTTTAAGATTCCAGGGAAGAAAAAAGAAGAAAAGAAATATATTTTGCATTACCATTTCTGATTCATTGTCAAATTTAAAACCATCTTTCTTTTGTAATTGCTTCATTTTTAACCTCAGCATGCTATTGAGCAGCTTAAATAAGACTGAGGTGAACATTTACCACACAAAGATTCAACAGACTTTTGGTGAAAAATAACAGAAAATCACTTCAGCTTTTATGATTTTTTACAAACAAAACTTTACTTTAAACTATAACTTTATTGTTAATTTTTTTACGAATGAAAGAAGAAACAGTGTGCTATCAAAATGCAGGAGACATACTATACAAATGCGGCTTTCAATCTAAATAAAGACAGAAAAACTGAAATTCTTTTGCCTGTAATGTCTTGTATATATATAGTAATGCAATAATTTAGCAAATGTATTTCTATTATTTACCTGTAATCCTACAACACAGTAAGCAAAGTGCTATGCTAAGAGCTGTTTTAAAGATTAAACCGTCTGTTTTTTATCTTTGTTTTCAGCACTTGGAGTTTGCTGTATGACTGAGGCTGCATGTATAAAATGTAATACAGTCTTAAGAATAAAACCATGCATGCCTCGTGACACTGAAAATTAAAATATGTGCCCCAAAACTCAAGAGATGGGAGCTTAATGAGCCCGAAAAGTCTGTTTCTACCCTCGGTCATAACTCGGTCCATCTACAGACCTGTTCTTCATACAAAAAACACATTTGAGTGGATGATGCTGTCCTCTACATGCTTCACCGTGCCCTCTCTCATCTGGAGGAACCTGGGGTTTATGTGAGGATCATGTTCTTTGACTTTTCAAGTGCATTTAACACCATCCAACCCATCATACTCAAAGACAAGCTGACAGAGATGGGAGTAGATCCTTCCTGTGTTTTTGGATCACAGATTACCTGACAGGAAGACCACAGTTTGTCAGGCTGCAGAACTGTGTTTCTAGGACATTAATGAGCAGTACAGGGGCTCCACAAGGGACAGTCCTGGCTCCATTCCTGTTCACACTAGAGACTTCAAATACAGCACTGAGAAATACTCAGATGACACTGCTAGTGTGGCATTTATCAGAAATGGGTACTGGAGTCACAAAATTGCCTCCTCCTCAACACCTCATAGAAGAAGGAACTGATCATAGACTTCCACAGGTCCAATCACCCTCTTTAGCCAGTGAACACCTGTGGCGTGGACATCGAGGTGGTGACACCATATAAATATCTAGGTGTACACCTGGATGGTAAGTGAGGCTGGTCTAAGAATGTAGACTTTATCTACAAAAAGGGTCCTGAGAAGACTCCTATCAAAAGACACCTGCAGTAGTATGCTGCTGATGTTTTATCAGTTTGTGGTGGCAAAGTGTTCTGTTCTATGCTGCAGTCTGCTGGGGAGGAAGCATCAAACACAAAGATGCAAAACGTCTTCACAAACTGGTGAAAAAAGGACAGAAAGATTTGGAAGATCTTTTTTACCCATAGCCATCAGACTTCTTCTATAAATAGTAGATGACTTAAGACATGACACATGAGACTTTGGACAATTGAATATCCTTTGGGGGATCAATAAAGTTCTTCGACTCAACTCAACTTTTGCTGGCTACTAAAGTTTGTCTTGTGTGTTGTTGTTTTTTGTGTGTGTGTGTGTGTGTGTTTCAGGTATGGTAAGCTGTTGCCATCACTCCAAGTAAAGCAGTTTTCTGCAGCTACAGGGTTGAGCCGTATGCTGATTATTCTTGGGGCAATCGAGCCAAATATTCAAGGTGAAAATCTACCTGAGGAGTTCGTGCAGCGCCAGGTCAGCCTAACGCACAAACACGTACCCACACAGACTTACACAAACACACACATACCATGGTGCGTGGTGGATGGTTTGCAGCTCATTTGTGAGTAGTGTGTAGCGACTGTGTCAGATATGACATGATACAAAGACTAGTTAGTAGTGTATTAATACTTAATGTCTATGTAATGGTTTGTAACACAGCAACACATTGTAATAGGCGAGTGATCATAAGGCTAGAGTTTGCTTGAGGGAGAGAACGAGAGAGAGAGTGGACAAGAGACTGAAATTGCTTTTTGTATGGTGACATGTATTGTGACAAATGACAGGAAATGGGAATATAACAATATTGCTGTGTTTTGTTTTGTCTGAGCCATTCTCTGCCTCCCCAAACCTGGCTGGTTGCGAGGTGGACCCTGCTCCCTTGTGATGATTGGTTGTAGGGAAGATGCTGCTCCCTTGTGTTGTGAGGCATGCTCCACATCATCAAATAACGTGTGCAAGCCCAAACAAAGTTAGTTTGCTACGATATCGGACAGTAGAAACTAACCAGAAAGTACAGGAAATTGTCATCTCCTTTTGGCCACGACTGCCAACACAAGCAAGACAACAAAGTAAATACCAGAGACTCTGGCAGATTAACGGGCGCGTAAAAAGAGGTAGACTGGACAAGAGCTAAAAAGCCGGGTCATAATCAATGATGCATAAATGATTGGGACGCTTTGGGATCTTACAGACCCTGCAACCTTTGTGCTGGACAGCTAAACTGCTTTAACAAAGTAAGCCAAGTGTCTGTAACAGAAGTGTTTCTTGTCAAATGGGACCTGCTGTGTGTTGTAGTGCCGCTAAACTGTTGACCTCGGGTCCTGGAGTATGTCACTTTATCCTAGTTGTAGAAGTCTTGCAAACATTGTGTTTGCTGATAGTCTGTTGGCATCTACAGTAGCACCAATGCTTTTCATTTTCACATTGGCTGGGCCCCATTTTTAATTATCTGAAGTATTTATCTGCATTATATCTGAATTTAATTAGAATGATATGAGCGAGGATGAGCATCTGTTTTGTGGGCTGGGCTTTCTGGAGCAGAGAGGGACGGAAGAGGAGGAGCAGAGGGGAAAACTGGTTGGGAGGGGTAGTGTTTACATTCAAGATTTCTCCCAAAACTGGCACTTCCTCAGATCCTGCCTACCCCACCTTTAAATCATGATATAATGATATGACCCAACTTGGGTTTTTAGAGTGTATAGAGCTAAAAACAACCCAAGCTGGGTTGTTGGGTCGATTTTAACCCAAAAAAAAGGGTTAAAATTGACTGACGACTTACTGCGTTATTTTGACCCAGAATGTTAGGTTATTCAAATTAACCCAAATTTTTTCAGTCGGCAGAAAATGTTTATATCTGTAGAAGACGTCGGATATAAGCGTTTTTTTTTTGTTTTGTTTTGTTTTAAAAATGGATATGTTCATTGCTGGGGCCCTCCATACACATGGAGAATATTGTGCAGATGTGCTGATTTGGAGCCTGAGGATGAGTTGAGCAAAAATTATGCATATATGTTCAACAGTCAAAGAAATTCAGCTCATAAAGTGACAGCATCAGTAATTACTTTAGACCGAGTGGGTTGTACTGGATGAAAAGCAGCACACAATATAGAAGACTTTTAAAGTTGCCCTGACACATGTGTTGTTGCCTCAGTGAATGTTGAAAAAGCATCCGATAGGGAAGGATAGTCTTGATCTTTGGTTTTGGAAATGCATACAATGCTACAATACAATACTCAAATGCTGTAACACAGTACTTACCTCTATCTAAGTTCCACACATAGTCAGAGGTAAGTATGCACCTGTTATTCAAGTGATCAGACAAGCAATTTTAATAGTTTGCACTTTTGGAGGATGTTACGATGGTGATTCTTTTTCAACACCTTTTTTTGCACAGAGATCCGGTTGGCTTCACATTTGCGCTTATACAACAGTCACTTCGCAATAATACCATTGAATGTAGGAACACTTTAAAGCACATATGTCCTGATTTAGTTAAAGGTATGCAGGTCAAATTGAACGATGTTCAATCGTTTCTTGATGTGGCTCTCCGTAAGAAAACAGCTGTTGTTGCAACAGTGTAGCATTTTGGGTTGTGTGAATGCAAATAGTTTAATAGGAATAAACCCATAAATATCAATTTACAGTTTGTCTGCATTAAGGAACCTTTAATCCTCTTATTTTGTGATATGAGATATTGAGGCGTTTCATCTATCCAAATCTAAACTTGAGTCACTGATACCGGTGATGACTTGAAGGCCTTTAAAATGTCCTCCACATACCTCCCCTCTATAGCCACAGGATGGTGCTAGTGTGAGAATAATCACCTCTCCTCCTCAGCAGAGTTACACTTGGTTAGTGATAGTAAAAGTTTGTCTTCATGTTGTTTTGGGAGAGTGCCACTAAGCATGCAGGTACTCTTAAAATAAACAGCATTCAAACCCGTTCATTAGCCTGACATTAGGTTGGGACTACACCATGTCTACTGACGTCAGTGATCCTGCAAAGTTAGCTTTAAATCTGAAAAAGTGGACCCATGGTTACGCCACAGCAGCCTGTCATTCAGCCCTGTAGTCATGTCATACTTGATGTGAATAAAAACAGTGTTAGAAACTGACTCTTGTATGAACAGCAGCTGGTATCTGGTTACAATGGTTCTACACTAATGTTAAAGTAACAAACACTTTCGTCAGATGATTTAGGGACATAGGTTTATCACTTCAAGAGCAAATTTGATTTAAGTTGTTGCATTTAACCTGTAAATTTCCCTCGATACTTTTCAGATTTCTGTTTAGACAACTGAAACCTTTAGTGAATTAATACTCAATCACATTTCCAGCAGCAGTTTAGTGTTATTATTTATTTCTTCAGCTGTCCGTATGATACAACAATGACTGATTGGGTATAATTGTGAACAGTTCATTTAGACTGCTTGTTCTCTGCTGCCAGCCACCCACGGTTTGATGGCAGTAGTGATAAGGGACTTATTTCAGCTTTTCAGGCATTAAAATTGTTGCCAAGGAGATAAGGAAATCATTGTGCTCGAATCCTCCAAGGACAGAGGAAGGTTTTGTAGGCAGGCTAGTGAAGGTTATAACGTGCTCACACACTCATAAGCCAGCCTGACTCAATAGAGCATGCAGTCCATTTCTCAAGGGCATGTTCTGTAACTGCTTCCTAATTGAACTTGGAGCAGAATAGTTTGCTGTGATGTTAACAGAACCAAATCTGTTTGGTCTCATCACATTGGACTGATAAATGCAGCCAAAGGGAAACTTTGTTCAGTTTTGAATATCAACATCCAGATGGAGAATCAGAAAAACTTGGTATTTTGTAGCCGCTACGCTGTATGAGCTGGACACTGATTTTAGTGTGTTTAAGTTGGATTACTGGAGTGTGTTTTGCATGAAACTGAGTAGTGGTGCAACGGATCATCATTGATCCGTGATCCGTTCGGATCGACGTATTCGGTTCGGCACACATGTGATCCGCGGATCGATTTCTGAAAGCGGAGAAAGGAGGAGCTCGAACGCCCCGCGACACTTAAATCCCCTGTATGGGAGCATTTTGGCTTCCCTGTCAATTATGATGAAGAAGGAAAGAGGTCAGTGTACAAAACTGCGACGGAGTGAAGGCACTGTGGCATAAGAAAGCCATATGACAGTGGAAACACATCGAGCATGTTCACGCATTTGAAGCGACATCACCCGGGTGTTTTAATGACAGGTGTTGTGCCGTAGATTGCACCCCTGCCGTAGAACGCACCCCCTGCATCCGTTAGCTTCTTAAAGTAGAGATAATGATCTCATATTTGATATGAATAGCCTGAATGAAATTATTAAAGGCAAACGCTGTTGAATACATCCAACGTAAGGAAAACTTGTATTATTTCGCCTTGTTATGTACTTTCAACCGCGCTCCCGTTAGGGGGTGCACTATACGGCAGGGGTGCATTCTTTGGCATAACACCTGAGATAAAACGAAAGCCCTAACAACCGCTCATCACCGCAGCATTTAAGCAGCCTCTTCCTGCGCAATCCGACCAGGCTAAAGCCTTCACAAACTCTATCGGTGTGTTTATAGCTGCAGACATGAGGCCGTATTCAGTTGTGCAAAACGAGGGCTTTAAAAACATGCTGAAAGTGCTTGAGCCACGTTACGACATCCCATCGCGCACACACTTTATCTTTGGTTCATTGTTACATTTTAAAGGAAGGAGATATGCCTGTATATTGTACTTTAAGTTGTTTTTCATTAATAATTATGTTAAAAAGAAGATATTATGCCCTGTGCACTACTTTTATATATTTTATTTGTCTTGTTTTTTTTTCTTTTTGCTGATCCGAAAAATGATCCGATCCGTGACTCTTGATCCGAGGAACGATCCGATCCGTGAGTTTTGTGATCCGTTGCACCACTAAAACTGAGCAGACAGACTATGACATATTTGACATTGGGCGATGTGAGTAGGTCCATCCCATAGATTCAAAGGATGATCATGCTGTTGTGACAGTAACAAAATAACATGTTGGTGTTGTTAAATAAGGTTAAGGAAAAGGTAAGGATTTTAATTGCATCACAACACACAACACTTGCAATTCCAGTTATAAATAACACAACAAGGGCCAATAATGATTTCTCATGTGAAGAGTTGCTGCAATATTTATAAAGTCTTATAAACACATCCATATGGATTTGTAACGCCCCTCATGGGTAATGACAAATAGGGGTGTCCTGATATAACCATTGATACAATACTGATATTGTAGCCTCCAGTATTGGCCGATATCGATACGATATTTGCACAAAATTGTGCATGACAAGTTCTACACTCAGCTGCAATGTCCTTTTCGGACTTAGACAAAAAATACTGCCACACAGCCGACATCAATCCTACTCCTTGCTACTTTGTCAGTATCTTAGTACACACTGTTGTTATGATTATGTGGGCTCTGCATGCTAGATCCGGGTGCTGCTAGATAGAGATAGAGGTTGGAGATTTTGGAGATTTTAGATTCAGGCCAATATAATCTAATAATAGGGATGTTTATAAAGTGTTGTAAGCAGTCAGCTTTATGCCTCAACAGTATGGTTTATAATGCATTGTTATTCATCATATGCGTTACAATACATGCTGAATTGTAAGAGGTAGATTCATACAAAATATTATTGCAGATTTTTTCAGATGCCTTATGCCTTCACAAGCAGAGGGGGGGAAGCAGAGGTATTGAAATTGGAGAGATACTTTCCAAATATTTCATGTTTGCAATTTTATTAAACAGTGCAGATCAGATTTTGTGGTGATCATGTTGGTGATAGACACCATTAGAAAGGCACATCTTCCACTCAGTGCTCCAACACAATATCGCTCAAAGTAAAAAGTGATCACAACACAAAGACACTTGACAAGTAGAAAAATGCAACAGTGCAAAGCATTGACTGGAGCCTGTCGCTGCTGTCACTCAGCAGGGTGATCACACACGTAATTACAGTCCTATCACGGCCTTATACTGTGACACTACTGTTTCATTTTCACTAGATGTCCACACCCTGCAGACTCATTAACTTGCATTTATGTGTATGGTATGGTTCCCCAGTGTTGTGGGTGTAATTGATGGGACAGACATTAGCATTGTCATGGTCTCAGACAGTGATTTACTGTGTTTCAGTGGAAAAGGTGCAACATTACCAAAACATAACTTGGTGTAGTCTACATAATTTTGGTCAGTTGCTGAATTGTCAGTTTTTTGGGTGTTCTGGTTACTCTTGTTTCCAGAAACTCCAACCAGCGTGTTCTTGTTGGCCATATAGACTGGCCAACAATCACAAAAGCTGATGTCCTCTTGTTCATACCAACTTGGTTCTATGATGACCTGCGTGGTAAAAAAAAAATGAGAGCAAATATATAATGACCAGCTAGTTTGGAAGTAGTGACCAAATTATACTTCAGCTTTAAACATTTTGTTGTCTACATCTGTTTTACATGTGGTGTCCTTTTGATTCAAAACAGATATTCTTCTCATGAAGGCACTGCTGGTTTAGCGCCCAACTTATACCAGTTAATGTTGAAGAACAAATACAGACCCCTGGCATGTGATAGTTTATGGAGGGCTGATGTTCCTGACTTGGATCTGGCTTTTGACTAGAACATTATATTAACATGTAGAAATCCTGATCACCAACAAAAACATTACTTTATTACTTTATTTAAAGAGCTCAATGAACACCAAGAATATTTGAGCCTAGGTTACCTCTTTTGCCTATTACACTTATCTTAAATTACCTTCTAATATGGGATTGGCACTTCATAAAAAGAGGAGCTACCAGCTGGTCTCATTGTGACAAAGAAACTGACCATAATGTGCTGAAAGTCTCCAGGCTCACTTTCTAACATATTTAGACACTGTGTACCTTGAATGAGTTTAAGGGGAAAAAGCAACAACAACCAACAGAAGCCTTTTACAAACCTCTAAAACCTTCTGCTAAGATCAGGTTTTAGGGATGATCACGTTCATTTTCTTCTTCCTTGTTTAATTATTACTGGGTTCAGTTTACCACAGGCATGCTGTTGCTGTTTGTAATAATCATTATATTCACAGTATCTTTTTGTATGAAACTGTATGCAATGGGTTAATGAAATTATTTATGACCATGTTTTGAAACACAATTTTTTTTTCTTGACTTTTGCATAAATCCAAAAGTTCTAGAGCAAGATATTTTTTTGTCTAGATTATTAAAGAAAACAATTTCCTATTTGTGTTATTAAATGGTCTAAATTTATCAAATGCCAAAAAAAAAAAGACAAAATGGCACCATGATACTGGCGTTATTTACCGGCCATCAGCCAGCCTGCTGTCTCATGATAGGCATCAGCATCGCCCCTCTAAAAACTGGAATCTCTTAACTACTCAGTTCATATAATGGCCTCAAACAGCATTTGAGCTCTGAATATAGTGTTAATATAGAATAGGTGATTAAGAACTGGGTACAAAGTTTTTAATGTAAATTGTTGAAAACTACCATCCCGACCAATACGTTAAAATCTTTTGAAGAATGTTGTATGTGTGCTGTTTACATCTCTGGATGCCAAAGTGTGTGCTAAGGGCAGACAGGCTGTTAATGTTAAAGAAGTCTTAACTGTGAATCAAGGACAAACATCCTAGACTTTTTAATTTGATTGATAAATGCGGAATACTCTTCATAATTACATATTTACAAATGATGTGTGGTATAAACATTACCACTACGACCACTTCAAATAAGACTAATGCAGCTTTAACTTACTGAAGGTGGTGTTTTCTGTTCCTTGCAAGGCTGTGTGTTTAGAAATAAGCTTATGAATGCATTAAGTATTTAAATTATTTTTCTTTCTCTGTATCATAGAAGTATCTACTAAGTAACCCTGCCCACCAGAGCAGTGCTGTGGATGAACACTTCTTCTTGAATGAAAGTGCAGCTCAAGTAAGGTAAAATAAGTCAAACAGACATTTTTACATTTGATTTCTGAATAAGTCTGTTGTTGTTTGGACATGTTAAACTCAGAGAAATCTGTAATTTTTGTTTTCTTTTTAGGGATATCTCAAAGTTTAAGCCGCTCACTCGCCGGACACCTGTGACTGTGATCACTGGGGATTCTTTTGACCAGCAAATACCAGAGCATCTGAATCAGGTGAGACTCTTTCTCTCTCTCTCCCTGTTTCTCTCTCTCTGTGCAGGCAGCTGTGGTAAGTCTGGTTCTGCCCAAGGTTTCTGCCTAAATACTGCAAAGTGCTTCATTCATGTTGAATAAGATGGGTTAAGAATGGGTCTTATATTTCTAGATCGGACTCAGTCTTGAGGTTCGGTCTTTGGAATACATCAAACAAAGACTTTGGTCCAGACCTGCTCTGATGGAAAGCTAGCCTGGCTGGGCCATCCTGTTGCGTGAATCACTTCATGTTCCTTCCCAGCCAGGCTAATGGAAAGCATCTTCAGATAACGATTGTTGTGATTTGGCGCTATATAATAAAAATTGATCGACTGATTGATTGTATACACAGCTATGTAACTCCATGTTGCATTGTTGACTCATGTTCCGTGGCGGAACAATTCTCAATAAGCATTTGTGTAAATCCCACAGTAAATCTTTTTTTTTTTTCCCCCTGCACCAGATGGTAGCTAGGCTTCAAAAGAAGTTCCTGGAAGAGTCCTACCCATCAGCCAATCACATTCACATAAAAGGAACAGACCGGCAAATGATCTACAAGAAGCCATCTGCCATCAGCCAGCACCTGAGGAAGCTGGTCAACCAACGACAAGGCAAACAGTAGAGGAAGTGACCGCAACGCATAACAGCACCCAGAACATGGTCAAAGAAGGAACTATCAAATATGTTTATAATTAAAGCAGCATTCAAGATGCCTTTTGATAACATTTCTGCACGACTCTATGTCATTGGAAGCTTTTTAACTGGAAATAACTGCATGGGTATTCAGTGAGGTGTAATATTTTCTGTTTTAAATGCAAAAAGCATTGCACAGACAAATTTCTCAATTTAATTTAAACCACCTCTTACTTTAGTGTGACTGTGCTGCCATGTGAAAGTTCCTCTGTCTACATCTTAAATGCACATTTTTGGCAAAACGACCAACATACAGGAACTTTATTTACGGACCTATGATGGATCAGATTTATTCTATAAAGTTCAAACAGAGATGTTTGCACCCCCCCCAAAGTAATTCTAAATGAACAGCCCTTAATTTACTCTGTTTTGGAAAGAAAAAGAGAGACCACACAACAATAGTTCATCCTGAGGATTTAGGTTTAATTATGACACCACATCAAAATAAAAATTTCCAACAGATCTGGAATTGAATTCCATTGATATACATGCATAGCAACAACGTTTTAAGAAACATTTTCTCCCATAATCAGGACATTGGAATGATCATTTTACATCAGTATCCCCACTGACCTCCCACCCATCTTGTTTATCAGCAATAAACTTAATTCTTACTTTTTTTCCCCTATGGGGTTACAAATAATTATATGCACAATCCCCATTTCATAATACTGCTTTCGGTAATGTTCCCTAATTTACAAAGTATTGCATTGAGAGCAAATTTCAAAAAAGGGAGACCAAAGTTTATCATCAAACAGAAATACAAGTACTATACAAGAATGCTGCCATCCTCATGAAACATCCACTTCTGAGTTGAAGAAAAGAGACAGGGACAAACAGTCACGTATGTATGCAAAGCCATGTGTATAAGCCAAAATGTGAAATGCAGGGTTGTGCCTGGTTATCACTCCCAAATGGTGATCTTTTAAGGCAAACAAGTCATTAGTAGCAACCACAAGTGACATTTTGGCCATATACAGAAACTGGTACAGCAAATAAGAATACACAAGTGCCTCAGTAGCTATTTTTGTGTCTAAAATGCATCTCATTTTTGTATTGTCTATTGTTTCATTGAGCCTACAGTACAGTGTAAACAATATGTGTGCTACACAAGAATGACTATACAATAACATTACAAACAACTCTGATATAAATTTCATCTTGAATTTAAATTAAGATCACTACCCCTATTAATACTGATTGTAAAACAAATCAATGAGAAAGTGGCACCAATATTATTCTCAATTCATTTTCTTTTTTTTAACCAATGATTTTGCATTTGTAAGTCTTAAAACAATGGAAGAAGAAGCTCCTCTTGATTGTCCACAAGCAGTGTTACTCACTGCATGATGCACTATTCCAGACACAACAGTGTACCCAAAAAATGGAGAAAAATAGGGTAAAAGTTCTCGAGGAAAGGTGAGGGAAGGGGAGGACGATAAAGTCTTATTCGTCGTACCTTATTTTACATGCTCCGCAGCATGTGATGAGCAATAAAACTTCTTATGGGTAATAAAGTTTGACAGGTTGTTGAACTGGATATCACAGAGGCGGCAGTATTTGCCACTTCCGGATCCGTTAATGCCTTTGTTGGCCGTGGGTGCAGCGTCATCATTTGGAGACTTAGAAGAAGGTGACATGTTCTCATTGGAGTCTGGCTGGTTCTCTGTAGCCCACGTAGGTGAGGGATTGGAGGGTTGGCTCTCTGGCTGAGGCTGGTTCTCCTGTTGTGCTGGAGCACTTCCTGAACGCTCCTCTGGCTTGTGCCCCCCGTTGACGATGACCATACCCCGGTTTTTAGGCAGTAGAGGAAGGGGCTCCTTGCCAGGGTGGGGACAACCATTAGCAGCAGGCTGCTGGGCCTGCTCTCTGGTCGTTCCTGTGTCTGCTCCCACTCCTACGTTCCCTCCACCCCCGTTTACATTCTGCTCTTGTTCACTGGCCTCTCCCTGCATCACAGAAACCCCAGTTGCATAATCAGTTGGTTTTATCCCAAAATACGGGGATATGTGCTCAGGACCTTTCACCTTCTTTATTGCTCCCGGATAAAGACAGTGGGGCAGAAACATGCTCTTGTCATCTTTTGATTGGATAAGTTGGGGCTCAGCGAAGGCCTTGAGTCCTGGCAAGGGGCCCAGGTGAGGTGGGAACATACCTCCGTTTTGCACCATCACCTTCCCATTCTTGTCACATTTGCCCGGGCTCTTGTCGTAGACGTCATCTGGGTTGCTACTGCTCTCACTTTTTACATCCGGAAACAGAGTTGGCTCCAGGCTGCCGCTTTCATTGTGTTGTTGCTGTTGCTGTGGCTGTTGTTGTTGTTGCTGCTGAGTGGCAGCAGCAGCAGCAGCAGCTGCTGTCGCAGGGCAAAAGTTCTGTTTGTGCGCCAGATAGTTCTCAACCTTGTTAAAACTTATTTTGCACACTGCACATTCGTGATAGTCCAACAGTCTTTTGGGAGAGCTACATGACTTGTCGGAGACTGGGGAACACTTTTTGCTGAGGTCAATGGGGGCATCCAGCTCCTGTTGCTCCACTGTGTTACACTTGGGAGCTAGAATAGGTTTAGTGACAGTCAGAGAGGCCTCCAGGTGTTTGGGGACTATACCTGGGAATATGTCGCAGCGGGGATGGAAGCGGTCTGCTAGGTTTTCCACAGCTTCCTGTGATGTACAAGGGTTCATCGGAGAAACCCCAAGAAAACCTGGCTGCACCATGGGGGGCCTCTGGTGGTCTTGGTCAGGGAGACACATCTCGTACATCTTTCTGCGCTTGCGTGTCCTCATGGTTCTCTGCATTGAGGGTACCTTGTTGGTGGACAGCCGTTTTGTAGGCGGGTCATGACGAGTGGCGCAGTAGTACTGCTTGTGGACCATGTAGGTCTCATGTCGGCTGAAAGTGATATTGCAGGCATCACAGGTCGTCTTGGTTGGGTCATTGTCACTTTCCACCAAACCCGTACTGGGGCTCTTCCCCTCCATCTGCTTGCCGTTCAGCCGCTCCTCAGCCCCAGGTGGGGTTGGGACCTTCTTCCCCTGTCCTGGAAGATCCTTGTCAGCCCCTTTGGCTCCTGCAGTGATCATTTCCAACACGTTTGAGTTAAGACAGGCAGACTGCATGAGGTGATTATCAGCCTCTGTTGGGTGGCAGCCTGCTAACATGCTAACAGAACTGTGACCACTGTTGGGGCTCACTGCCTCAGGGACTTTATCTGAGAGGGCAGAGAAGTCCGGGGACTTTGCCATGTGTTGCCAGCGGCTGTTACAATAGTGCTTTTTGTGAACCAAATAGTTGTCCAGGTTGCTGAAGGTTATATTGCATTCAAAACAGGTGGCCCCTTTAGGCATGAGGGGGCTGTAAATGACAGGGGGGTAGCTGTTCCCTCCATGGCGCAGCCTCCGGTGAACTAGTTCTGACATTTTAGCCAGAATCTCAGAAGCCTGTGGGACTACTGAAATGTCTTGGGAAAAAGCAAACTGTGACAAGAAGGGGCCCATGGGAAATGTAGGCATGTTATGCTGCACAGGGGAGGAGGCCAGACGGGGGCTGGAGGGCTCAGACTTGATCCTGGTGTAAGAAAAACTGGCTTTGCTGCCTGGGTGGGCCTCTCCCTTCTGAACAGACGGCATGGGCTTCTTCTCAGTCTTGTCAGCCTCTGTCTCTGTGCTGGTCTCCTTGTTGAGGGCCCCTTTGGGACTTCCCAGTAGAGCATCCTTCCTGTTGGCTAGCTCAGCGCGGGCCTGCTGCTGCTGGAGGCTTTCCTCAGACCCCCTAGGGGAATGCTCGGTGCTGTCTCCTTCTCTGTGAAGTTTGCTGCCGTGCCCATGTAAGTCCTGATGCTGTAAGAGTTCCCTGTGGCTCTGGAAGCTGATATGGCAGTGATTACATCTGAAGGCCGCCTGTGACAGGTGAGACATGATGTGATGCTGGAATGTAATAAGAGAATCTGCCGTGTAGTTGCAGATTGTGCATTTCAAGCTGGTGCCAGGAGGGAGGCTCTCTTCCATTTTGACACCTGTGAAGGAGATAAAAAGGAGAAATGCTCAGAATCTTACCTCCCACTTTTCCTTTGGAGTTAACTGTACAAACCATCAAACAACCATGCCAAGTCTTCTCCTGTCCACAGGATTTTTTTTTTCTCCAGGAGAAACTGTCAACTATACTAGCTGACAACAGAGTATGTATATATTTATATATATATAAAGAAATTACAGATATTTTTCAAGACTTGCTGTATGTACCCTCTGTTCATGTGACACCTCTTTCAAAGGATGACAACTACTTTAGCCTCTGAATGTTGGCAGCTATTTCAACAGCCATGACACACAGACATACATACATAGGTACATGCATACACACATACACATAATATATACTGTTTGTGTGTGTGTGTGTGTGTGTGTGTGTAAACATACATTATGAAAAACATATTCAAAAACACAAACATTCATAAACCCATACATAGGTACATGCATACATACATACACATAATATATACTGTTTATGTGTGTGTGTGTGTGTGTGTGTGTGTGCGCGTGTGTAAACATACATTATGAAAAACATATTCAAAAACACACAAACATTCATAAACCCATAAATATGTACATACATACATACAAACACCTATGTATCTAAAAAACAAGTACATAAATACATCATACAAACATGGACACATACGTAAAAACATACATACGTAAAAAAATATATATACAGTCAATTACAGTCCAACACAAATATATACACACACAGATGCAATCATACATATAAACATGAAATACATATGAACCATTAGAGTGTATACACACACACACACACACACACACACACACACAATGCACACAGTACATACAAAAAAAAAACCTTGATACATACATGTATGTATGTATCAAGGTTTTTTTTTTTTTTTGTATGTATGTTAGTATGTATGTATACATACATACATACATACTAACATACATACTATGGATATACATACACACACAGAAATGTAAACATGCATTCATACATATACACAGACATACAGTACATACAAACATTATGTATTCATACATGAGTATCAATATAAAAAACAATGATGATACTGTATATAAGCTTGTATTCTCACTTATATAGCTGTGACAGTGTTACTCACCACTGTGTGAGGTGTTTAAGTGCATTTCCAGGGCCCTGGCTCCAGAGAAGCTCTTGTTACATTGTGGGAAGGGGCAGATGCTGGGGGTATGGTGGGGGCCAGTGTCATTTTCCTCCATGACTGTGTCTGGCTCCCTCTGTCTCCCACTGCAATAATACATCAGATGGGCCTGCAAGTTCCTCTCACTTCGAAACCAGATTCCACAAGCCTTACAGGGAAATATGTCCTCTGGGGGGACAAGGACATGCACAAGGGGACATGATATTAGGATGTGTACAGCACTTTAATATTTATGTCAAAAAATCAAGAGAAAAAGAGCTTGCCCACATGCATACACACAAACCACTATACTCCTATAGTTCTGATTCACAAAGCCTGTTTTAAAACGCTTTTTCACCAAATCCTCTGTTGCTGCTAAAAAACGCGGTTTCTGCTACTGGGTTGGTGCCCTTTCTCAAGGGCAAACAAAAACTATGGACCATCTGCTTGCAGAAGCCTCCCTGTTGAGCTGAACCCAGATACCCCTAGCTTGGTAAACAAACACATTATTTGCATGGAATGTGCTTTTTTTTTCTTTTTGCAATTAACACATTAGTTCAAGCCGTCGTGTGTTTATTTGAACCCCAAACTTGAAGGTCGATGGCTCTTATCTCTAGCGCAGAGACTCATCTGGGTTTATGTACAGCCAGCAGAGGCAGCGCTCCTTGTAAAGCAGGTGACTGAGTACAGGCTGCATACGGTGCATGTGTGGGACAGTACTTAAGAGAACTGGATAGTGTGTGTATGTAGGGATCAGAGTGCATGTAAGAAAAACTCGTCTCTTTCTTGCGCTGTGTTTCAGTTCTTAGGTCAGTGCGTAGAGACACTCACTGTTCACGATGGCAGTCGGCAGGATGGAGGCCATTGCGGCCTGCTGAGGGAGGAGCTGGATGCTGTCCAGTAGCCTGGCTGGGTACATGCCCTCACTAAGAGACATGTGGTTCACTGCTTGCAAACGGGAGTCAAAGTCCACAGCAAACGCCACAAGCTCCTCGCCCTCCATCATATTCTTGGTGGTGGTGCACCACAGTTGGCCACCTGGACAAAACAGAGATAGAGTGGTTAAATACTTGCAGTCCTTCACGTTATTAGATTGTTGTGTTTTTTTGGATTAAGCACTCCTCTGAACATATTCATTAAGTCAGAGGCAGGGGGAGGGGCGGGATAAGTAAGAAGAGATAGAAGGAGTGAGTAAAGGTTTTAGCTTAGATTATATTTATCTCGGCACATGACAGGGTTTTCAGCTCCACTTCATTTTCCATTGAAAAGATTAAGGTTTTTAATGTGACTATTTACAGAAATGTGGCCAGTGAGATAACAACAAACTATGATATGCTCCTGCTAAATGGCAGAATTAGGACATTGTTTCCAAAGAAAGCTAGACAATTAATTAAAGCACGCTGTTAGCTTTCAGAGATGTGCAAACATACTGACGGAGTGTCAGACTGAGAGGGGACATGTGGTCTGAGCTCTGGCTGATGTGGAACAAAGAGTCCTGTAGAGAGGTGTAAATGCAGGGGACTCATCTACAAAGACTATACATGTGTGAACCACTGATTACTCATGTTTACACAAAACCTATAAATCACAAGGTTTATAAACGCCCAGTTGACACAGTGAAGGTGCTAAGTAAGGTCTTGTATAAAACAAACCACTTGTCTTTGGATTTATTAGAAACTTAAAAATATCAGGCTGGAAACATCTTTTATGTCATTACACTAATGCATTATGTATAAACCATTGTCAAGTGTCTGCAATGAAAAAGCCCAATATTTCAATCAAAAACTTGAATATTTCGGGTTTCACATCTATGTCTTGATTAAACCTTTCCGGCCCTTCATATCTGCTAGTGAAGCACTGAAATTAGACTAGCACAAATGTGTCAAAGGAGTGAAATAGTACAAAAAATATGCTATCTATCAAATACTCATTTGTGTGCAAGTAATGGTGTGTGTGTGTGTGCGTGTGTGTGTAAATGACTGTGTGAATTGTGCATGTCATCGCTGCCTTTAAGAGCAGTGCCTATCTGTGGGCCAATCTGCTGTGACGAGACATACACTTCAGGCTGTTCCACTCATCGTTTTGATTCTGTCATACCACACACTGCCTGGAGAGGCCCTTTGAATTTTTATCTCCTAATTAAAATAACAAAACTCCCCGCCACTGCCTGCCCAAGTTACCATCAAGGTAGATACAAACTGCCATTGACAGTGGCGGGAAATGTATTGCAATCATAGCCACACAAAAGTTTCTCTCCCCCTGAATTGATCTAATTCAGACATGTTGAGCTTACAATGACTATATGAGTTGGATCTAATGCTCAGATGAGTCCAGATCAAAGACACTGAACGCTTTCCTCAGTTAAAATAAGGAGATTTATAAGGAGCCTGATGGAAATGTTTTACTACATTTTGACAGACTATGCGGTCAGACTGCATCCTTTCAGCCAGGAAAGTTACGGATCCATCTGTTGTGTGTAAGAACGCCGGAAGTGAATTTCAAGACTGCATGTCCCAGTTTTAATGAGAGGCAAAATACATTGAAGGACTGTTTTAAACAGTCACTGAACAGAGGCAAGGTGCCGAGATGCATGTAATTACAGTTATTATAGATAGAAGTCCTAGCTCTGTCACACAGATTTGTTACAGATGTTGACACATTTAATTGCTTTCTGTATATGTTGGACTGTAGATACATCATAAAGATAATTGACAGTCTGTGCAGCCCTGTAAATAAACAGCTATATACACCTGCATAACATCACAGAATTATAAGAAGTACTGCACTGTAACATGTAATTTACATACACAAATGCAGATGCAAGTCATCCAGTACAAACAGCAGAGGTGTCAGGTGGGCAGATGACAAAAACAATTTCCCATGAAGGAGCTCTGTGAAAAGATTTGTCATGGCTGTTTCCATGACAGCCTTTTTTCATGACAGGTGATTTAAATCGCAGAAAAACAGGTGAGCCACCTTTGACAATGGCCTGAGCTTTGTGAATAAGGAAGCAAGAAGGGGCTGTCAAGAAAAGGAGCAAAGGACCAAATGAGTAAGTCGTGAAACTGGGGAAGAGGCTGGAAAAAGTGCAGCTTGTGATTTGCACTTGTTTGCTTGCTAACTGTCTGCAGTGAGCTGCCTTTGTGCAGTGGCCAATGCAGTTGGAATGAAGGCTATTGTCTAAATCCTCCTGCAGAGCACCTGATAAAAGAATAAAGAACTATGACATATTATAAAAACAATGAAGGAATTAAGGGGAGACAATAGGCCAGCTGCCTCATTAAAACAATCAAAAACGGCATCCTGTACGTAGTCCAGATAATTAAAAACCACTGCTTCCTACAGTCTCTCAATACCATATCCACCAGCTCACTGAGGCCCAAGTCTATGGCTCGACTGGCTAAATGCCCTCTTCCCTTTCTTCTCTTTGATTAAGGCTTTATTTGAAAATAAAGTTAAAGATGAACATATGAAGGAATTCATGAAGCAAAATTATAATTCAAGCCCTTTACCTTCTATAAGTACATATAAACTAATGAATGTCTTTGGATGAGACGGAGGGATTCAGGGTGTGTGCCCCCCTCCCCCCTTTTTCTTAAAGCCCTCAGAGATTTCAAAGTGCAGGCATCACAGGACATTTTTAATTTTCTTTCTTTGACTTTATGAGGAGGCAAATGTGTACAGTATCTTTATATGTACGGGGGAGGCAGGGCGAATAGAGTGTGAGATACTTCAGCAGAAATATATATATTTTTTAATTCAAACATACCACCACCATATCTTAATGAAGTTGCAAACAAATCTCTCATGCCTCACGCAAAAGCACAGAGACAACAAAGCGGCAGA